AAATGATAAAACAAATTAAAAAAATTAATTAATGGTTTAAAATTACTAAAACATTGTTTAAATCACACAGGTTTGAAATCACAGTGCAGGTCAGTCCATTGTCTTTCACACAAATTGGGTTTCATTCCAAATTGCTGCCTCTCCTGTTTGAATGCTTGGTCCCATAACAAGATTTTGAGTTTCATTCTAAAGGACAAGAGGGAGGGGGCCAATCTAATGTCACTGGGTAGAGAGTTCCACAGGCGAGGGGCTACCACTGAGAAGGCCCTGTCTCTCGTCTCCACCAGTTGCATTTTTGAGGATGGTGGAATCAAGAGCAGGGCCTCTCCCATTGATCTTAAACTTCGCTACATTTTATAGCAGGAGATAAGTTCAGACAGGTAAGATGGGTCAGAACTGTTCAGGGCTTTATAGGCTAAAGCCAGCACTTTGAATTGTGCTTGGTAGCAAATTGGCAACCAGTGGAGCTGGCCTAGGAGAGGGGTTGTATGCTCTCTGTATGCCACTCCAGTGAGCAACCTGGCTGCCGTCGGTTGTAGTGGGAGCTTCCGAGCAACCTTCAAAGGCAATCCCATGTAGAGTGCGTAATCTACTCGGGTTGTAACAAGAGCGTGGACCACCGTGGCCAAGTCTGACTTCCCAAGGGCCTGGGGGCCCTTCCAAACAGCCATATAACCCAGAATATCAAGGCAGATAATTCACAATATCTGATTTGAACTGGATTATCTGACTCCACACTGCCATATAATGCACTTAAATGTGGATTTTATATAACTGTGTGGAAGGGACCGGAGTTATTTTTAAAGATTACTAAGGACAAAATTAAGGGGGGACCAGGTCAATGCATAGAGGCCCCTTCTACACTGCTATATAAAATCCTGATGATCTCCTTTGAACTGGATTATATGACAGTGTAGAAGGGGCATGAGTCTAGTATTTTCATAAAAAATACCGACAGTTGAAAAGAGTGGGAGAAGAAAAAAAATGGGATACAGAGAAGTGGAATGGCAGAGACCTTGAAGAAGCACTCCAAACTAAAATATTTTGGTGCAGGTTCCTTCCATTTACCTACCTAGGATGAAATGCAGTAAAACACTGCAGTTCAGTAAAAATGTGTGTATGTACATGTGTGTATATACTTACATACACACAGGCATGTAAGTAGAAAAGCAGATTATGCACAGTAAATGATCTTATTGGTAGATATTGGTGCAGTCTCATATTTGGAAAGAAAATCATCTTCAGTACACTTTAAAGGACAAAATGAGAACCAAGTTTGGATTTCCCTCCACTTGTTTTTTTCCCCTAACCCACAAATAAGTGTCTTAGTAGTTTCAGGTATATGTGGGCTGAAGGTTTAGTAATCATTGTTTACAAAGTTGTATCACTGAATGTTAACCTATATTTTTACATATTTATGATCAACTGGGGTGTGGAAAATACTACTCAGTAACACAACAATAGGTTGGCTTAAGTATAGCACACCAGGTAGAAAATTCCTACTGGACTGCATCATTACACATTACATAGTGTAAGGGATGTCACAAACTGGAAATCACTCTTAGGGTAATTCCATCAAGACATATCTGCTACTTCAACAGACCTTGATAAACACACTTGTACGTATATGAAAATAACTGTAAATATATGTCTTCATCCTACTTTCCCTGGCTGCTGCATTACATTTCTCTCCTGGGCCCCTTCCACACAGCTGAATAAAACCCCACATTATCTGCTTTGAACTGGAATATGTGGCAGTGTGGACTCAGATAACCCAGTTCAAAACAGATAATGCGGGATTTTCTACCTTGATATTTTGGGTTATATGGCTGTGTGGAAGGGCCCCCAGTGTGTGGTCAGTCTTCTCTGGACAGATCCCTAACATTATATCTTGGGTTATCAACATTTCTGCCTAAGGGTTTTCTTCTGGAGCAGAAATGGGCAGAGTCCCCTCAAGGTTGTAAAAAAACAATTTTCTTTGTTTCAAAATGTGCTATAGGGGTGTGAAAGGCATTTTCACTATGTTTTGGGGTCCTCAGACCAATTTAGGCCCAGTAAAGGCCTTTTTATTTTTGAAAAAAGACCTAAACAGGGATTTGTTCCCATTCACTTTTTTCTTGAGCCTTAAATGGTCTGGGAAGAGCCATATAAATATGGCAAAATTTGCCCTTGACCTCTTCAATGTTGCATGGTTTGAAAACTTGACATTTATTTCATTTATTATTATTTATATGCTGCTTTTTCTTTCTTAAAAGAGGCTCAAAGCAACCAACAATATTATAAATACACAAGTGTAAAAGCTTGAATTTCTTTTCACTTCCACAGGGAACATTCTTCATACTAGAGAGAAGGTGACACAGATCACTGTTTCTAGAATGATTAGAGAAGGAAAAGGACAACCGATTAAAACATTGTATGATAGAATCTGGAAAGTGTGATTTCATTGTTGTTCTATGCCTTCAAGTCATTTCTGACTTATGGCAATCCTAAGGCAAGGTTTTCTGGGGCTGTGTGTGTAACTTGCCTAGGATCATCTGAAATGGAGCAAGCTTGTTTTCTGCTTCCTTGGAGACTAGGACAAGGAACAATGGCTTCAAACTATAAGAGAGGAGATTCCACCTGAACACGAGGAAGAACTTCCTGACTGTGAGAGCCGTTCAGCAGTGGAACTCTCTGCCCCAGGGTGTGGTGGAGGCTCCTTCTTTGGAAGCTTTTAAACAGAGGCTGGATGGCCATCTGTCGGGGGTGATTTGAATGCAATATTCCTGCTTCTTGGCAGGGGGTTGGACTGGATGGCCCATGAGGTCTCTTCCAACTCTTTGATTCTAATGTATTGTTGAAGGCTTTCATGGCCGGAATTACTGGGTTGTTGTAGGTTTCTTCGGACTGTATGGCCATGGTCTAGTCTAGAGGCATTCTCTCCTGACGTTTCGCCTGCATCTATGGCAAGCATCCTCAGAGGTAGTGAGGTCTGTTAGAACTAGGGAAAAGTGATTTATATATCTGTGGAATGAACAGGGTGGGACAAAGGACTCTTTCTGCTGGAGCTAGGTGTGAATGTTTCAACTGATCACCTTGATTAGCATACAATGGGCTGAAAAAACAGGAGCTTTTTTGTTGAGTTCCAGGGCCAGAGAAGCAGATGGAACGGCCTGCCTCAGGGGAGCGTGCTTGCTCCATCCATGTTCAACATCTACACAAATGACCAGCCACTGCCAGAAGGGACAGAGAGTTTCATCTATGCTGATGATCGTGCCATTACTGCTCAAGCAGGGAGCTTTGAGATGGTAGAACAGAAGCTTTCCTAAGCTCTAGGTGCTCTTACTGCCTATTACAGGGAAAACCAGCTGATCCCCAACCCATCTAAAACACAGACATGTGCCTTTCATCTCAAGAACAGAGAAGCATCCCGAGCTCTGAAGATCACCTGGGAAGGAATCCCACTGGAGCATTGCAGCGCACCCAAATACCTGGGAGTCACTCTGGACCGTGCTCTTACCTACAAGAAGCACTGCCTGAACATCAAGCAAAAAGTGGGTGCTAGAAACAATATCATACGAAAGCTGACTGGCACAACCTGGGGATCACAACCAGACAGTGAAGACATCTGCCCTTGCGCTGTGCTACTCTGCTGCTGAGTACGCATGCCCAGTGTGGAACACATCTCACCACACTAAAACAGTGGATGTGGCTCTTAATGAGACATGCCGCATTATCACGGGGTGTCTGCGCCCTACACCACTGGAGAAATTACACTGCTTAGCCGGTATTGCACCACCTGACATCCGCCGGGAAGTAGCAGCCAATAGTGAAAGGACCAAGGCAGAGACATCTCCAGCTCATCCCCTGTTTGGGTATCAGCCAGCATGCCAACGACTTAAATCTAGAAATAGTTTTCTAAGATCTACAGAGACACTTGCTGGAACACCTCAGCAAGCGAGAGTCCAAAAGTGGCAGGCTCAAACCCAGAACCTCAACCAATGGCTGATACCAAATGAGAGACTCCCCCTGGGCACACAGAAGACTGGGCGACTTGGAAGGCGCTGAACAGACTGCGCTCTGGCACCACGAGATGCAGAGCCAACCTTAAGAAATGGGGCTACAAAGTGGAATCCACGACATGCGAGTGTGGAGAAGAGCAAACCACAGACCACCTGCTGCAATGCAACCTGAGCCCTGCCACATGCACAATGGAGGACCTTCTTGCAGCAACGCCAGAGGCACTCCAAGTGGCCAGATACTGGTCAAAGGACATTTAATCAACTACCAAACTCATAAATTTTGTACTCTGTATTTTGTCTGTTTGTTTGCTTTGTTCTGTTAGAAATGTAATATAACTGACTGGTTGCTGATGACTCGATAAATAAAATAAAATAAATGGGCTGACTGAAAGGTTTCCATTGGCAGAGAAGGAAATCAAACTCTTGTTTCTGGAGCTGTAATCCAAGGCTCAAGCCACTGCTTCAGACAAGGTATACAGGCAATCCCTGAGCTGCAAACTTCCGACTTACAAATGACTCATAGATAAGAACAGGGTGAGCCAACAGAAAGGGAGAGAAATCTACCCCTCGAAAAGGAAATTCATTCCTGAAAGAGTTGTTATTGTGGAGAAAAGGTGGAGGCTTTTCACCAATCCTTGTTTCCAAAAGATGCCAAATTTTTCAAAAGCTAACTGTCACAGGGACAGAACATGAGGTGACATCTTCTGAACAGGGACCCAGGCAGCAAAACAAAACCGTCAGGGGTGCTAACCCTTCTGGCCCCGTTGCGCAAAAGGGCCGCGCGTCCCTCCAGGCGGCTGCCCTGCGCTGATTCACGGGGAGGGAAAGGACGGGTTCCTTGTTTGGAGAGAACAACAAGCCGTGAAGAAACCCTAAGACGGGGCCGAGGGGCGGAAAGGGCACTCGCTGATTGGTCGCCGCGCAAACTAGGCCGCCGCCCTCCTTCGTGATTTGTAAACGAGCCACGCGGCGAGCTTCACTTCCCCTTTCAACCGCATAAGCATTACAAACAACACCCGCCAAGCTTTTTGTCCCTTTCAGAATCCCGTCCTTCAGTTAGTCACGTAGCGCCGCTCGTGTAAAATGTAAGGCCTGCTCTGATTGGATGCCTTCCCACAAGGCGCTCAGGGATTGGTCGGAATCAGCCCCCCTTGTTGCTGAGCTACGCCGAAGGAGCGGGAGATGGAACGAAGAGGGCTGGGGTTGCCATAGCGGCGGTCGCGGCTGGGAAACCGGAAGAGCAAAGGATTGTGGGTAACCCCTCTCTTCTTCCTGACAATGGCCTGCAGATTGTTGGGAGGGGGGCGGGAGCCCAGTGGTTTTTCATGGGCGTTCTTGAGAGCCAGAACGTGTGGGCTGTTTTGGTCTAACAACCGCCAGTTTTAAGGATGGAGCCACTGGTTCCGGGGATGTTGCCCGCCACCTCACTTCCTCTTCCCTCGTCGGGGTCAGGGACAGGTCTTTGTGGGAACCATCGGCCTTTGCTCCGAAATGCTTCCAAAATGGTTTAGAGCAGTGGTTCTCAACCTGTGGGTCCCCAGATGTTTTGGCCTTCAACTCCCAGAAATCCTAACAGCTGGTAAACTGGCTGGGATTTCTGGGAATTGTAGGCCAAAACACTTGGGGAGCCACAGGCTGAGAACCACTGGTGTAGAGGATGTTGGGAGCATTTCACCCACGTCTGGCGGCTCCATTTTAAAAGATGCCCTCAAATGTTGTGCAGAGTATTTCTATTACATTTTGAGAGTTATGCCTTTTTGGGTCGTTTTGGAAAAAGGAGATAACTCACTTCATGTTGTCCCACAGCATTTGAGAGCAAATTTTTTTATGGGAGCTAGGGCAATGGCGGAAAGCCTTCCTTGTTTTCTGGGGTGGGTGGGGGGAGTAATGTGTCTCCCAAGTTTCCAGTTGCCCAACCCCGCTCTTTAGCATATTTCATGACAGTAACACAGTTTTGTCACTCTTTGGGTTTAGTATCTTGTTCTGTTCTTGAGGGATAACAATTGTCAAGGAAACCAAAATGGTTATGCCAATGGTAACCCATGACTAATCTGGGCAACGCTGAGAAAGGTTACTTTCTTGAGCTACAACTCGCATAGTCTTGTCGTAATTTGGCCTGTGGTTTTACTGACTGAGGTTTGAGGGAAATAGAGAAAAAATAGCATTTGCTTTCTCTGGATCAGGAGTGCTGATCAAACCTGTAACTTTTGTAGGGCATAGCCCCTTTAATGTGGGCGTTATTACAATTAAAATGGGGCTGTCCAGTTGATTAATTCACCACAAACCAGGAAAACCCTTATTTGTTACTTGATTTATTCCGCAGCTTCTTGGAAGGCGCTGGATAAACCCATTACTTCTGGTGTCTGGACTGTAGTCCAGACAGTATTCCCACGGTTTTCCAGGCTAAGTTAGCCTGGAAAACTGAGAATACCACCCCCCTCCCCAAAAGACCCCCAAAACAGTGTAAAAAAACCAAAGCAAAATAACTTACCCGGCCTCCATTAGAGGGCTCCCAAGTCTCTCCTGGCGCAAACAAATGATACACCAGGAGAAGGAAGAGAGGAAGATAGCTCCCCTTTCTCCTGGTGCATCATTTGTACATGCCAGGAGAGCTCCAGCAGTCATTTGAACCCATTACTAGTGAGTCTAAGGGCCCTTCCACACAGCCATATGACCCAAAATATCTAGGCAGAAAATCCCACAATACTTGATTTGAAATGGGGCTCCTTCCACACAGCTGATTAAAATCCTACATTATCTGCTTTGAACTGGAATATATGGCAATGTGGACTCAGATAACCCTGTTGAAAGCAGATATTGTGGAATTTTCTGCCTTGATATTTTGGGTTATTTATTTACTTACTGTATTTGTATACTGCCTTTCTCAGCCCTCAGGCAACTCAAGGTGGTTTACAGGCAACAATTTGATGCACACAATATCAGAAATACAATTAAAAACATTAATATGTAATATAAAACCACAACAAATCAATAAAACAAAAATCATTAGCATCTCCTTGTTTAAACATTGTCCAGTCCATCATCTAGTCGTTTCATTTTCCATGTCAGTTACTCTGCATTTGCAAACGCTTGCTCAAAAAGCCACGTCTTGACTTTTTTCCAAAATGTTAATAGGGAGGGGGTCGATCTGATATCCCTAGGGAGGGCGTTCCATAGTCGAGGGGCCACCACTGAGAAGGCCCTATCTCTCATCCCCGCTAGATGTGCTTGTGACAAAGGCAGGATCAAGAGCAAGACCTCCCTAGATGGTCTTAAGGTCCTAGATCAGGGGTCCTCAAACTTTTTAAAAAGCGGACCAGATTACTGTCCCCCAGACCATTGGAGGGCGGACTATAGTTAAAAAAAAAACGATGACAAAATTCCTATGCACACTGCACATATCTTATTTTGCTACTGTTATGAATCGTAATGTAAATATCTGAAATGCAGGATGTATCTTTATTGTTACAATCTGAACATAAAGCATAGTGATTAATCACAAAAACAATATGTAATTATACATTGTGAAATACTTATTTCTCATTACAAATAAATGAAATTTTGATTTCAAGCATGTCACAGCATGGGTAATAGTCTTAATATAACAACAGGGGATCAATGAATATGTTTACTGATTAGCCTATCTGCCAAACTCCCATCACCAACAGAAAATACTGGAAAGGCTTGGGGAAAATAGACTTTAGCATTTGAGAGTTGCTGGGATGAATAGTTCCCCTGCCAACCAAGAGCATTCTGAACTCCAACAATGAAACTGAACCAAACTCAGCTTACAGTGAGAACAAACCTACATAACTTGTTTATAATTCGGGGACTGCCTGTACAAGTTGGGTCACAGGGGTAACAGATACTACTGTACAGAAGAATACTACCTGGCAGAGTCAATGAAAGATTAAATGTCTCTGATCTTGAATGCTAAGCAGGACCAGTTCTGGTTAGTATTTGGATGGGAAGCCACAAATGAATAGCAGGTGCTATATTTCAGAGAAAGAAACTGACAAAACTATTTTTGAGTATTTCCTCTCAAAGAAAACATTAAATTCATGGGGCCGCCAGCAATAAAAGGAGACCTGAAGGCACATACATGCACACATACATGAATACATAGAAAAATATAGCTTTAGCATTTCTGAAGATAAAATAGTTCCAATGAGAATGAGGAAAAAATTCTATTTTCTGCCTTATAAAGTGGTTTTTGGAATATGTAAGCATGAATTATATTTCATTTCAAAGTTTAAAAGATCTTTGCGCGAGGCCAGGCTGCACGGTGCAACTTACCTGCCTCGCACTGCCCCTCATGTGAGCCGGATGCTGCTGTGGTGCGCGCAGCCTGGTGTTGTGCAAAGTCCCTTGCCAGGCCCAATCCCCTCACCTGCCTCGCGGTGCCTGTCGGGCCTGGCAAGCAATGGAAGCAGTGAGGGCTTTGCGTGAGAACAGGCCGTGCGGTGTTGCTTCCCTTGCCTCTCGCATGAGGGGCAGTGCGAAGCAGGTAAGTTGCACTGCATGGCCTGGCCTMAATTTAGCGAAGCCCTTACCGCTTCCATTGCTTGCCAGGCCCGACGGGCGGTGCGAGGCAGTCGAGTGTATTGGGCCTGGCAAGCGGCGAGGGGTTTTGTGCAAGGCCAGGCCGTGCAGTGCAACTTACCTACCTCGCGCTGCCCATCGTGTGAGCCAGGCAAGGGAGGCTGCACCGCATGGCCTGGCCTCGCGCAAAGCCCTTCGCCGCTTGCCAGGCCCAATCCCCTCACATGCCTTGCGCTGCCTGTCGGGCCTGGCAAGCAATGGAAGCACTGAGGGCTTTGCGCGAGAACAGGCCGYGTGGTGTAGCCTCCCTTGCCCAGCTTGCACGAAGGGCAGTGCGAGACAGATAAGTTGCGCCGCGCGGCCTGGCTTCGCACAAAGCCCCTCGCCGCTTGTCAGGCCCAATCCTCTCACCTGCCTCACGCTGCTTGTCGGGCCTGGCAAGGGAGGCTGCACCATGCAGCCTGTTCTCGCCCGAAACTCCTCCTTTGCCTGGCTCGCACAATGGGCAGCACGAGGAAGGTAAGTTGCACCGTGCAGCCTGGCCTCGAGCGAAGCCCGTCGCCGCTTCCATTGCTTGCCAGGCCTGACGAGTGGCGTGAAGCAGGCAAGGGGATTGGGTCTAGCAAGCAGCGAGGGGCTTTGTACGAGGCCAGGGCAGGCCGCACGGGCCGGATAAATGCCCTCAGCAGGCCACATGTGGCCCGCGGGCCGTAGTTTGAGGACCCCTGTCCTAGATGGTTCATAAGGGGAGATTCGTTCAGACTGATAAGTTATATGGCTGTGTGGAAAGGCCCTTAGTCTCCAGGGCAGCATAAGCAAGCCTGCTCCCTCTTCCTTATGACAGAGTTTCACATATTTATATATGGCTATCTTATCTTGTCTCAGCCTTCTCTTCTGCAGGTTAAACATACCCTATTAGCTGAAGGCATAGTATTGGGGTTTATCTCCTTATCAAAGAAGAAAAGGAGTATAACTTCAGACTAGTATTCATATAATAGGCCAAAGATTTGGCAAGTCCTGACACATGTTCATATGGTAGCAAAAATTCTGTGGATTAAATTACGTAGTGTTTTTAGGATTCCAGGTTTAGAAGGTCAAAGCAATTTTGCTCTTCCTCTTTTGCGGGTTACATTTCCAGTATAGTTTCTGTCGATGACGAAATAAATGATGTGTGGTTACTGGAAACTAACTTTAGGAAGCAATTTCCAAGACTTGATAGATGAGTCTTCCTTTTTTGCACCTGTAAAGTAGAACAGTCAGTTGTGGCCTTTCACTAGGAAAGGCAATGATGAGGAACATAAAGCTGCAGCCCAACAGTGTATGTAGGAGGATGAGTGTTCCAATTGTCTGCTGCAAGGACCCCAAGCATTTACTTTTCAGTACAAAAGAGTAACCACTCTTCTTCTGTTTTCCAGAAATGGGTAATAACCCTACATTCTTGCATTCCAAACACAAGACTCGTCCCACCAGGTTTTGGTGATCCTAATTATATCATAGATGTTTTTTTTGGTAGTTTCTGGTTGCTTGAATTCCAGTTAACTGAGAGACTACTATACTTCCTGGTGGGAAGGAGATAAATGTGGAGCAATAAACCATGTAGAGACAAAATTGGTAGGCTCCTCAGAGGTCTCCAAGCATTAGCATATCAAAGTTCATTCTTTAGCATTTGTGATATGTAAAATTGTTTATTCATACTGCTGCAGAACTAACCCCTACAATTGCTGCTTGAAAAGAGTCAAGGCCAAATAGTAATCATGTAGTAGCCAATAGCTTCTTTCTTGAATAGGTGCTTTGATTTTTAAAATACATTAAAAGGTATCATATCATTCTGGCAATTGTCTTTCAGCAACGGTTATAAGAAGCAAATATTTGGAACACTACCTCCGAAGGGATGCATAATGGTACTTAACCACTGTACTGTCTGTACACATTTTCAAAACACACCCAAAACTGGGCCCAGCATCTTCTTTCACCTCTGTCAATGAGAGTATCCCAGATTTCTCATTAGTCCTGAATTCTGCAGTTTAGTTTTTCAAGCTCTTTATGACAACTGAAGTAATCCTTAAAAGAAGAAAGACTATTTCTGAAGTTCATACAAATAGGAAATACGGAAATTCAAAAGAGGATGCTACATTCATTTACCAGAAAGTAAGTACCACTGAATTTAGTAGGACTTTACATTTGATAATAATAATAATATTAATAATAATAATAATAATTTATTTCTATCCCCCCAAGAGGACTCAGGGCAGTGTACAACAGCAAAAAGGGTAAACATTAAATAATAATATAAAGTTATTATTACTATTAACTTTATATCCAGCTTCAAGGCAGCTTACACAATAAGAAGATTACTGTTAAAAAATGAAAGTCAACATTAAAAGCAAATTAAACTATTGTATTAACTGTTATTTGCTCTGGATAGGATTTTGCGTTTTAGTTAAAGAGCATTAAGAGAACTGAATAAAGTTTGAAAAATGGAAGGAAACTGGAATACTACATTACAAGGAAAGTAGCGTATATGTCAGGATGTTGTGACTGAAAGTGAGACTTACATTCTGCATTCCCCTGTGAAAGGAGATTAATGTTGTGTAAACTGGTTACCAATATCATGTTTAGCATCCATGTTTTATGGTACTACTTCTGTTGATGTTTTAAGTTCTGAGAAGTGGTTTTAACATTTTTAGTATGAATTCCTCTCCCTCACTGAGGACTGAATCTCACACCATTGTTGGAATGTCATTCATTCTGAATATGTCAATGTACATGACCATCAACATTGTTGTTGTCTGATAAGAGCACTCTCATAATTTGGTCCAACATTCTGATAAGAAATTCCTCCCATGGCTATCATTATAGAACAAGCTCTTTCTGTTTCTTACAGGCAGTGAAGGGTGGCTTCATGAATTCTTTCACTGTCTTACAGATAAACCATGAATTTTGAAACCCTTGACCCAGCTCTTGCGGAGTATGTGCCTGCCCTCCATCCTGTCTTGGATCCTCACCTCAACCCTAGCCTTCTCCAGAATGTGGAGCTGGATCCAGAAGGGGTACCCCTGGAGGGCATCCCTGTCCCCGACTCAGTGCACATCATGGAGGGCATGTACTCAGAGCTCCACACTGTTGTATCTGAAGTGGGTGTCCCTGTCTCCTTCTCACACTTTGACCTCCATGAAGAAATGCTCTGGGTTGGAAACCATGGGGTAAGTTGTTCTTAGCGCATGTGTGTGATTTAACTAACTGGAATGAAAAGGGCCTGTCTTTTGTTACACATATTTAATTAGCATTAAAAGGTTTGGAGTATTAGCACGATGTACAAAGTAATGCATCTGATTTTAACTCCAATGAATTTGCTGGGTTAATTCCAATACACTGTTTTATGCTCTGTTCATTTTCTATTCATGAAAAGAATACTGCATTTGTGAACTGACTGTCTTGGCAGGCAGCTTGAAAGATTTTTTTCCTTAAAAAGCTCACAAGTACCATGTTTCCTAACTTGTGGGTTCTTGTTTTAAATTCTAAAATTTCCAGCTTGTTTTATTTTTTTAAAAAAATATTCTTAGTCATATACCGTAATTGTTATTTACAGCAAAGGAAAACAAACTCTCATTTATGGTAAACAAATAATCAAATAATTGCCTTTAAAACCTCTGAATAGTTTGTCACATCCATATTTATCTTTCAGCTACTTTCATAAATAAATTGAATATTTGCTCTTTCAGAGTGCTTTCTCCTTTAGCTGAATATTTTATTGACACGCTAAGAACATTTGGGAAAATATATGTAGGTTTTTCTAAAGTTTGAAAACACGGTTGACCTAAAGTTTGGAAACATAGAAATTGTTTCAGCTGGAAATATAAATTTCTAGTGAAGTCAGTCTCTTAAAGAAACTGGCATTATTGAAGATATTTCATTTCTCACACTTAAAAAAAATTCAGGTGGCATGTTTTTCATTGACTTGTTCATGTTTTACTGTGCAAATCTATCTTCCACAACCTTATACACCTAAGGTATGTTACACCACAATCCCCATCATTCCTAGCTATTGTAAACCAAATTGCCAGCTGAGGATGATGGGGGCCAAAATCTCAACATGTCTGGAAGACTCTAGTTGAAGAACACTGGTGTAAGCCATGCATGCTGGTGCAAGCCATGAACAAACCATTTACTTGACAATCTGTCTAAATGACACATCATTCCACTTCGTCCTGCCATTTCAGGAAGCAGACATTTGAAAATGGTTGATTATAAGTCTACCGTGATGGTGGTTTTTAGCTTCACCAGTGCCAACTGACTTGAACTGGTTTTGCTTCTGGTGGACATGTCTAAATCCAGCAAAAAAAAAAATCATGCTATTTCTTTTGTATTATTGTGATGTCAGTCTTTAGGTTTTTTTAATATATTGTTATTAAATGTTATGTTTTTATTTTTGCCTTTTTTGTATTGTGGTTTATCGTTTGTTAGGTTTTGTTTATGTATCATGTTGTAATTTTGTAAATTGTGTTTTGCACTGTGTTTTTACTTCTTATAAGATACCCCAAGTCCTATTTGGAGAGGAGGCAGGATATAAATAAAGATGACGATGATGACGATTATTATTATTATTATTATTATTATTATTATTATTATTATTATTTCAAGGACTGTTCCGTGAATCTGTAGGCAACATTCATTTCCTGTAGTTTTCTTTGAATTAATAGAAGATAATTAGCTTTTGGAATGAAACTTTCAATGGTATTTCGTTTTCATTTTGTATATTTCTTTGTAATGTACTACAACTAGTCACATTGACCACCATTTGATTAAAAACAGGGAATACATATTAAATGGTTTTAAATCCTTTTAAAATGAATTGTGTATCCAGGTGCTTTGAGGTTCAGTTTCGATTAAATTAGATGAATTAATGAATTGTTTCCACATTCAGATTATTCTATGTGCTTGTTATAATTGTCACAACTCCAACTTGTACATTAGAGGAAAAAGCAAGCTGTGGTTGTTAATTTAGTGTGTGAACTGTAGACCAAAGAAGGAAGTTTTATGGCAACTAAATGAGATGAACTGTATTGTAAGGAGGATGGGTCATTGAAGGTGACTGTTTACCTGGGGGCCCTCATCTCTGTTTTTCCACAGTCCCTTCCAGGGCAGGATGTGTGTGTTTACAGATCTAAACAGAAGTGAGCATAACTGGCTTTCCTCTGTTTCAGGGACATGCCACCTCTTTCTTCGGCCCAGCCTTGGAACGCTATTCCTCATTTCAGGTGCATAGCAGTGACGACATTCGACAGATCCAGAGCCTGGAGAATGGGGTGCTCTTTCTGACCAAAAATAATCTCAAATATAATTCCAGAGGTGGTCTTATCATCTTTGATTACCTGTAAGTGCTTTGCACTAGCTTAACACTGGTTGGAAGGTGTCTTTGAAAACTATGAGATATGAATTGGATTCTGTCTATGCTTTCCATCTATTTGGCTTACTGGAAGAGCGGGCACACTTGGAAACATAACAAAAGATTTCTATCTTTAATCATTTATCATGTATCTGGTGCGCTGAGAAGTTCTTTGGTAGCATGAGCTATATTTGAAAGATTCTGATGTAGGTTTGAGGCATGTGAGATCATTCATATCCTGTCTTTCCTAAAGAAGAATTTTGTCAAATTTCAACACAGCTGCTAGGATGAGCCTGAACATTTTAATTATGTAATTATGTGGTGTAATTTCTTTTCATGTCTGTCTACCAAGTAAATAGGGTAAGTTACTCATGAGAGGGTGGCATTACGCCATAATTAAACCTCACTGTTCCATTTTTTCTCCTGTAGTATGGATGAGAGCGAAGATATGCACAGTCTTCTGCTGACTGATCCCAGTACCTTGCTTGTTGGGGGGCTCACCAGCCATGTGATAGAAATAGACCTCAACACTGTACAAGAGACCCAGAAGGTATAATGTGGCTTATCATGGATTTGGATGTTATTTATGGCATTGGGTTTGGTTATTCAGAACTCAAGCAGTTCTAAGAGAAAATGTTGGTTGTCCTAGTCTTTACACAAAGATGATCTTTACACAGCGATATCTGTGAATTCATGAGTGTTCAGCTAATGAAGTTTTAATAGGTCTTCATGACTGAAATTGATAATCTGGAGCAAAAATACAGGAAGAGAACTTCCTCAACAAATAATGTTAGGTATATCTTTCTTCACTTTGTTATTATTGTGATGTTTTCATATATTTTCAGTTCCTGTTATAAACATTTCAAAAGTATTTTTGCATCCCAAACAAATGCATTAAATGTTTTTTTCTCTTCAAAAAATGGGTGTGGGTCTCATTTTGCTACCAACATTTTTAGTATATGGAAGTTAAGAAAAGAAAAGAATTAAAACAAAATGTTGGCATTTCAGAACCAAAGTGAGATGTGGGCATTATGCTGTCAAGGGTTGCCATCCTAAATGGATTATGAGAAGGAAGTAATCATTTTCCAGCTCCATGGCCCTACTTATGCTAGCCAAGGAAGGGTAGGGCAGAATTAGTGTTTAATTTTTCCATTCTTAAACAAAAAATGAAACCAGTCTTATTTTCCATAATTGCTAGAGACTTTGAAGGACATTGAATTCAGCCAATACAAATCTGCCTCCATCCTGCCTATTTCATGGTCTGACATCAGTGAAAGCAGTGCCAGCACTGCATTATAGTTTGTACAGATATAACTGAGCCTCCAGTTATATCATGTATGGATCATTTTCTTATATCATCCGCTCTTTGCCAGCCAATAGATCTCTGAGGATGGAAGAATAGCTTGACTGAGTTATAGTACTTTATGCTCCCATTTCCTGCAAAGCTGCTGTATATTCACTGTGAAATGTTTTGTCTCTGTCCAATATTCTTATGTGTTTATTTTAGTACACAGTGGAAGTGCCTGGAGTTACTATTATGAGACAGTCGAACCGTTTCTTCTTCTGTGGTCACACATCAGGAAAGGTATGACTAATAACCTTATCTTCGCTCCCTGGAAGTTTCACAATCACACAGTGAGAGGAGCCATATTAAGGTGTTATGAAAAATCAGTATTTCAATCCAAAGGAAAAATCAAGACCTGGCATCCTCGAACTGCAGCCCTCCAGCTGTTTGGGCCTTCAACTCCCAGAATTCCTGACAATTGAACAAGCTTGTATGGGCTTCTGGAAGTTGGAGGCCCAAACAGCTGGAGGGCCACAGTTTGAGGATGCCTGATCAAGACATTTATATTCTAATCCTTTAGTAGGAAAACATGCTCAAATGTCACAAAGCACTAAATGTAACTAGTTTGTTAATTTTGTTTTTGGTAGAAGATCGAAAATTGATTGAAGCATTTCTCCATATTTTAACATTGCTCATTTCAGGTCCATCTGTTGTCATGTCAGATTATGGCCTCTGAAAAGATAACTGTATATTAGAATCTGGTACTATTAGCTGAGTGTATCATCCTCACCACAACTTTCGTTGTGTGCAGCTTATTTTTCCCAGATTGCAGACGGAACTGAAGGGCTGCTTTGTAGTGAGAGCTATCAGGCTATGAAAATATTCAGAACACAGATCAGAATTACATGCTAAAACAACAAAGGCGGAACTGCTCCATTCAGCTTCTAAGTCTGCTTCTGCTACCTTGTCAGCATTATTACAAAGAATCAGATTAGACTAAATTTTGTGTCAGTTCTTAATTTTGCCTTCCCTATGGGGAGGCCTTGAGGTGCCATGCTGCACTACAACTGAATCTGATCTTCAGACCAGTCTCATGTACTCTTCCTTGTCTTGAAATCTTGGAAGTGATCATAGGGATCCATGAATGCTATATGACTTGTTGGAGTGTATTTAATCTCTTGCCTATGTACTCTTACCTTATGTTTGTCCTCTTCATTAGCAAGAGGAGTTGCTTTTGTCCCACCCCCATTTTCTGCATTCCCTGGACTGTCTATGGAGTAGCGTAGATTTCACCCCACTCCAGTTCTGATAGGACTATATGGAGCTCAACACCTAGATATCTGATATCTTCCTGATAGAGAAAGAGACAAAGCTAATTTATTCTATGCTGTTGAATTTCTCATGTACTTTTAAACATCTCATGTAGTTTCTACTGATTTTTTAAAATTAGGTGTCCTTACGAGACCTCCGTACCTTTGCTGTAGAGCATGAGTTTGATGCCTACTCAGGAAGTCTTTCAGATTTTGATGTTCATGGCAACCTACTGGTGACCTGTGGTTTCTCCAGCCGAATGAATGGCCTTGCCTGTGATCGTTTCCTCAAAGTATATGATCTGCGCATGCTGCGAGCCATCACACCTTTACAGGTCCACATTGACCCTCTGTTTCTGAAGTTCATTCCTACCTACACATCTCGTTTGGCCATCATCTCCCAAACAGGTAGGTCTCTGAGCAGATACATTCTCTGTCCTCAAATTCTGCTGGTAGACTTACTGGAATCATGGAGGCCTCATTTTCTCAACATCAGAGCTTCTGAAAGAATTAACTTCAGTGTAAAAGAATGGTTTTGTTTTGAGTTCAGAGTACTCAGTGTTTGCTTTAAAGCTTTGGAGAGAAAATGTCTTGCTTTTCTCTTTTTTTCTCATTTAGGTCAGTGCCAGTTCTGTGAGCCCACTGGATTGGCCAACCCTGCTGACATCTTCCATGTGAATACAGTGGGCCAGCTGATCATGAGCTTTGATGTGTCAGCCACCAAGCAAGCCATGGTCTTTGGAGACTCCGAAGGCTGTGTCCATCTATGGGCCGATTCCCCAGAAATCACCTTCAATGCCTACTCCCGGGAGACTGACTTTGCCTTGCCTTGTATTGTGGATTCTTTGCCCCACCTTGACTGGAATCAAGATCTCATGCCCTTGTCGCTCATTCCTGTGCCATTGACCACTGACACGCTATTATCAGACTGGTCAGCTGCAAACTCAGTCCCTGCGCCCAGGTAATTCCTTACGACAGGAGAACTGAAGGAAATAATAGGTCTTTAAAGAGTTGCTTGAAAGATGTGTTGGTGCTGTTCAGTGAGTCCCTCCTCTCTTTTCTTATCCTCCTTATTATAATATCAGTACTGTCGTAGTATACTGGCCAACACACATTAGTGCTTCAAATGTTAGCTCTGTTTCTGGATATATTTGACCTGCTGTTTCCAAAAATGGCACCGGTTTTCCCCTGTCAATTCTACTTTTTGAAATTCAGAACATATGCCATGTACCAGTCATCATCTGTTTTCCCATAACATATAATAATAATATCTAAGAAAATAGAGCTGCTGCTTTCTAGCCAAAGAAGTTTTTGAATTTGTGCCCCAAATAGCACCAGGTGTACAGGCCTAAAAACCAATACTTTTTTTGCTTGGGCTCTATTATTCATTGTCTTGCATTATATCAATTCCTCATTTAGTTTTTACAGATTTGAACAATTTTTCATAAGCTACCAATTGGATTCTGTTGTATGGCAAGTCATGCTAATCATTTTCAGAACAAATTGCAGAATGTCTTTAGATTGTCATAATAATCTGCGTTAGAAACTAAAATGGACAATGCTCTGTTTATATATTATAATGGGTATCTCTGCAGAGTTTGGAAGGGAGTGTACTGTAATAAAGCCCTGTATTCCTTTAGGGGTTTGCAGTCGTCTTGAGGGGAACACTGCATTATCCAGCGGAACTTGAAAGTTTTGTCTTAAAACCACACATTTTGTTTTATAGGCGAGCCCCACCAGTTGACCCGGAGATCCTTCGTACCATGAAAAAGGTTGGCTTCATTGGATATGCTCCAAACCCCAGGACGAAGCTCCGAAATCAGGTAGCTGTGGGGTAGCTGTCAACTTTGTCTTGTTAGGGACTTTGAAAGCTGCATTTCTGGATGATGTTTTGATGTATTACTAAATGTCTACATGATGTCAGGTGCACTAGTGGTTCAGATCAGGACTCTCCAGAGGTTGTTGGAACACAACTCCCACCTGCCCTTTGTCTGTGCTAGCTAGAACTGCTGGGAGTTGCAATTCCACAATGCTTGAAGGATCACATGTTCCCCACTTGTGTTTTAGATTGAAGAAAGAAGGGAGGAGGGTAGGATTTTTGTCTTAAGGCCTAGGTTTGCACTGGAATATAACCTGTTTTAAATTTTAAGACAAGCTCTATAGGTTCACCTATGCATCCTTGTGGGTGTTAATTAACTTAAAGAATAAGCACATCCTGTAAATTTGTGAGTATTGGGTTACTATTTGCTGTCAGTAACGTATACCATGTCTGTTTGACCTATATGAACATTCCACAGTAAAATTGGGTGTATAGTAAGTTTTGTATTGCATCTATTATATGAGGTAGAAGATAGCTAAATGTTCTGGATTTATAATTATTCATAATGTATTCAGTACATTTGAGTCACATAATGGGGGAAAGCACATTTGATTTGTGTATGATAGGTTTGAAGTGGGTCCATATGCTGTTCTTAAACCACCCCTCCTTCTAGTGTGTACATCACCTTTGTCTCAAAAACAATAAAGTGAGAATGGATGTGGTCTGCAAATTCTCCATGAAGGCTCGAATGCTCCTCTCTTTTGCAGATTCCCTATCGGCTTAAAGAGCTTGATAATGAATTTGACAATTTCAGTCAAGTCCCTGAATCCCCCATTGGACGAGAAGAGGAACCACATATCTACATGGTGGCAAAGAAATACAGGAAGGTGTGTTTTTCCTGCTTTCTTAGCTGATTAAAGGTTTTACAGAGGAAAATACGGGCAGATAGAAAGATTTTCAGAAGAAAACAGCATGTTGTGAAATTTGCAACTTGCCTTGCAAATTTATTTGCAACTTGCCTTGCAGGGTCCAACCTTATTCACACAATAAATTATATCTTCAGTATTATTCAACCTCTGTTTTGTATCCTAAAGCTTACTAAACCAGGATCAGTAAAAGGTAGGAATCTTATGATAGTCTAATCCAAGCAGGGTAAGTAATCTGCTTTTTTTCAAATTAGGGAGCAGGAAAAGCTAATGGAGAACTAATGTTGAATTTGATGTTTCTCCTGCAGCTTTCTGTGATATGAGCCACAAGAACTATACTGAAACATGGATTCTTATCTTACTACCTTCTCAGATTAAGATCTGAAAATCAGATATGCTCTTATTAGTGTGAAAAGTAAGGCATGTTTCAATAGCTTCATGAGCCACTGAATTCTCTCATTATTAAGTATTTTACTAAGTGAATGCTGCCCCAGTGTCAATAATACTTTGTCACTCAATAACACTTTCTGGTTTGTTTTACTAAGGTCACAATCAAGTATTCCAAGCTGGGCCTTGAAGACTTTGACTTCAAACATTACAATAAGACTCTCTTTGCTGGCCTGGAGCCCCACATCCCTAATGCTTACTGCAACTGTATGATCCAGGTAAACACATTTTTATTGTCTCTGTTTGATAGCTTTGTACAGGTCCTTTGTTATCCAGACAACCTCAGTCTCCTCTGTCTACTGTTTCCTTTTCTAGGTCCTTTATTTCTTAGAGCCTGTCCGATGCTTAGTCCAGAATCATTTGTGCCAGAAGGAGTTTTGCCTGAGCTGTGAACTGGGGTTCTTATTCCACATGCTGGACTTGTCTAGGGGAGATCCTTGTCAGGTAAAGATGGGAAGAACAAGGGAACCTTGCAGAATTTTGTCAGATGTAATTTAGTGGTAAGAGTAAAGGGACTATGCACCTGGAGCTACAGTAGCCTTCCGTGTCAGGCCATGGTGACAATTTTGCAGAAGCTGGGATCATTGTTCCATCAAGAGTCATATTCTTGTCTCCCATTTAGTTGATATGCAGCCACCCAAAACCCTATTTGGGAGCACAATCAGGAGGCTGGATGACTATCTGTTGGGAAGGTGGGGCTTTGATTGTCTCTTCCTTCCAGGCAGCCTTTGCTTGTGGGGGTGCAAAAAAAAGGGGTACATTTTTCAGGTGACACACCTGTGGACTGCAGATGCCACACTTGTCTGTTCCAACAGTTTGGAACATTTTGCCTTAGATGAAAGTTGAGTTCTTTCTTTCCTTCTTTGTTTTCTCTCTCTCAAAAAAACCCCCAGCTCTATTGTTCAATTTGTTCCAAGCAATCCTTTGAGGCAAATGCATTTTCTGTTTAATGCCCTGCCTGTCTATTCGTAAAAGTGCTCTTTTTATGAATAGATGTTTATTTCCAAAGGGCTATGGTAAACTCACCCTTAGAGTTTGGAATTCTCCCCTTCCTGTGTCAGTGTTTAGGAAAAGATGGGTTTCTTCTTTTTCCTTCGCAATTCATCTGAATCTGTCTCCTACTCTTTGCCCACTTTCAACCTTATTTCTTGGTTCATGACTTCAATCCTGGGCTAAAGGCTACCAAACTACATCAAACATACCTATGAGAAGGCCACACAACAATCTTGAGATGAGGTTTTTTTTGGGATTTCAGACCAATTACTGTTTTAGCTCAATGTAAGCCAATGTGCATTCGTTTCATTTGTTTCAGGGTAGTAACTTCCTGCGTGCTTTCCGCACCATTCCAGAGGCAGCTGCTTTGGGACTAATCTTAGCCGATTCAGATGAGGCTACAGGAAAAGTGAATTTAGGGAGATTGATTCAGAGTTGGAATCGTTTCATTCTGACTCAGCTTCACCAGGAAACTCAAGAGCAGGAAGGCCCTCAGGCTTACCGGGGCATTGGCAGCAGGTATTAAAATTGTTATCCATCTTTTCTGTCCTTATTTCAGTACCTTAACGGGATTGGGATTACATAGTTTGTGATGCTTTTTGTCTTATGCCAACTTTGAAAAATCTACGAACACATGCCTGAGTAACTTTAAAATAGTATCACAAATCAAGATCAGTTCCAGATATACAGACTTGACACTCCGGTTCATGAACAAAGGTAGAAATATTAAATATATTATTAAACTGTTGGATTGGTATCAGACTCAGTTATCAAAATAGTGAATTTATCTTCGGTTGCACCTGAAATAGAGTACCACATTAAATTAAAAGCGGCAAACCCTCCACTTGTCTTACAAGAATAATTTTCACAAAACAAAAACAATGGCAAACATTTCCTACCAAATAAGAATGTCCCAAAACTGCTTTCTGATCCCATAACCACAAATTATCAGTTGCAACAGAAAGTGATATTACTATATAAATATAAAACAAATTCCTACATTTGAGGGCTGATTACAGCATAATTGTCATCCTATACAAATATAATGTAGTCCTTTTTTATTAGACTCTGTTGGAGTAAGATAATTTAGTGTCATATAAATGTATTTCAGGGATAAAAAAAGAATTTCTCCTATTTTCCTGTCGTAGTCACTGTGAATCGTACATTTGGTATCTGTGCGCATGCGCAGTACAGCTTTCGGAACCTTCTAGAACAATATATAACAATTTTAGAGCCCACTAGCCCCGCCCCCCCTCCCCTCGAGTATAAGTAGCCCGAGGGCAGGGCTAGCCAGCAGTTCTCTTTTCCGCGCTATTGCAGTAGCTTGAGAACCTCTCTCTCTCTTTGCGAGCTCGTGCCTTTGACTGATTTTGATCGTTTGGACTGGACTGTTTGTGACTAAGGTATTGGACTTTGGATTGGACTCTGTTGCTGGCTGTAGACCCGGACTGCCTGACCATTCTTTCAGCTGCCTCCCCTCGCGTGCTTTCAGTGTGATGGCGACTACCTCCTTTAAGCGCTGCTCCAAGTGCCCTAACACCTATCCGGACACCGATGGGCACTCCCTGTGCCTTCAATGCCTTGGAGAGGGTCATCTTACCCAAGCCTGCTCAGTCTGTATGGCTTTTACGCCACAGACTAGAAAAAATCGGGAGCTCAGGCTTAAGGCGGCACTTTATGAAAGGGCCCTGCTCCCTCCCGCCCCATCACCGCAGCAAACGGGTCCAACAATGTCTGCTGTGCCCCTCTTGGATCAGGCCATGGGACTGGCTAAGAAGAAGGCCAAAAGGCCCAGGGACAAGGCCTCACAAGATGGCCGCGAAACAGCTCAACGTAAAAAAGCTGCTCCTAAAAAGGCGGGAAGCGCTTCTTCGTCCCTTGCTGCTCAAGCCCCTCCCTCCACAATGGGCCAACCGGGTCAATCGAGCCTCCCTCTCAGAGCACCTACCTTGTCCCTCGAGGTGGATGTGACTCCTTTCAGACCGCAGAACTCGAGACCGGAGGGCCCGGTCTCGGAGGCTTTTTCGACCCCTCAGATGCCGACGCTCTCTCCCTCCGGGGGTGGAGCCAGCGGGGAGGCTACGCACAGGGAAGGGAGACCAGTCTCCGTGGCTCCTCCCACCTCTCCCCCTTTGGAGCCTGCGCCGTCCACCAGCGGCGCGTTTGGGGGCATCTTCAACGCCCCCCCTACCGAGCTGACTGAGACAGCCGCTCGAAGGGCCTCCCCACCTACCGCTTCGATAACGCCTCCTTTCGATACCGCCAGCCTAGGAAGGGAGGCGGGCCCTCCGGGGCCGCAGATGCCGGGTGCCTTCCATGCGGAGGGGTCGCAGATCTCGGATGGCCCTCCGATGCCGGGAGCGGCATCAGCTACAGCCTTTTATCAGGCCCAACGGAAGGAGGACAGAGGGTCTCGTAGGCCTAGCAAGCGGCCGAGGCGCTCTAGATGCCCTTCCCGAGGGAGCAGGAGCTCTCGACGCCGGGGACACAGGGCCTCTACGAGGTCGAGCCGGCGCTCAAGGTCCTCCTCCTGCTCCTCCTCCTCCTCGACCTCCTCATCGTCCTCCTCCTCCTGCTCCAGGCGCCGGAGACGCGCCCGCCGCTCCAGGGCCCCGTCATCCCGCCCAGCTGAGCGTAGTCCCAGGCCCGCGACCCCGCAAGGCTATTGGCAGATGACTCCTTCTGGCCAGCTTGTCTTTGTGCCGGGCCCGATCCCATTCTCGGTGCCGGCGGGGCCTCCCCCTCCCCTCCCCCTGCGGGAGCTTGGAGGGGTCTTGGGGCAAAGAACATCGGCCTCTCTGGGGGGCTCCAGCGCGCAAGGGGCTCCAGCACGCTCGGCCCTGGCCTCCGCTGAAGGGAACTTTTCTGCAGGGGACAATCATCTGTCCCGCATGGGTGCTGAGGCGGGCGGACCGGTTTCTGGTAATCAACTGTATCGCCAAGAGGCGCAAGGGGGCGCTGCGACCCCAGTGATCCCTGCGGTGCGTGCGTCCCCAACTGGATTGGTGCCTATGGGTGTGGACCCGGCCCCTCTGACTGAGTCTGTCCCAGCCGTGGCCACCCCACTGAGAACAACTGTTTTGGACTCTTCCAGAGCCATTGATCAGGACATTATGGACCCAAGGGACAGTGACTCTGGCTCAGAGCCTCCCGACCCTTCCCAGGCTCTAGGGGGTGAGGATGCTTCTTGTACCATGCCTGCTGATTTTCATAAGTTTGCTGCTTTGGTGGAGCGTATGATCAAGGCATTGGATATACCTGCCCCAAAGCAGCCTGAGCACGTGGAGGATCCGATGTTTCCGTCGGATGAGCAACATACGATCCCCTCCTCTGCTCTCCCACTCTTGCCTTATTTACTGAAGTTAGCTAAGGTGGCCGACACGGCACCTGGGGCAGTACCAGCGGTCCCTAGAAGGTTGGACACATTATACAAGATTGATATGGCCACAGCTAAGTGGGTGGTAGCTCCTCCCAAGGCTAACACAGTGGTGGCGGAAGTCAATAAACCTAAACGCCCCAAGGGCTCAGTGTCCGCCCCTCCTGACAGAGAAGGGAGAAAATTGGACACCTTGGGTAAGAAGGCCTATCTTTCTGCCAGTTTGTACACTCGCATGGCTCATTATGCAACGTATATGAGCGGATACCAATCCTTTCTGTGGAACCGGATGTTGTTGTATATTGAGTCCATGCCCGGGGAGGAGCAGCGCCTTGCAAAGGCATTGCAAGGGGAAGCCCTGGCGTTGTCAAAGCTACAAAAAGACTTCGCCAAGCATATGGCGGAGACTGCGGGAAATTTGTTTGCTACGGCCACCTCCATTCGCAGACATGCCTGGTTGCGGGCCGCTAATCTTTCAGAAGAGGGGAAGGCCTTAGCTGAAGAACTCCCCTTTCACGAGGAGGGCTTATTTAACCCCAATACAGACGATAATTTGAAACAAAAGCAAGATGTTAGGCAATCGGCCTCTAAATTCGGCTATACTTGGCAGCCATATAGTCAACAAAAACCAAGATGGCAAAATCTTACCTCCTCCTACCGAAGGCCATTTAACAACTCCTTCTCGGGGTCTTTCAGGAGTCGCTCGACGGGATCGTCGAGATTCCAGGGAGGTCGTCGGACCCCTTACTTCCAAAAGAACAGGGCCCAACCATTCCAGGGGAAACCCAAGCCGTCTGGCGCCTCCAAGAAGCGCCTTTGACGTCCCTAGAGGGCATAGCGGGCGGGACGTAACTGAATGCCCTTCCGACTTGTTACGGGAGACCCAAGTTGTTACCCCTCCCCCACAGGATTTCCTTACATTGAGTGTTAACAGCCCCGTTGGGCCTTTTTCATTGTTCAAAGACAGACTCGCTCCCTTCTACGATGAATGGGCAAACATAACCACAGATGCCTGGGTTTTGTCTATTGTTTTGAATGGTTATAGTATTGAGTTTGAGGACTTCCCCAGAGTGGGCCGGGTTCGGGACACGCCCTTCTCCCCTCAGATTATGGACGAGATTGCAATGTTGTTGCAAAAGGGGGCAATCTCACTGGTCGACCCTTCCGCGGTTCCGTTCTGTTTCTTTTCTAGGTACTTTTTGATTGTTAAATGTGGAGGTGGAATGCGTCCGATCCTTGACCTAAGGGCTCTCAATAAACACATTAAGCCCAAAAGATTTCGTATGGTGACTCTTGCTTCCATAGCCCCCCTACTCTTTCGGGGGGCCTGGTTTGCGACCGTCGACCTTCGGGACGCATACTTCCACATCTCCATTGCCCCACATCACAGGAGGTTTCTCTCCTTTCGGGTCAATGGTCAACCATACTGTTTTAATGTCCTCCCTTTTGGCCTCTCAGCTGCCCCACGGGTGTTCACAAAGTGTATGGCTGTTGTGGCCGCACACCTGAGGATGAGGGGCGTGTCCGTGTACCCATACATTGACGACTGGCTGATAGTGGCTAGGTCTCGTGAGTCGCTACAACATCACGTGTCCACGGTTTTGTCTCTTCTCCAGTCGCTGGGCCTCGTAATCAACCGGGAGAAGTCGGTCCTAATACCATCGCAGCGCATCCAGTTCATCGGGGCGCTCCTGGATTCGGTGGCCGAGAGGGCTTTTCTCCCCGAGGACCGGTTCGACAACCTGCGAGACCTTCTCAATCAGCTCATTACCTCGACCAGCACGTCAGCCAAGCACATTCAGGTCATTCTGGGACACATGGCGTCGACCACGTCTGTCATCCGCCATGCCAGGCTACGGATGCGGCCACTTCAATCGTGGTTCCTCTCCAGCTTCGATCCACTATGGGACAACCCCGCCAGATGCCTGTCTCCCCCACAGTGGGTCCGAGCTTCCCTGCGGTGCTGGATGGATCCAAACTGGGCCTGCGAGGGACTTTCCTTTTACGCCCCTCGCGCCACAAGCGTGGTCACTACAGACTCATCCCTCACGGGGTGGGGGGCACACACCGGCGGCTTAGTGGCTCACGGGACGTGGTCAGCAGAAGAGAGCGCTCTTCACATAAACGCGCTCGAGATGCTGGCCGTAGACAGGGCGTTGAGGTCCTTCGAAAGGGTCATCGCAGGTCAGGTAGTACACATTCTCACCGACAACACCACGGTGATGTACTACCTGAACAAGCAGGGCGGTACCCGTTCRCAGACGCTCCTGGACCTTACCACACAAATCTGGGAATGGTGTATAGACAGAGGGATTCAWCTCCTGGCRACACACGTGCCAGGAGAACAGAACTTGTTAGCAGACTCCCTGAGTCGAAATCCTCTGGCGAACCACGAATGGTCTCTGAATCTGGAGGAGGTTCGGAGACTCTTCCTGGCGTGGGSCACGCCAGAACTGGATCTGTTCGCCACACAGTTCAATTCAAAATGCCACCTCTATTGTGCACGGACGCGAGCCGTGACCCGGGGCAGATGTCTGGGAGACGCGTTCGCGCTTGTTTGGACAGGTCGGAGGACATACGCCTTTCCTCCTTTTCCTCTGCTCTTGCGGGTTGTTGCCAAGATCCAGAGAGACAACGCTCACTGTATTTTAGTAACGCCGTGGTGGCCGAGGCAGCCGTGGTTCTCGCCCCTGCGGCAATTAGCGAGGGGAGTCTTCATCCCTCTCCCGCCCAGGACGGACCTACTCACATCACAAGGGGGCCAAGTGTTGTACCCAGGGGTACACAGACTGAGGCTGACGGCCTGGCGGATCCTGCCAACACCATAGACCCCCTGTCGGGTTTATCGCGCCCAGTGCTCCAGATCATTGAGGCAGCGCATAGACCATCAACAAGGCGCTCTTATGTCTACAAATGGGCGCGTTTCTCCTCCTTCGCTAGACAACGAGGGGTGCCCCCTGACTCGGCCCCCATCTCTGTAGTGTTGGACTTTCTAGCGTCACTGTTGGACGCGGGCTTGTCGTTTCCATCGCTGAAGTGTTATCTGGCCTCTATTTCCTGGTTTAGGCAAAAAGTGGGCCTTCCCTCCTGTTTTTTGGATCCTGTTGTTAAGTCATTCTTGAGAGGGCTTAAGAACACTAGACCTCCGGTGTCCCCGGTGGTCCCTTCTTGGAGTTTGGAGCTTGTCCTAAATACATTGATGAGAGCCCCCTTCGAACCTCTGGCATCAGCAAGCCTGTCCTGTCTTTCATGGAAGACGGCCTTTTTAGTAGCCGTTACATCGGCACGGCGATCTAGTGAACTTTGCGCCCTTAGGGTTGACCCTCCTTACCTTAAATTTCATAAAGACAAGGCGGTTCTACGGACAGATATCTCCTTCCTCCCTAAGGTTTCATCTCAGTTCCATATTTCTCAGGATTTGATTCTTCCTTCTTTCTTTCAGAGCCCTACAACCCAGTTAGAAAAGAACTTGCATTTATTAGACGTTCGCAGGGCTGTGGCCTTTTATGTGGATAGAACGGCCGCTCTTAGGAAAACTCCTAGGTTATTTGTTAAATATCGGGCGGATGTGCTGGGTCACCCAGTGTCACCTCAGAGACTTTCGTCCTGGATAGTATCTACGATCCGATTGTGCTACCGCATGGCGGGCAAGGACTTGCCCTTACCTGTGAGGGGCCATTCTACGAGGGCTGTAGCCACGTCGGCCGCGTTCTGGAAGGGAGTCCCCTTGGACACTATTTGTCGTGCAGCGATCTGGTCCTCACCTCATTCGTTTGTGACCCACTATAAGTTGGATGTTGTATCCAGGCGTGAAGCTCGGTTTGGCAGAGCAGTTTTGTTTTCGGCTGTGGCATGACGCCCACCGTCCATGGTTAGTTAGCTCGCTATTCTACCAAATGTACGATTCACAGTGACTACGACAGGAAATTATAAGTTGCTTACCTGTAACTGTAGTTTCCTGAGTAGTCACCTGTGAATTCGTACATACCCGCCCKTCCTCCCCTCGGGTTCATGCCACRCCTTCTGGCTGCTTTGYGGCGGAAGAGAACTGCTGGCTAGCCCCGCCCTCGGGCTACTTATACTCGAGGKGAGGGGGGGGCGGGGCTARTGGGGCTCTAAAATTGTTATATWTTKWTCTAGAAGGTTCCGAAAGCTGTACTGCGCATGCGCACAGATACCAAATGTACGAATTCACAGGTGACTACTCAGGAAACTACAGTTACAGGTAAGCAACTTATAATTATATGACATCTCAATAGCATCAAACATATAATTAAACTTACTACAGTGCTCTAAAAGAGTCGAATGATTTTGGTTATCAGTCCACATGTAAGCTCAATGGTTTCTTTGCAATTGGATAGATAATTCAGTCCAAGCAATTTTTCAACTTTGAAATGTTTTCATCAACATATACATTTTTGTTGTTCGATTGTTTGCAAACAACTGAACAACAAGCGACCATAATCTTACAACTTCTTAGGTTTTTTGGTTTCATTTAAGAGTGGATTGATATTTTTTTAAAAAAAAAATGCAGGGCATCCCCCCCCCCCCCCAAATTAAACCTTCTAACAACTAATAGTAGCTATGGTGATTATTTGAAGGCTAAGTAAATACATTTATATTAAAGAATAAATGTTACAATGATGATTTAGTCAAAGTTACAAATTCCACCTTAAATTACAGTTTTATGTAAGGTATTCAAAATGTTATCCCTCCGCAGCAGTGAATGGATTGCATTGTTGAAGCCCAGAGCTGCAAACCTCATTTAAAGTTTGTCTTGGAATTTTGTGACACTTCTCTGGTATTGGATTTTTTTAATCCTGTTAAGCGTGTATACATTTTTAAAACCCCCCAATGCAAACCATTCAGAATTATAAGCAGTTACAGGTGTATGCATTTTTGGGGACCTTTTCTGTAATAAGTTACAACTGGCAAATGTGTTTGACCAAGTACCTTAAAGTAGATATATGCACCTCATTTAAAGAGGGTTTTTTTTTAAAAAAAATTACAGTTTGTACTTATTGTTAATAGTTGCCTTTTATGCAATCCAGCATTGACCCTCTGAATGTCTGATTAAGGCTCTGCTTAATAGTGATTTTAATAGTGAATGGGATGTTTTATATGTTTTAATATGCACTTAATTTTAATTTTTGTTGTCCAAAACCATTGAATAATTGCCATATGTAAAGCCACCTTGAGTCCCCTTTGGGATAGAGAAAGGCGGGATACAAATAGAGTAAATAAATAAATAAAATAGTTTTGTTTCTTCCAGTAGCTTTGGATCCTCCGGGGACTCAGTCATTGGGCAGCTTTTCAGCTGTGAAGTAGAGAATTGCAGCATGTGTCGTTGTGGCAAAGAGACTGTCCGAGTATCTTCAACACTCCTTTTTACTCTCTCCTACCCAGAAAGTAATGGTATGAAGTTTGTAGAATAATAGATGAAACTTGGACTGAATAGTAGAGTGGGGTTTGTCTTTGAAGCCTGGGAAAGCTAGCATAGAAGATCCAGTGAGCCTCTTGTGGCTTTCCACTTGGTCTTTCCAGGCTTATGAGACTGGAACAACTTGGTTTTAAAATCAGTTTGAAGTTAATCTTCTCAATAGGTGATAGGATACATTTATTTAGAATTTGGAATACATATATTTTTGGTTCACAAGTTCTCACAAAACTTAGGAGTGTCCGAAGAACATTGCACATGATAGTTAAGAAAGCTGTGACTTCTTTGCTTTTATACTATCTGTCAGAGTATAGCCTGACAATCAATATAAAAAGTTATCAGGTGTCTTGTGGTATGTTAACTTCAAAAATGAAGGATCAACATTTAATAATGTGTACGGGGTTTTTTTTTGCTTATTTAATTGCAGACATTGCTTTGCAAATTTTGTCTTAGATGATATTCTCAAAATAATCCTACACAGTTTTATAATTATAGTTTCCTATCTCAGCCTGTGGGCTGAGAAGGGCGGTATACAAATATAGTAAGTAAATAGATAAACTATAAAATGCTGAAGAAATCCCACTCAGCTTACTTGTGGGACTTGCTAGTTCAGATTTCTTGAGTTCAAGTCTACGGCTCTATATTTATTTATTTATTTATTTATTTATTTATTTATTTATTTATTTATTTATTTATTTGGGCTTTATTTATTTAATGTTAACCCCTTGGGAAAATTAGAGTCCTATTTATGCTTGTCACCGAGTCTGGTCAACTGTTTTTGATATCATTGGGCCTTCATGATCAGCAGTTGATCTCTACTAGTTCAGATTTTTCTTGATGATATTTGGCTGGCTGGTTAGATGTTACTTCTTGGTTTAATGTTCGAGATAATGAATATTACACATTTTTTTTCTTGCTGTCTTTCCAGATAAAATCAAAGATTACGACTTTGCTCAGATCTTGAAAAGGAGCATTTGCCTGGAACAGAACACTCAGGCCTGGTGTGAGAACTGTGAGAAGTACCAACCCACGGTAAGCCGGGAGGGAAATCATGTTTCTTTCAAACCAGTGTGAATGTGCTTATTCGTCCTGTTTTGTGGCATAAGATAAGTGAGGATTACAACAGCAAGGTTGCATTAACCAAAACCACCCTGATAATGTGCTTGATAGAGAGTTACCACTTGCAAACATTATCCGGCTGTGAAATGTCATTTTATTTCTGCTGTCATTTTGATCTCTGATATTGATTTGCCTGAAAAATGTAGTGCTCCCATTTGTTATATCCAGAAGATTTCTTAAGGATCATTTGTCTGGTCAGGCAGTATGGTCTCAGATAAAGCCACAGTGGTAGTACTAAATATTTATCTTTGCCCATTGTCGTTAAATCAAGTGCCTTCTTTCTCTGCTGTTCAAGGTCCAGACACGCAATATCCGCTGCTTGCCTGACGTTTTGGTCATTAACTGTGAAGTGAACAGTTCCAAGGAGGCAGAATTTTGGAAGATGCAAGCAGAGGTATAGACAAGTGTATAGATTAATTGTGCAGCAGGGCTCAGAAAATGCTTTGTTAGATTTTCCCCCTCTGGATGTTGAAGTCCCCTTGTCCCCTCCCCAAGCAAGAAATCTGCTCTCTTACACTGCCTGCTCTTAGGATGGATCCCATAATAAACAGTTAAGCTAATATTATGTGGCCAGTTTACAAAATAAGCACCAAATACACTTGTGACTGGCTATATCTATTTTAGCCACTTGAGTTGCCAGTGTTGTTGAAGGCAGGGGAAAGAGGAGGTAAAGTGTGCCTTAGCTTTTTGTCATGTGTCATGGACCAAGTATGACGTCTTATTCAGCTCCTTTTCCCAATCTTCTAAAACTGGCCTGGAGAATTAGAAAAGATGTTGTGTTGATTAAGTCACTGAGCTTTTGAGTGTATATTTATTTTGGCTCATTTTCTCTGAACAGTATTCCTTTAAGAAGTTGATGATGAAGAAAGGTGGCCTGGAACTCCCCACCAGTAGAGAAACATCTCTTGGGGAATGGTAAGCGTTTACATTGAAGACTGACTTATATACATACCTAATTGTTTGTTGGCCCCCTTATGGTGCAGCGAGTTAAACCGCTGAGCTGCTGAATTTGCTGACCGAAAGGTTGGTGGTTCGAATCCGGGGAATGAGATGAGCTCCTGCTGTTAGGCCCAGCTACTGCCAACCTAGCAGCTTGAAAACATGCAAATGTGAGTTGATGAATAGGTACCACTTCTGTAGGAAGGTAACGGTGCGCCCTGCAGTCATGCTGGCCACATGATCTTGGAGGTGTCTATGGACAATGCCAGCTCTTTGGCTTAGAAATGGAGATGAGCACCACCCCCCAGGATTGGACATGACTAGACTTAATGTCAGGGGAAACCTTTACTAATTTTTTATCACCCTAGGAAAGAAAAGCCCTATTTTTTCCAGTCAGATACTGGCCATATCCTTCTGAAAGCACTCATTGTTAAAAGCAAATGGCAATATCATTCTGTTCCAGACTTGCTTATATTAAGGCATGAACCACAATGAACACAGAATCAGTGTAGACTGAACAATTATTGTATTACATTTCATATAGCATTATAGCCTGAACTAACATGCTGTAGAAAACTTTGAACAAGGTTATTTGGTGTGAATTTTCTTGTGAGACATTTGCACAGCTGCAAAATAAAAATAAGAAATCATTCTTAATTTTTTACTTACTTACTTTATACCCTGCTTTTCTTTCCATGGTGGCTCAATCTGTTTGTAGAGTGATCAGTCTGCTTGTATTGTGGAAGAATATTGTTCCTGAAATAATTAATTTCATGATATTTTCTTACTTCACAACCTCATCATGGTTGCATATTTGCAAATGAGTCATCTGTATTTAAAGGCATAGTTGAAATGAAAATGTATGTCTTGTTTAATCATGGTTGGCCATAGTGGATGTACCAAAATCCACTCTCAGAATATGTATTCTTCAACCTTCAATTTACGAAAGCAATTGGTTTTTCTGAAAGAAATGTAAAAGGACAGGCTTTGAATATTTGTACCAGGCCTGGCCAATCGCAAAAGTTCATGCTACAGACACTTACTGATTGCAAGGGGTAATGTTGATGAGTACTCACTCCCCTTTCTGTAAGTTAAAATACCTTTTGAAGCCTGAGTGTCAAGTGCTCTGAGCTAGTCCTTCAGGTTGTGAGATTCATGACCATCAACAGCAACTAGAGGAGCCAGTTTCCGCTAAGCCTCAAAACTATCAGGCTGCCTTAATATGTTGTGACTTCAAAAACAGAGCAAGAGCACACTTGCCTTCTGCAAAATATATGTAAGACAAAAGCATCCTTTCCCATTTCCTAGAGCACCTTAACCTGACTGGTGATGAGATTAACCTCAACAAAATGCTTATATTTTCTTAAAGTGGTACCCTTGCAGTATATTACGCAAAACAAATGAAATCCTCCCCATTCATTCTTGCTTTTAACTCAGGATGAATGGAATTTTGTTTCCATGTATTTATTATTTATTTAAGTCCTAGTGGCCCAAACTAGCAGTAAGAAATGCTGAGGATTGCAGTCCACCAATATCTGAAGGGCGAGTTATTTATTACCACTCCCATTTTAATTCTTGCCTGCAAAATATATGGACAGTTCTGCACTTTGATATTGCATTTTCTGTCTTAGATGTTTCCTCCTGAAAAGTAAAACTTTGTATTGGAAGTAGACATCAAATAGATGGTAACTTGGATAATACATTTGTTCTGGAATTTTTCAGGCTCATCTCTTTGGTTTGTACATGTTGGTTCTAACTGACTCCCAGAAAGCTACAAAATTGATCATGGCAGTGTAGGTTTGTTTATTATCATTTCTTATAACTTTTTTTCATACTGTTTGTAATTGTGTTTACTTTATTCTCAGGAATGAACTAGGAGGAGCTGAGGGAGGCCATTCGTATACTTCCACTGAAGAGCTGAAGAACATATGGATTCCTTATTCCATTAAAATGAAGCTCTCCAAGAACAAGGAGCTGGAGGTTTACAACTGGGATGAAAGTGCTGAAGTAAAGTGACTGATTTGGAAATGCTTTCACACAGTAGCTTTGGTCATGGGATCTAACCCAGTTCTTCTCCCTTTCAAAGGGAATCAGCTATGCCTAAGTAATATCTGAGCCCCTGGTGGTGCAATGGATTAAAGCCTTGTACCAGTAGAACTGCTGACCGAAAGGTCGGCAGTTCGAATCCGGAGAGCGGATGAGCTCCCATCTGTCAGCTCCAGCTTCTCATGTGGGGACATGAGAGAAGCCTCCCACAGGATGGTAAAACATCTGGCCGTCCCCTGGGAAATGCCCTTGCAGATGTCCAATTCTCTCACACCAGAAACAACTTGCAGTTTCTCAAGTTGCTCCTGACACAAAAAAAAATCTGAACTAAGTTTAGTGTTTGAACAATGATTCTTGTATGGTGGTGCCTAAACAATATCTGAACTAAGTTTAGTGTTTGAACAGTGAGTCTTGTGTGGTGGTGTCAATGAAAAGTTCATAAATTGGACTAAACAGACACAAAATAAATATACACTGTGGAGCAACAAGTAGCCAAAATTTTACTAGGTGTATGTTTACTGTGCATCTCTATAATATGTGGTTTTATATTACATCATTTCCATGAATTATTCATTATTTATTTATTAATGTTATTTCTACTCTTCCTTTCTCACCATGGGGACTCAAGACGGCTTGCAATAACATGACACAACCCTGTAAATTTGTAAACACACCAAATACAAAAATTAAAAACAATTAAATAAAGTGTAAACTGAGAGAAGAATGGAAGAAATGATTTGGTCTAGGGAAAACTGGGCGAATGTAAATGTGATAATATTCCTATGTATGGGAACATGAAAGAAGGTCTGCACTTCAGGAGGAAAGCAAAACCTGGTCATGCTTGTCTAATAAAGAGCTAAGGCATGCCCCCCCCCCCCCGAGAGTTTTCCTTTTCTCAAATGGCAACAATGAATCTGAACAGACCCAGTCAGGCTGCAGAGGATTCTTGAATACAAGAAGTTGCAGTTTTTTCATTCTTTTCTTTCTTTCTTTTTTCTTTCTTTCTTTCTCTCTCTTACAAAAAAAGAGATATGAGGTAGTGTATACCTCAGGGGATAGAGATGAAAGTCTTTAGCTGGAACAGAAACCTGGGCAGTAGTCTTGATTTCTACTCTTACCAGCATTTTATATAGAAGACACTATTTCATTTATATCAAGAGGGGAACTAGCTGTGGGATTATTAAAGAGTTCTGCAATTTTTCCACTCCTGTATATGTGTGTGTGTTTATACTTAAGATGCTCAGATATTTGATCTCATTGATGGACTAATTTTATTTTTTGCAGCTGAGCATCTTGGAAGATCAGGAGTCAACATATGTGTATGACCTCATGGCGACTGTTGTGCACATTCTGGACTCCCGCACTGGGGGCAGCCTGGTGGGACACATCAAAGTGGGGGAAACCTACCATCAAAGAAAAGAGGTGAGCTAATTAAAAGAATAAGAGTCCCCACTGGTCTCTCATCAGTGTTGCATAAACGACAGGAGAATCTCTGGTGCTTTTTCTGTTGTGTCAAGCCACTTTGTGACTGTGACTTGTTGTTTGTGGATGAAAATTGCAGCCATTGATAGACACTTCTCCTCTCCTTCTGTTTGCCCAGGGTGTTACACACCAGCAATGGTACCTCTTCAATGATTTTCTCATTGAACCTGTGGACAAGGTAAGCAAACCAGAACACTTTGTAATCTTGATTTCTTTTTCAATATGTAAAAACCTTGATTTTTAAAACCTTAGCAAGCTACATTTCCCAGCAATTGAGATCAATCATCGGATCCTGACCTAGATTACCTACGACAGGAAATAGTATTATGTACATTAATGTCAAACTAATAAATTAAACCTTTTTGTCATGGGAGAATAAAGCAAGCATAATTAATAAGTATTCAATAACAGGAGGAAGGAAGAATGTGTCAATATTAATCCTGTTGTTTAAAAAAAGAGATATAATATCATAGCAAGACAGGTAAACTAGATGCCAGGAAACATGATTTATCCCATGAAGGCTTCTCTATGCCAAGCTGTTACTCGGGCGTTGCCATGGGCTTTTTGCAGTACATTATTTGGGAATTTTGCTCTGCTCCTCCCTTCTCCTAATCTCACACAATCAACAATGCACACACTCAACTCATGGTGCTCCCATTTTACTTACTCTTTATTTGATGTTTCCTTTTGGATTTGCAGTGTGAGGCTGTACAATTTGACATGAGCTGGAAGGTGCCTGCTATCCTTTATTATGTGCGGAGGAACCTCCACTCCAAGTACAATTTAACCAGTGAGTGAATCTGTGTCTACGTGTGAGCCTTTGATTACATGGATGGAGCGAGAGCACTTATTTGGTTCAAAATAGCCAAGTTCAAGCATGCTGTCAATATGTATCTCTTCCCTCCTGCTAGCTTGCCTCCAGATTTCAACAGTGCACTAGTAAGTGCAACAACACAGGTATTAAAAACAGACATGGAGGTGGGGGGCTCTATACAGCCTAGGGGAACACCCCCTCCCCAGTGTTTAAACCTTCAGTTGTCATGTAGGGGAATATGTGTGGGGTTGTTTGACTGATACTTCTCGGGGACACACCTCTTTTTATTCAAAGCTTTTAATCACATTCAAAGCCCTCAATTTTGTTCTTCTCCTGTGAGCATGGTGAGAGACAAGATGTCTGCAGAGAGCTAGATGGTTAGATGCTAGGCCTTTACTTTCCTATATAGAAATCTAGTTCTTTAAGTGAAGTCTTATAGCTTTTAAAGCTTGACCCTGCTCCTGTAATTGCTGAAGCTCATTCGCTCTACTGCTATACTCAAGAAGCTCTCCCCCCCCCCGCCCCAGTATTTTAATTCCCTCAGATATATATTGGTAAAAATGTTTCCATTCTTCTAAGAATATGTCTAGACATCCTTCAACTGCATCATTAACTTGTCCATTCCCCACATCTTTACTGTCTAATCTTCTATAGTTATTAATTCTTGTGGTTTTCCATTTTTGAACATATGAAATTCTTGCTGCTGTAAGCATATGCTGCAATATTATTTCATGTTCCTTTTTTATTTCATCATTCAATAGTCCTCATAATGTGAGTTCTGGCTTGAAATTGATTTTTGTCTTAAGGATTTCTAGGATTATTCCATGAATTTGTTTCCAGATTTCTTGCAGGTCTTTTTCCAGGTCTACCACATTTGATAGTAAGAGCCTTCATGGACTTCACACTTCCAACATTTTTTATTGCATCTTTATACATTTGGGTATGTGTATGTTAAATGCCATTTAAACATCATTTAATGGAAATTCTTTTTAATATTATTACTGTAAATTAGTGGCAATTTAAATTCTTTCTGCCACATTTTCCCACTTCTCTAATTCTATATTATAGCCAAAATCTTTACCCATTTAACAATACATTATTAAATTATTTCTTCTTTCATTTCTATTTTCAATAATACTCATATATTTTACAAATTAAATGGCCATCATTAACACAGAACTACAACGTGAATTTACTTCTATTTTGTTCAAAGCCAAATAGTTATAAATCCATTTTATATCTTTCCCACAATTGTTTATAATAGTTCCACGTCATGTTCCATCCCTCTGCCATCAGATCTTCCCTTGTTTTAAAATTAGGTTGGCCACTCTCCCATTTCAATGAATCTTGATATATTATCCATCTTTCATTATCAATTTTATAAAATGCTTCTTGTACTGAAATCCATAGTTAATAGTCTTCCATTATTTGTTGCTATCTCATTTCCATCATGTGTTCCTGAGATCCATTTTTTCTCTTTCTCTTTTCTCAGTCGGTATGCCAGTCATTTTCCTATGCTGTTGGCGGATTCAACATTTTCCTGTTTTGTGTAGCGCATTTTCTTCTCTCACTCCGTTGTTATCAGCACAGACAGTTGTACTTGTAGCATCTTAATTTGATTTGTCAAACTTTTATTTTTGTCAGTGTATAACGTTTGTTCTTGTTCTCTCAAATGCTTTATCCTTTTTGAAATTAACCAGCACTGATCACTTCCAGTCCCATTTGCCACCAGTGCTCCCAGTTTCTGACCTTCTCTGTTGCCTTTCTCTTCTCTCTTTTGCCAAATGTTGAAAACTGACTTAGAAGGAAATTCTGGTGAGACCCTCCTTTTACCAGTATTTCAGGAATTGCCCCACAAAAGAGGCGTGGGTCTTAGAAGGAAAGTTGCTGTGAGGTAGTCACATACCACAAAGATCGAAGGAACAAAATGAACACATTTTCTGAGGAAGTATGCCGAAGTCAGGAGGAAGTAAAACAGACTGCTCATCATGATACGGCAGAAAGAACATGTTAGTATAGAGTGCATTCAGACGGGGACCCAAAAACACTGTTTTGTGGTGAAACTCTTTGCTGCTTCAAGTCAAGATGTACTTGCACAACATTTGAGCACACTGTGAAAGGGAAGTCAGTAAAAGGAGGGCTGAGTTCAGGTGCTACACAACAATCTCTTAAGTCCTGACTATTCCATTCCTGTACAGCTGCTGACAGATTCTCAGAAACATTTCTTGCGATTCTGTCAGAAATGAATGTGCCTGGAATGATGGAAATCTGAAGTGGTATTGTTGTACTTCTAACCTTGCTTTACATACCACCGAACTCATTTGGGTCAACTTCTCATGTGGTGTGAGTTAGAGTTATTAACTTTAGTGTCGACATGCCCTTGTTGTAGATCTGGTCATAACAGGAAAATCCTTCATTTAGTCCAGTGGTTTCCAACTTGTGGCCTGTGGACCACCAGTGGTCTGCAAGAACCAAAATATGGTCCGCGGCCTCAAAATTACTACAGCATTACCTCAAAACCATGCAGCAACAAGAGCAACTGGTCTCGTGAAACCCTCTTATAGTGTCAAGGCAATAGAAATGCATCAGCTCTAGATGATCAAATATGGTTTTCTGTGGACGAGCAGATGGCAACAACTGGATGGCATATTTTCTGTATCAGAAACCAGAGCTGATGTGGTCTATCCAATGCAGTTTTCTGAATCAGCACCCCAAATAACCAAACCAAGTCAAAAGTTGACCAAAAACTGATTTGTAATCCTTTTGGTACTAATGTTGGAGAGTGGTCCCTGGTCAAAGTGGTCCATGGTAAAAAAAAAAAAGGTTGGGAACCACTGCGTTAGTTGCTGCTATGGACTCACAATGTGTCCTGTAAATCTTCTAGCTGAGTATGGTATCAGCAGGTTCTCTGTGAAAAGTCTTATTCCCTTTTGTCCTCACTTAGCCCTGGATGGTTGACCTTTTCCACTTGGTTTAGAGCTTTTGGAAATCAAATCTAATTGGCATATTAAAGGATTCTCTTTCTGTGTGGCCTTCTTCTCTGGGGAGTCCCCCCAGCAAAAATGGGAGTCTCCTGCTTTTTCCTAAGAAAAAGGAATCTCAGTAGGGATTCCTGAATGGAGTAAACCAGCTGATTGTGTTTCTTGTCCTTCTTTTAGTCAAGAACCCTATTGAAGCCAGCGTGCTGCTTGCGGAAGCCTCCCTCGCCCGCAAACAGCGGAAATGTCATGCCACTTTTATCCCACTCATGTTGAATGAGATGCCACAGGCAGGCGACCTGGTGGGACTGGATGCCGAGTTTGTCACTCTCAATGAGGTACACATTGCATGAAGGGAGAGAGGAGAAGGGGGGCAAGGAAGGGTAGGGAGATCCCTAACTTTGACTATTCTGTGCACAAGTCTTTGAGAAATGCATCTGCCCCTGCTTTTAAAAATAGGAGGAGGCTGAACTTCGCAGTGATGGAACCAAGTCGACCATCAAGCCCAGCCAGATGTCTGTGGCAAGGATTACCTGTGTCAGGGGACAGGGTCCCAATGAGGGGGTCCCTTTTATCGATGATTATATTTCCACACAAGAACAGGTAGGAAAAAATCTCTGTGAGAACTTGGTGAAAGTGATGCTGGTGCTCCAGGCTCAGGATGATAAATTAGTCTTACCATTCTGTTCATTTAAGATGTCTTGTGAAATAGTACGTGCTTTTTTGCCATATGCTTTAAAGCAGGGGCCCTCAAACTTTTTAAGCAGAGGGCCAGTTCATAGTCCACCAGACTGTTGCTGTATCAGGCTACAGTTTGTTGTTGTTGTTGTGTACCTTCAAGTTGTTTCAGACTTAGGGCAACCCTAAGCCAGCACCATAACAGAGTTTTCTCGTTCCAGTTTGTTTTATCTTCAACTGAGGCTGAGAGACTGTGACTTGGCTAAAGTCACCCAGTGGGCTCAAAGCCACAGCCTGAGGTTCAAACCACTATGCTACATTTTCTGAATTCCTTCCCTCTCTTTTTCCTACCTACCTTTCTTTCTGCCTTTCTTTTCTTCCTTCCTTCTCCTACCTAGCTTCCTTTATTCCTTTTTTCCTTCCCTTTTCTTTTTCCTACCTTTTCTTTTTCTTCTTTTCCTTCCCTCCTCCCTCGGGAGGGAGCAAGAATGAGATGAAAATTATTCCCTTCATTTGGGGGAAAATAGAGGAGGAGAAAGGAAAGGAGAGTTAAGAAGCAATAGGAGAGTAGAGAGGATCCTTCTTTTTTGGAGGGAAATAGGAAGAGGAGAGGAGAGGAAAGGAGATTTAAGAAGCAAGAGGGGGGTGGAGAGGATTATCTCCATATTGGAGGGAGATAGAAAGAGGAAAGAAATGAAACGGAAAAGAGGGTTAAGGAGCAAGAAGAGGATGGTGGTAGCTGCAGGGTGCAAATGGAAGTGGCAGTGGCAGTCTAAAATTTAGAGTGGGGACCAAGTAAACAATCTTGGGGACTGAATCCAGCCATGGCCCTTAGTTTGGGGACTCCTGCTTTAAAGTTTAGCTCAGTATCTCTGTATATGGGGGGCATGGAGCCAATATCAATGCTGGCCTGTGTTCAAGAATGATAGCAGTAGTTCAACATTGAGAGAATGCATATTCTTTACTATTGCCCTACCACAGGCCTCTTCAACCTGTGGCCCTCCTGGTGTTTGGGCCTCCAACTCCCAGAAGCCCTAGCCAGCTTGTTCAATGGTTAGGACTTCTTGGAGCTGAAATCCAAAACACCTGGAGGGCCGCAGGTTGAAGAGACCTGTTCTGTACATCCTTTAGACCAGGCATGGGCAAACTGTGGTCCTCCAGGTGTTTTGGACTTCAACACACAGAAATCCCAGGCAGCTTTGTGGGAGTTGAAGTTAAATCTTTTGGAGGGCCAAAGTTTTCCCATGCCTGCTTTAAACTCACTTGTTGGCTGAATAGGGTGGAGTGCAACAATATTTGAGAAAAATGCTCTAGAAGAAAAATGAATTGGAAGAACTAGCTTTGGTACCAAAAAGCTATTTGTCAACTTAGATACCTTTTACTCCTATTTCTAAAGGCTCAGAGAGAGCTAGCTTACATTCCCCATTCTATGCCCTTTCGTGCCCTGAAAAAAGTGGGTGTGCTGGGATGGATGAAACAAATCAAACAGGATTTCAGGACGGTTTTTTATCACCCCACAATAAGAGTCCTCTTCAGTTAGTTTTTTTCCTTAATAGACTAAGCAAATTGTTCCAGAACTCTCCCAAGTCCACCAAACCCCTTCCTTTATATGCAGGATTTCCTTATAGCTTCTTTCTTCCATCTTTAATCACTGTAGTTAATCAAGGACAACAGAGCTACAGGTCATGCAAAAATGGCAAGAGTGCTGCAGGACCTGAGGCTGGCCAAGAGCTGGCAGAAACGCTAGCAGAAATATACACAGAGTGTTCTAGCTCCTGGATCCCCCAGAACGGGGAGTCCGCAGGCTCTGCTCTGTGTCCTCTCTCGTGGCTTCTGATTCACCACACATTTTCCAATGCAGACTTGCCCTTCTGTCCTTTATCCTTCCTTTGTCTTCTTTGAATTTTATCCAGAGAAGGGACCTCTCTTCTCCAGGGCACACATAGCGTATTGCAGTTTTACAAACTGTTGGGGTTTTCATTAAAATTAAATCACTTCCTAATATTTCTTCTTTTCCCCCTTGTTAAATAATATATATTTCTGAATGGGAGGGGACTCCGCTTAAGGGAAGAGGAAGAGCCTCTGAGAGCTCATGCCTATTGGACTGAAAATCTCTGGATATCTTCTTACCTCTTCCTGAAGTGCAGAGTTCCTTTCCTTCACTATAGTAACCATAATTACCACAGTAACCATGCTTTCTTGACTCTTGTAGGTGGTGGATTACCTCACTCAGTACTCAGGAATAAAGCCAGGGGACCTGGATGCCAAAATTTCTTCCAAACACCTCACCACCCTCAAGTCCACTTACCTGAAGCTACGTTTTCTTATTGACGTTGGGGTCAAGTTTGTGGGCCATGGGTTGCAGAAAGATTTCCGGGTCATCAATATCATGGTGATTATTTCCTTTTGAATCTTAACATCAACTTTCCCTACACAGCTGTTTAGATTGAGTAAAAAAAGGGAGCGGGTTATTTGTGTGTGTGTGTGTGTAAAAGAAGTAACACAGAGAAGTGCAATTCATTATGAATGGGCAAATAAGCGATAAAATACAAGACAATAGCATGGAAGGAGAATCTAGGACTAGGCTTGGCAACCTTTAACCATGCCGATGGTGTAGGAAATCCAAATGGGTCAAGAGATAGTGCCATAAGATGAAACTCCCAGGTTAGATGGCACTCAACAAGCAACTGGGGCATCACAGAAGACAGCTACGAGTGGCACCATGGCTAATGATGCAACTGGACTCAAGCTGATGGAATGTTTAGCTGTTGATGTGCTTAGCAGTGAAAAGGGAATGCTGAAATGTCACTGCATGTTTTATAGGGATATAGAATGCGAAAAGTATGAATCACAGGAAACAACATAGTAAAATGAGAAATAATACACATTGTAATACTTCGTGTGAATGAGATGAAATGACAGTAATGGGACATTTTGAGTGAGATAATTACTCAAGGATTTCCTCAGGAATTGAAAACCCAAGATGAAATGGGGTGGCATTAATAGTGAACAAAGATATAGCAAAAGCAGTCAAAGGATGTAATGCAAGGTCTGACAGAATAATATCAATACGATTTCAGGGAAAACCCATCAGTATAACTATTATTCAAATTTATGCTCCAACTACAGGAGTAGCAGAATAAGAAGTTGAAAGATTATGTGCTGGAGTCCAGGAAGAAATTGACCACATACTAAACAGGATTTGTTGGTAATCATAATGCAAAAGTAGGAATGCAAAAGTAGGAAACAGAGCAGAATCAAATAATAATAATAATAATAAAATAACAAGGAGAATGACTAATTGAATTTTATGAGGCCAACAAATTTATACCTGTTTTCTACATATGCTTCCAACCCATTTCCAACTTTTGGTGACCCCAAGGCAAACCTTCTGCGGGGTTTTCTTGGTACAGTTTTTCCGAGGGGCTTTGTCTTGATCTTTACCTGAGGCTGGGAGTGACTCACCAAGGTTACTCAGTGGGTTGCCATGGTTGCATGGAAGGATTCAAACCCCGATTTCCAGAGTTGCAGTTTAATGTTCAAACTGCTACAACTTGCTGGCTCTCTCTTTCCTCAAAGTGAGCAGAAAACCTCTGGCTTTCCAGATGTTCCTGGACTTCCCACTCCATCCAGTACAGCCAATGATTATGATGGTTGCAGTCTAAATACATCTGAAGGGCCTCACATTCTGCAGATATAATTAAAGTTTCATAATTCAAAAATACGGGGACATAAATGGAACTAGAAAAAAATTGTGTATGTGTCATCAACCTTCTCAGCTCATGTCATGCAGGTCTTTCAGATCTTGGAAGCTGGTTAGACCTTCGAGAGATCAATCAGTTTTCTTGAAAAGGTGACTTGCCTACTGTTACTTCCCTTCCCTTGCAGCAAGCAGCCAAGCGAGAGCAATGGGTGTATCTTGGGGACCAGGAGGCCTGGATGGGTGCTGGTGCATGGTCAGTGGCTTAAGGTCTTTTTGACGGACAAGGCCACATGCAAAGGCTTCCTTGAAGAAAGCTTGATAACTGCTCAAGTAGACTGTTGGCTCTAAAAAGCATCCACTGTGTTTGTTTTAGTATACGTTTTTACTAAGGGTGGTAACAGCAGAAATTGTACTTCTGCTATACAATTTCTGTGAGTCAAAAATGAATTGTTTAGTTGAGAGCCTGTGAGGTCATCAAAACTGTGTGCTCATGTGACAACAGAATTCAAGACTCGGTTCATGCCTTTCTCAACAGGTTCCCAGAGATCAAGTCATTGACACTGTGTACTTGTTCCACATGCCCAGGAAGAGGATGATCTCTCTACGCTTCCTAGCCTGGTACTTTTTGGGTCAGTACAGACATTCTGTTGTTCGGATTAATATGAGCCAGTCTCCCAGTTAGCTTGACTTTTCTGTCTCAAGAGAATGAAACAGCTGCCAAAGTTTTCCCACAATGATTTCTATTTCTACAGAAGTAAACTATCCTTGTTTCTCAGTGACACTTGAAGTGCTGTAATTGAGTATTGGATGTGTAGAGAACAAACTGGAGAACCCTGGCAGAATGCTACATGGGGAAGATCTCTGAAATAGGTTAATAATTGAGTTTTATCTCCAGCTTTTGACATTCTGGGAAGAGGATTGTAATGTCCTGAGGAATAATCCCACTGTACCAGCTTCAGGATGGTTTTCTTTCCCAAAGCCAGGGAAGTCGGCAATGCAGTATTAGCCATGTGCTGTAAATCTTTTTCTTTTCCTCAAAGATCTGAAGATCCAAGGGGAGACTCATGACAGCATTGAAGATGCCCGCACAGCCCTCCAGCTGTACAGGAAATATATGGGATTGAGCAGTGGTGGGTTGGAGCCTGAGGATTTCCGCAAGGTGCTCAAGAGCCTGTATGAGAAAGGGAGGAAGATGGACTGGAAGGTGCCTGAACCTGATGGCCAGAGTAGTCCCAAGAGTAAGGAACCCTTGCTTCCCTGTCGAATGTTGGTGCTGTGTGCCCAAACACATTTTCCCCCATGTGCTCCAATGGCTGATTTATATGTAAAAGTTTACTAGTCATATTGCTTCTATACATTCTTGTTGTGCTTGTGTGTTAGAGAGACTGGCAATGCATGTTGTTAGTGTATCTTTGCATCTGCACATTTCCATACTTTTAAAAAATATGACATAGGATACATATCTGGCACACAGGGGCGGCTGAAGCAATAGGCAAGTTACGCATTTGCATATAGCGCGAATCCCTGAGGTGCGCTCTTGAGGTGTCCCTGGTGCGGACTTTCTGGCGTCCCAGCTGGAGCAAAGCAAAGGCATCCCCGGCTGAGAGGCCCTTTGCCCCACAGGCCCCGCGCCCCCAAGGCATATGTGACTCGGAAGCCAGGAAGAAGAAGGAGGAGGCCCCGAGTGCAGAGCCCATCATCCTCCGCTGCCTCACCATGCTGCCCCATGCTCATCCCAGGCTGCAGGATGCGGCAAATGGGAGGAAAGGAAAGCAAATCCAAGAGGGAAAAAGCTGAGCCTCTGCACCGCTTCAAGGGACGGCTCCTCTTTCTCCTCCTTCCTTTCTTTCTTCCCTTCTTCCCTTCTTCCAGGCTGAGGCTCCTCCTCACCCTGCCGCAGCTGCAATGCTCAGATGCCCCGTGATGGACCCGAAATAAAGCAGACCCGCCTTGAAAGGGAGAGAGGGAAAAAGAAGAGGAGGAGGAAGAAGAAGAGCAGGAAGGGCCCCTTAATAATATTAATTATAATTAGAGGCAAAAGAAAGGGCTCCCTTTGCCACCACCTGGACAAAGAGGAGCCTAGAAGAGTTGGAAAGGGGTCCCCCAAAGGGCATCCAGTCTAGTCCCTCTCTGCCAAGCAGGGAGAGAGGAAGAGAGGAAAAAAAGTAGAAAAGAGGGGAGTAAGGAAAGAAGGAAGGGAGGAGAGAGAAAGAAGAATAGAGAGAAGGAGGGAAGAAAAAAAGAAGGAAGGAAAGAGAGGGAAAGAAAAGAAGGAAGAAAGGAAATAGAGAAAGAAGGAAAGAGAGGAAAGAAAATAAGGAAGGAAAGAGAAGGAAGGAAGGAAAGGCTCCCCTGCAAACACACAGCAGGGGGCGCCTTTCCTTCCTTCGCTTTTCTTCCTTATGATTGGTTTGGGGGGGGGGGGGGCAAATACTGTTTGCTTACACTTGAAAATTACCTAGGGCTGGCCCTGCTGGCACAGAAGTCCTGAGCACCAGTCTCTTGCTTGAGCACAATTTGGTTGAGATTGTAAGGCTCAGCACCTCTTGTAGAGAGTGACTTAGTTGCCACAAAAGCATTAATAGCTTAGAAGTGTCCCAGAAAGATTTCCTATAAACCTGGTTCTCAAATGTTGGCATTCCTCTGTTTCACTGTATGATGCTAAGAGGTGGGTCATAGTTGCATGTCGTTAGTCTTCTCTCTTTGACTGTGGTCTCCCTATGGCTCACAATGCTGCGTCTTCATCATTTCTGTGACAGGTGCTGCTGTGTTCTCATCCGTGCTGTCTCTTTAAACCAAGACCTGCCATTTCTTCACTAAAGAAGTCTCCGAAAACCTGCTCCCTGAGTGGTGAACATTACAGAACATCTTCTCAGAAGCAGAGACACTCCACATATTTCTCAGAGACCAAGGGCCTTCTTCTGGGATGCTTCAGTTTGGAGTTTCTCAAAAAACCACAGGCATTACTACAGACCAAATCCTTCAAAACTTAGGAACAAGTGACAGTGCTCTTTGTGAACCACATGGGGGCACAATTACATTGAAAGAGCTGCTCCCCTGGGTTTGGGATGCCGAAGATGATACTGTGCAAGAAAGGGATTCTACATCAATGTGTGCAAGCTGTTCTAGCATATATTTTGTATAAAAATTGAGTGAAACAGACCTGTGTGTTACCCAGAAATCCTCACTTCCTATATCTGCTAGTCTTGTTAACAAAGCTGAGCTTGCAGGTATCATCTTTTTTTTCTTCCAGCTGGGGGTTGTCCCTGGAACAATCTAGAGCTGGACTCTACTGCCATGGAAGCGTCATGGCTTTTAAATCCTTTTCTTTTTTGGTATGTGAATTGTGAGCATATAGTATTAGAAGTGTAATCAAACTATAAAACATTATCAATGCAACTTAGTCTTGCCTTTTCCTTGCCTGAATTTTGTTTGTTTGTTTTACTTTGAATCACAGTCATTTTTGGTCCCTTTTCCGTCTAAACAAGATATACAGTAGATGCCATATTTTATACTATTTGAATAGCTTCTGTTTACTCCCTCTTAAAACTGAAGCAAGGAGGTTATACAAGACTTCCCACTGAAACAATGTCATATTGGGGATAGGTGGTCCTTGTCTTTATGTGGCAAAACAAATCTAGAACTTATTTTTATTTATTGTGTCAGAAGTGAATTGATAATACAGTTGTAATGTATAGAAAAATCACAAATTTAAAAACTTGGCATTGCACTAAATTTCGTTTGACCAGAAACATGTCACTTGGAGTGGCTGTAAAAAGGTCTGGTGTGGCTGTAAGAAGGTCCTCCATTGTGCATGTGGCAGGGCTCAGACTGTATTGCAGTAGGTGGTCTGTGGTTTGCTCTTCGCCACACTTGCATATCATGGACTCCACTTTGTAGCCCCATTTCTTAAGGTTGGCTCTGCATCTCGTGGTGCCAGAGTGCAGTCTGTTCAGCGCCTTCCAAGTTGCCCAGTCTTCTGTGTGCCCAGGAGGGAATCACTCATTTGTTATCATCCATGGATTGAGGTGCTGGATTTTAGCGTGCCAGTTTTGGGCTCTCGCTTGCTGAGGTGTTACTGCAAGTATCTCTGTAGATCTTAGGAAGCTTTTTCTTGATTTAAGGCATTGCCTTGAGGAAACAACTTGCAGCAATCTAGAACTAATGATGCTTTGTGGTAGACTTGGGGATTAATGTTTTAGAGCATGCTATAGAATAGAGAGAGCGGTGTATATTGGGGCATTGAAATAGAGAAGATTTCTATGTAAAAGGACAAACGCTAAACAATATTTCTATTTATCATATCTAGTGAGGGTTCTGCCCTGACTCAATGTCTAAAGAACAAAATAAATGATCTTGCGTGTCCTCTACAATGGGTGCGCTTAACTGTGATCCATTCTCAAATAACATTTACTTGGGGCGAAATATAAGTATGCCAGGTTGGTTAGAACTGGAAGTACAAGGTTTTAGTCTTGATGTTCTATTGAAACCCCCACTGCACGTGGCCTAGCTTTTATGTACATCTGATTCATACTGGCCTTCTTCTAAAACTTCTTAGAAAGCAGTGATGTATATAGATAGAGTGTGTGATAGGCACAATATGAGAAATTTGAATTTGGGTATCCCTAATCTTAGCCCAAAAATTAACAGCTCTGATTTCTCAATTTTAATGTATCATTGCACATTAGCTACACCTTTGCGTCAGCTTCATGTTCTGAGCAGCTTGTATAAAAGAGTAAGGTTTGCTTTTGTAAATAGGATTGCAAGTTTATCTGTCTTTTTGTCCTTTCACATATAAATCCTCTCTACTTCAATGTCCCAATATACACTGCTTTCTCTGTTCTATAGTTTTGGGCCAACCCTGAAACTGATGCAAGACTTAGGGAAAGTGGCCTTTGAGAAAGGTTGCCAGCAGAAGGGTGTTGGAAGGAGAATACTTTGGTCTAAACAGCCTACCATGTTGGGGAAGCCTAGGCTGGTACTTTAAATGTGCCATGGTAGGCATCACCCCCAGATTCAGCAACTAATCCAGTTGCTTTTTGTGTAGGAAGTACATGCAAACATATCTTGGGTCAGATCTGCTCTCACATATTTCAGCTCCTGCAGGTCTGTGGTGAGGATTGTGCAGCTTGCTGGATGTCAATATAGTGAGAAGGAATGCTGGGAATTGCTGTCCAACATCATCTGGATTCTCAGTACAGATCTAGAAGCTTTGACAGATTTTATTACCCCACATGTACTGCAGACTCCTTTGTGTCTTGTTGCACTGTGAAATGGCACCTATTCATTAAGAATCTGACCCTTCAATTTCCATGACAGGTCTGATGAATTACCTTCCAGGAGACAGCATTGGCCTATGAGTTGGCTCACATCCATGATCCCTTCAATCATAACATACTTTTTTCCTGACAGCAAAGTGCCTGGTTAAATGACAATCTTAATGAACATCTATCTCAGCAGTAATTTCCTCCTTCTTTAAGGTGACTTAATAAATTAAAACCCCTTCAGGAAAAGCCTAAATATATGTAAATAAATCCAAATTCCAGCATCTACATTTTGCTCATGGTTGGACAGGTCAGAGACAGAGTCGTAGATAGTCAGAGAAGAAGACTACCTCATCCAGCAGAGAAGGTCCATTCTAAGAAAGAGATCAGACATACTTTTTCTGAAGTTAGTTGTACAATCAATCATATTTTTCAGATCAGTAGTTTTCCATGACTCCAGAATAAGTCAATAAATTTAGTGGTGCAAAGCCAGATAAGAAAAACTATGTTTTTCTTGGTTCTAGGTTTAAACTTTAAAGTTTTAATATTGTATAGTTCTCCGTGCTTGTATGGCAGGGATGGGTAGAACCGAGGCTTGATGGGTTCACTTCATTTTTTTTACTAGAATCCTAAAGTGAATTCATTCAAGTCAGGTGCAAAAGTCACATAGAATTAAAGAACAGAGTGCCTCTGAGCCAATTCAGAGACTAGGAATTGTTAGTCAATACTTTAAGAAGTAGCTCACCACTGATACTGTTTAAAGAATGTTACCTTGATAACACTATAACAAAATTTGAAAAAAAATGTTCTTGGTTTGAAAGCACTGTTTTCTGTTTAACTGTGTGGTACTACTTACTTTGAAAGTAGTTATTATACTCCAGAAACTTCATTTTTGTGGCTGCCACAAATTATGTTGCATTGGTTGAGACTCAGTGAAATAGTCATTGAAAAACTATAGCAAAATGTGCTGCAGGATGTTCCACAAAAACAAAGATTTTGCAATTCAATAAACTTTTTCAATTTTTTAAATGATAGAACCAATTAGGAAATTACATTTATAACCCAGGAACTAAAATCGTGTTACATAGTGCAATGTGTGGATGTACCATGTCTGTGTCTAGTTTAGAATTGATAGGTGAGCATTTATTGAGATTTAGCGGCTATAATTTAAAATCAGGAAGCAAGGGCCTTGTTCTGTTTGTTTTTTCGTGTCAGTTGTTCCTGGTATGAGAGAATTGGCCATTTGCAAGTATGTTGCCTGGATGATTTAACATCCTATGGGAGGCTTCTCTCATGTCCCCACTTGGGAAGCTGGAGCTAACAGATGGAGGCCCACCCCACTCCCTGGATTCAAACTGCTGACCTTTTGGTCAGCAGTCCTGCTGACACAAGGGTTTAATCCAGTGGTTCGCAACCTATGTGTCCCCAGATGTTTTGGCCTTCAACTCCCAGAAATCCTAACAGCTGGTAAACTGGCTGGGATTTCTGGAAGTTGTCGGTCAAAACACCTGGGGACCCATAAGTTGAGAACCACTGATTTAACCTATTGCACCACTGGGGGCCTTGTGATGTAACAGGAGTAAGGCAGGCAAGAGTTAAAAAGGGGTTAACAATTTCTTTTGGATCACCTCACTGTAAAGATAAAATTTGAGTAAATGGGCCTCCAATTTGGAAGACCTCAGCAGGGTGGCTGATGGCCAGGGTTCTTGGAGGTGTCTTATTCTTAGGGTTACCATTAGTCAAAGCTGACTTGATGGCAAATGACAGCAAGTCATTCCTAATAGGTACTGCATCCCACATAGCTCTGACAAGGCAACTGTGGAAGGCTATGGGTATTCATGCCCACAGAAGACCTTGGAGAGCTGCATATTCTCACTTCATCTGCTCTTGCAACTTACCCCAGGAATTTGAATCCTGTCTAAGAGACACGAAAGCATTATTACCATATTTTGGAGCCTTCTTGAGTGCCCCTCTATCCAAGGGCATTTTGTGTAATTTTGAGTATTAAAAAGAAGTTTGGAGAAAATTTGACAAAAATCTGTTTTGTACTTGTTGGTCCAAATGTGGTGGAAATGCTCTTCATATACACCAGAGGTCATCAGGTGATGCCCATGTATACAGTTGCTTCTTAGATTGCCTGAAGAATATGTTTGCAGTGAATCTCAATTTCTCCCACGCCTCTGTTCCTGTTATTGGTTGCCTTCGTGTTATTTCTGACTTAAGATGGCCCAAAGTCAACTCTGTCATGGGGTTTCTTGGCAGAATTTATTCAGAGGATGGTTGCTCTGAGGGGAAGAGAGTGATTTGCCCAAGATCACCCAATGGGTTTCCATGGCGAAGCAGGAATTTGAATCCTGGTCTCCCAGAGTCATAGTCCATCACTCAAACCAATATAGCATGCAGGTTCCCCTTTTTTACAAAGTAAAAAAGGAAAAACGGTATAACCATAACCCAAGATTATACCTTACCTTTGAACCGATTAGGGCCATTAGTTAGCATGAATCTTAAAATTTATACTAGCTAACTGTTCTAACGGTAAACAGTAGAATGCTTAGAATAATGCTCCCGCAAACATCCCCGGTGGTACAGTGGTTTAAACCCTTGTGGCAGCAGGATTACTGACTGACAGGTCAGTGATTTGAATCTGGGAAGAGTGGGTTTTGATCCCTCTGTCAGCTCCAGCTCCCCATGTGGGAACATGAGAGAAGCCTCCCATCAAGGATGGTAAAACATCAAACATTGGCATCCCCTGGGCCATGTCCTTGTAGAGGGCCAATTCTCTCACACCAGCAGCAACTTGCAGTTTCTCCGTCGTGGTCACTGTGAATCACACATATGGTACTTTCTGCACCTGAGCAGGACACCTTTGGAATCTTCTAGACAATTTGTTAAACATTTTGGCGGTAGCCCTGCCCACTCTCCCCTTGCGAGTATATATAGTCAGTGGGAGGGGCTACTGCCTCCAGTTCTCTTCATCCACCGCTTCAGCACCATCTTGAGAATCTTCACTCTGACTAGCTTTCTTGGACTGTTTCTTATTGTGCTTTTTGACTCAGGTTGCCTTGGATTGCCTAAGTACTTGCCCGTTTCTTTTGATTTAACTATGTCGGCAACTATGTCTTTTAAATGTTGTGCCAATTGCCTGAAGAATTTCCCTGACAACGATGGCCACTCCCTATGCGTGCTTTGTTTTGGAGAGGGACATTTGTCCCAGGCTTGTACCATCTGTCAGGCTTTCACGCCGCAGAAAAAACCTAGAGTCGAGGCTTAAGACCACCTTATATGAGCATGCCCTCTTGCCCTCAGCACCCCCCCCCCAAGCATCTTCCGGGGCCGTTGGGTCCCTCTGGGGGCTTAAACTTACCTTCATTGGCTGCTAAGCAAGAAGGCGAAAAAGGCCATTCTGCAAGGAAGAAAAGACCCTACTGTCTCTCCCCTCCCCTTCTTTTCAGCCTTATTCAAGGAAATTCCAAGGTAGAGGGGAGAACATCGGTTTGCTTTGAATCCTTAAGACAGGTTGCAATTGTCTGCTGCTCCATTTGAGTTCCTCACAGACAGCCCTGCTTACTTTTTCTCTCCATCACATCAGTGAGAGACAAGAGACAAAGGAGCCACTAATGCACTTCCTTATGTTTCACACCCAGGGAAGAGCACACCCCTTGCCCCAACCTGTAGTCCTCTACTAACAACATAAAGTTGCCTTGTGGCTTTATAGTTCACCATATGCTAAACTTCATTTTGATGCTGTCCATTCCAGCATATATGATTTTGTGGAGTGGCTTGATATTTACACACGCACCAATAACCAGTTGAGTTTTTCTGGCTGGAACTTGCAGTCTGTCCCATCTTCCTGCATTGCACCTGCATAATTTTGAGATGAATTTGGACCTCACTTGACTTACTGGTGATGTGGGAACTAGTGACTTAATAGTTCTATTTTTGAGTCACTAGTTGGTTTTGATACCCTCTGTGGTACTTCCCTTTCCTTTGAAGTTTTGGGGATCTGGTGCCATTAACATTTTCATCCTCTGTAATAAATGAATTGCTTTCAATATTACATCCTCCTAAACAGTTAACATACCTTCTGGGTTCCTGCCCGGACATATTTTTCCCTTCTTTTCTCCTTTCCATCCTCTTTAATTGGCCAAGCTCCCTGCCAAGCCATCGGCAGGATTTTAAATATAATTTTTATTTTGCTGAGGGAGCCCAGATTGCATCTTGTCATCTTGATTGATCCCCTCCTTCTTTAGCATTGGTCAGTACCTCGACTCTGGTTGGCAAAGAGAGGAGGATTTCTGCAGGGAGGGCTAGGTTACAGTCTCGGGATGCCAGGTACCGCTCCTCAAAGCAAAAAGACCTGAGGAAACCCCTGGAGATGAGGAGAGAAGAGGCCGCCTACTCCTTGCCTGTGCACCAGACCTTCCTTCTCCTCTACTCTCAGGATGCTTGCTGCTCATCAGAACATGAATACTGCCCTGGTAAGTTTTTATAACCAGCCCTGATTTTCTGTCAGGGAAGACAGTCTTGAAAGAAGAAATGGAATTCAAATCAATTCCTCTGATATTGGTTTTCAAAGTTACAGTGACACCCTATCCCCCATTTGCCACCTAAAAGGGTCTTCACTCTCCTCAGAAGCTGTCATCTGATTGTGGGGTGGTGGGGTGAGAAGAAAGACAGAGGGGGGCTTTCAGAAAGTAGAGGCTGATTTAGATAGGAAAGGATGCTTGAAATCAAATTTGCTCTAAGAAAGAAGCTTTAACACTACAGGACTAGGTTTGTTTCATGCATCGTTTTGTCTGATGCTAGATCCAAGTTCATGAGAATAACTGTAGATATATTTAGTATGTTGGTCTTCTTGGTTGGAGATAAATTGTGACACATTATTAAACTCCTATACACCTGTGGGTCACACTGGTGACACAGCAAGTTAAACCACTGAGCTGCTGAACTTGCTGACCGAAAGGTTGGTGGTTAGAATCCGGGGAGCAGGGTGAACTCCCGCTGTTAGTCCCAGCTTCTGCCAACCTAGCAGTTTGAAAACATGCAAATGTGAGTAGATCAATAGGTACCGCTTCTGCAGGGAATATAATGGCGCTCCATACAGTCATACTGGCCACATGACCATGGAGGTGTCTATGGACAATGCTGGCTCTTCGGCTTAGAAATGGAGATGTGCACCACCCCCCAGAGTCGGACACAACTAGACCATTATCTTTATCTTTACTTACACTTGTGGCTGAGGGGAGAAAGAGTGAGGGGGCATCAGGTTAAAAAATGATTGGAAGGGACATTTGTTTGGTCTCTGGTTATACTGGGCTGGCTTAGAACAGTTGACTCTCCATTTCCATAGATTGTGTATCAACAGATCCTCCCCCCTCCCCCAAATATATATCCAAAAATGAATCTTGATTTTGGTCTTTTATATATGGGGCACAATTTCATAGAATGGTGGTTTCCTTGGGAATAATACTAGAGGTCTGCGGGCATCCCGTCATCTCCACTGGACCTCACCCCTCCCAGAAAGAGCAGCATCCAGTCCTCAGTTCATATAACTGCAACACATGCTTCATACATGTTACGAAGTTGATGTAGTTGCTCTCTGCAAAATCCCATTGTATATGTAGCTGTTCTATTCTGGGCATAAGGAGCTCTTTTAACAGTAGCAATCCAGGATGCCTGGGGGCAGCTCTCTTGTTGCTGCAGGTGGGGAAAACTTGGCGGTGCTCTTTAGCTGCATCCTTGAGCGCTGCCAGCCAGGATGGCTCAAAGCTGAGCTATTCACCATACAGATCTAATTAAGGCAGTAGCACGCTTAACTTCAGAATGTAAGCTGCACATGTTTGTTGAACCTCCATAGACTGATGATGGTGATATATAGCAAGTTAACATTTCAAAGACAACTGCAAGAAAGATTTTTAGAAACTAGGGGTTACATTCCCGCATAATTAACATAAAAAAAATGTAAGGGTTTGATATTAAATTTCTAGAGCACAGCATTGTCTTCCCCTCACTTTCTTATCTCAACATTACGTCGTGGAGGAGCACAATCATCTTCTAATTGGTCATTTTGGGGGTCCTCTCTCAAGAATCCCCTGCTTTTCTAAAAATTGGTGTGTGAAAGGTATCCTCCAGACCTGATGATATCCCCTTCTTGTGCATGTTTGAACCCCTTCTGAATTTCATGTCAAAGAATGAGTTTGCTATTCCAGACAAGAGGTAGGAGAGCATTTACAAACATGGCACAAACACCTGCAGTGCTGCCTGAATTCTGTCCAAAATTCAACTAACTCTGCTGTGTAAAGAGAGAAAAAGTGGAAAGCAAGCAAAGAGTGTGTGAAGGTTTCAAACAAGATTTCAATTATTCTCTCTGCACTTGGTGTTTCTTCACGGTTTGTAAGAATCCTCTAGTCTTTTCACAGGGGTTTTGTACACCTCATTTACCATGGCAAAAAGAGCACAGAGGAAGGGAGGATAAAATTTAACCATACTGATTAGCAAAGTTCATTGTCGGATCCAGGAATCCAGAATTACAAAAGTGAAATCAGGCAGGGTTTTGTTGTACGAGACAATATGGTTAGTATAAAGGCCTTTGTGATCTTCTCCCTGTAACACATCATAGTCTGGAGGTAATTTTTACAATACTTTTACTAATTTTGTGCGTGAACAAGGTTTGCTGACATTGAACTACCATATGTGGACAATAATCAGATTTTGGAAGATTTCAGATTTCCAAATTCCAAATTAGGGATGTCATCAGTTTCAAGGTGTTGCTTTGCAGCTGTTGAGACAGAAGCCACGAATGCTCTTTCGTCTGGCAAGGAAGAAATCCTGAGTCAAGGCATTCTGGTTCCAAACCATTTAAGAAACACATCACATTTATGCTAAGAGAATTATCAGGTCAAAAACTTGCCTGATGCACACTACTTCAGCCAAGATTATAGTTATAATTTTATTATAAAATGGGTTGAGTTGTAGCATGCTTCCATCCAGTCAGATCCTGTGCTTGTGTAAGTATCCAATATGCTTAGGATCAGAAGTGTTCTACATTTTGGATTTTTTTCCCCTGGATTTTGAAATGCTTGCATACACATATAATGAGGTCTCTCAGAGATAGGACCCGAGTCTTAAAAGGAAATTTAATGGTATTTCTTATACTCTCATCTTGAAGGTAATTGTATACAGAATTTTAGTAATGTGCATGAAACAAAGTTTGGCTACGTTTATTTATTTATTTATTTGCATTATTTCTACCCCGCTCATATCAGCCCGAAGGCGACTCAGAGCGGCCGTTAGGAAGCAAAGGTGCCAATTGCCTCGGCCGCTCATGTAGACAGTTTTGGATGTTGGAGTGTTTTTGATTTTGGAATTCTGGATGAGAGATGCAAACAGGCTCCTGTTTTTATATTTTGGGTTTCATGAATAAAATGTTTTTTAAAGAAATACTACTGGTAATAAAAGTGTTCATTTTGTAATACTGAAAGGAAAGCATATCATTTATTCAATTTATATCAAATAATAATAATACTATAATAATAACAATAATAATAAACTTTATTTGTACCCCGCTACCATCTCCCCAAGGGACTTGGTGCAGCTTAAATGAGGCCAAGCTCACAATACATCAATAAACAAAACATCAAATAAAACAATCAATATAATACAATTCATATAAATCACATAAATAAAAATAAGCAATAAACAATCAACAGTGACATACAAGCATTTAAAAAACCAATGGCCTGGCCAAACGTAATAGATTAAAATTAAAATAATGCTGACATGATGTGAACATTTTCAGAGAGAAGTGAGGGAACGCAGTCAGTCCTAAATCAATGGTAAAGTGCATTTTGAGGGTATATTGCTGAGAGTTTTCCTTATTCTGGGTAGACACACTGGAACAACCATGTTTTCAAGTAAAGACTGCCAGAGTTGGGCCATGTCTGATGTCCCTGGAAAGTGAGTTCCAGAGTTGGGGGGCCACTACCGAGAAGGCCCTCTCCCTCATCCCCACCAATTGCACCTGCGAAGGAGGTGGGAGCATGAGCAGGGCCTCTCCAGATGATCGAAGAGATCGTGTGGGTTTGTACACAAAAATGCGGTCACACAGATAGGCGGGTCCCAAACTGTTCAGGACTTTGTAGGTCAGAACCTGCACCTTGAATTGGGACCAGAAAATGAACGGCAGCCAATAGAGCTCCTTAAACAGGAGGGTTGACCGCTCTCTGTAAGAAGCACCAGTTAATAACCTGGCTGCCACCCGTTGTACCAATTGAAATTTCCGGGCCGTTTTCAAGGGCAGGCCCACGTAGAGTGCATTACAGTAATCCAATCTGGAGGTGACTAAGGCATGGACCACCCTGGCCAAATAATAGAGGGGTAAGAAATCTTTGATCCTCCAGATGTTTTGTGTGCACTTCTGATGACCCCAGCCAGCATGGCCTTGGTGTTGGTACTGTATTCTAAAACATCTGAAGAGCAAGCAGTTCCTCAGCACTAAAATAATGTGTAGAGCTGCTGGGCAGGAAATAACCCAGCATGAAAAAAGCTTCACAATAACATAGATTCCAGGGATATGTATTATGAGGTCAGGACAAATCAGTGGCACTTGAAAACTCTGAAGCTCATGGAAGGGGTTTGTATGTATAACTTTTGTGCAGCAACATGATATTGGGATGCAGAGCTTCAAAACTGGATATAACACGAGAAGGAGCTGCATCTCTGCGTTGATATTTCTTCCTTATCACTCTGCTAGTCTGGCCCAAAATGTGTTGCTATCTGGGGGTGTAACTACACTATCGAACTATTTCAGTTTGACACCACTTTTACTGCCTTTAATCAATGTGATGGAATCATGGGAGTTATAGTTTGGTGAGGCACTAGCATTATTTGGCAGAGAAGGTTAAAGACCTCATAAAACTACAACTTCCATGGTTCCATAGGATTGAGCCATGGCAAGTTAAAGTGGCGTCAACCTGTACTGATTCTACAATATAGATGCGCCCTGAGACAGGGCAGCCAACGATGTCATCTCTTCAGTTTAATGTGCATACCACCCAAAGCCAACAAACCTACTGCGCCAATACTGCACAAATACAAATTAACAATAAACTTGATACTCCAAATCTGCTACCTGAAGTAGTTTCCTCATTCTGCCAAATGGTTGAATCCCTGAATGTCCTTGATGGTTAAAAGGGTATGGCACAAGCCTGAAAATGAATTAACAGAAACACTTCACTGTTATGATTTAATTTTAGTTATTTATTATAATGGTTAAATCCAATCTCATCCAAGAGAAGATGTATGTTTCTCTTCTCACATTAAAAAAAACAAGCATCTGCCAGCTTGAAATTTGTTATTCACTTGCTTTCAAAGTGAGAAGTTTGTTGAGTTGAGTTTGATTTCCAACTTATGGTGACTTTAAGCTGGCCCTATTGTAGGGTTTCTTGGCAAGCTTTATTCAGCAAGGCTTTGCCTTCCTCTGAAGCTGAGAGAGTGGGACTTGCTCAAGGCTACCCAATGGGTTTCAATGGCCAAGTGGTGATTCAAACCATGTTTTCCAGGACTCATGGTCAAATGCTCAAACTGTTACACCACTTGGTCCAACCAGTCTTAGCAAGGTACAACAATATAGGTATAGATGGTGATACATGAACAAATACAGTACAGGCAGTCCCCAAGTTACAAACATCCAACTTACATATGACTTTTAATTAAGAACAGAAGCGAGACAACTGGACGTGGCAGAAATCTACCCCTTGGATGGAAAGGAAATCTATTGAAAGTTATCATGGGGAAAAGGTGTCTCAACTGAAGCTTTCTAACCAATCCTTGTTTCCACAACAAGCCATTTTTTTTTCAAAATCCAATTCTCACAGGAACAGAAAGTGAGGTGAAATCTTCTGAACAAGGGCATGGGCAGCAAAACAAACACCACAGGGTTGCTATCCCTACCCTATGCTGTCCAAAGCTAAAGAATATATACATATGGCTCGAGTTTCACTTTAAAAAAATACCTATTCCAACTTACAAACAAATTCAGCTTAAGTACAAATATACAGAATCTATCTTGTTCGTAACTTGGGGACTCTTTGTACTTGTATAACTGTGATTGGTACCTTTCCCCCTGCCTCTTCCGGCCTACATCTGAAGGAGATGAGGAGAGTCAGGCTAAAAAAGACCAACTGACATAGGGTCAATGAAAGCCTCTATGACTGAACTAAATATTTGAATGCGAGTCTGTCAACATGGACAGCTCTAAATGAGATGGGGCAGCACTTTGACACAGCAACCTCCAAACCCCTTTCTCAGTGGTGGCATAAGTTTGGCAATCTGGGATGTTGCATTAGGCAGCCAAATATATCTGCATGCCTGAACTTGAATAACAAATGTGACCACCAAAAGTCTGACTATGGCCCTGTCTACATGAGGCAGGTTACTCTGGTATAAACCTGGCCAGGAACAGCTCCAGATCCAAGATATACCTGCTGATTCTGAGACCAGTGTCCAGATGGGCTGGGACTGCATCTGCCCCACTTCTTCCTCTATGTTGCTGTCCTTGGATTCTGCTGTCAGAATTGGGTGCCCATGGCATCAGGAAGAAGTAGAGAGATCAACCCATCCTGACATCAGCGATGTGACCGCAATGCCCAGGCACTTACTCTACAGGTGGCAGGAAGCAGCAGGGACAACAGGAAGAGCAACCCCCTTTCCCGGTCCTGATCAGTGTATGGAAAGGGCAATGGAGACAGTGCCTGTCTGGACATGGCCTTGGTTTAAAACGGACCTGGTCCAGACTGCCATAAAGCCGCAGGATACTAGTCTAGACTTTCCATCAAAAAGTTGGACAAAGTCAGATTAGAGCAAAGAAAACACGAGACACTCACCACAAGGCACTCTTTACTGCGAATACAGACAGATATAGGATTTATAGTGAGTTTGGGTTTTCTTCCCAAAACAGACGATCCAATTAACAGATTAATCATGGGTGAAACATACACACTAAAAAACAACCAACAATATGCTTTTTCTCATGATGTCAGAAATGAGCTTTTTGAGGTCACAAAGGCATTTTTTTTTTCAGTTATAGGAATGGAAGATGCTCCTCATTGTGTGTACATGAGAGTGAGTGCATGCTGGTCTTGCATGCATCACTCTCATGTACACACAATGAGGAGCATCTTGTCTACTGTTCCACCTCTGTAGTGAGACCACACCCCACCATTTTGGTGCAGGAAAATCAACACAAGAAAGGGTAGTGGCATCAGTTGTGATAAAAGCTCATTTCTTGTGGATCCATCCCAGTGGAGTGTTCCCCCACCACCACCCATTTGAATCCCTAAAATTAAAGTTCAAATTCAGTTTTAGGTTGAATACAGAAAACCTTAAATACAACAGCTTTAGCAAAGTCTCAGGACGACACAGTTTGCTGCACCAACGTATCTGTGCTGTCGCACGCTGGGCCTGTGCATTAGACTGTACACAGGACATAAATTCTTTGTGCCCAACGGGACGCCGGGGCTGCCTCAGAATAAAGGCCCTTAGATTCCCCCAAACAGAGTCTTTAGAATGCTTAAAGTAAGTCCAACAAAGTTCTTTTATTAAGGAACAAACAGGAACAAACAGGTACTTTAACGGTTTTCTTAACAGTCTATAGGCTCTTTCAAATCTTGTCCACTAGGAACAGGCACTGTCTTCTTAACTGTAACTAACTGATGGGGAAATCCTAGCTTCTAATCTGGGCAGTCTGTACTTGCCTCTGTTGACGTGGAGCCCCTGCACCCGGTACCAACTGCGTCTGGCTTCCGCGAGTGACCCTTGCCTCAACAGAGCTTTGTAGACCTCCAGGGAAAAAGAAGGAGTTCAGGTTGCTGTGATGGCCGGCTGGAGTCCCTCAGCCAAGCTGTGGCTGTATGTCTCCTGGCCAAGCCGTAGGGCTGTATAACCCCGGCCAAGCTATAAAAGACGAAGCTTTTCTACAGGAGCCACTTCGTTCTATGTCCTGTGTGAAAGGCTTCTCTGTGAGAACTAACTCAAAATGGCTTTTTTCCCTCCAAAACTCAAAAAGGGGCGGGATCAAAGAACCTAACTATAACTGGCAGGTGGCTTACCCTATAAATGCAAATTATAACAGGAAACCCCCTGCTACAAATCCCAAGCATGGGATTGCACACAAACATGGAAACACAGCAAATAAATCTGGAGCTCCTGGAACAGCTGTTCCAGAACAGTATCTTTGTTCTCAAGGGAGTCGTGAAGTAGCCATTATATTGTGAGAAACCAGATTGTGGATTTGGGGTGCAAGGCCTTTAGAGAGCCAGGTTGTGCCTAGAGGTAGGAGTGGACTGCGAACCCACTCTGCTGGGCTCTTGTCCAAGCCGCTTTGGCAGCTTTCTGAAGTGATCTCTTAATTAAGGTAGAAAATACCAGTGAGGGAAAAGAACAGAAACACTGCCAAGCAATTAGTTAAAAGCCTTATGAATATGAATAAATAAGGGAGCTAGTCTCTCTCAGTTGCTGCTGCTGCTGTTACCCTTTGGTTTCTACAGATGAAAACTTCTTATCTAGAATGCTATCACAAAGTGATAGAGGTAGGACAAAGTTTGATGGATAAACAATAACTTATAGAGGCATTAAAAATTAAATAGTGTCCAGTCATTTTGTAGGCTAATAGCCTCCCAGATGTTTGAAAGCCTATATCCATAATACAGATAGGACAACACTTGTTGAACCAGTAGTAAATTATAAATGTATTGAAAATTAAACTAAAATTCACATCATGTTTAGACCTGAGTCCCATCTCCAAGGTATGCATGTACAAACACAGCTATTCTAAAATCTGGGGGGAAAATCCAAAATACTTATAGTCACAAGCATTTTTGATAAGGCATATTCAGGCTGTACTTTATGCTTTGGAGCTATTGCTGCTTCTGGATTTTGGTATTTTGCAGATAAAGCAGGTGATTTCTAATAAAAGTTACTTCTATATCTTTTGACTAAGTCGGAGTCAGGCTAGTTTTATACAATTGGGATAGCTTGGCAAATGTTTTGGGAGCTGTTATATCTCTCTCATTTATAAGTCAGAAAGAACAAGCCCAGTTTGCATCCTGAGGATTACTGGGACCGTTTCCTTTTTCTTACATTCAACACTAAGAAAGACGATGTGCCTTAATAACTACATTATTTTCCTTCCTTGCATAGCACATGGGCATCGCCCGCTCTCCACCTCGCAACTGGAGAGGAATTGGGATTTCTCTGCTGGTGGTTGCCATGCTGGCCTCCATTATCATTGTGGCTATCCTGATGCTCACACCAGGTGAGAGGACAACACCCGCTGAACGGGAACCCACAAAAGTGGCAACAGGCTGAGAGACCTGAGAAAGAGCAATAAATAAGGATTAATGCAATCAGCCAGATGCAATGATGTGAGTGTAACTAGGACCCTGGGTCTTAGGCAGACCAGGGTTAGATTTCCCACCTGGCCATGGAAATCCACTGCCAAAAAACCCTTAGGAATAGGTCAGAATTGAGTTGAAGGCATATAATAACAATGTGATAAACAAGCCAGAGTTAACATGAAGGCACAAAATAAATATGTGGTGGCACTAGGTTTTGAAATGAGAAGCATTTCCAAAATATGTTGCTAGCCACCACTGGTTCACACTATTTGTTCATAGTTGTTTCGGCATTGGCTTCTTCTTCATGTTGAAAGAATTTGGCCTGTCCAAGGTCATCCAGTGGGTTTCTATAACTGAGCTGGAATTCAAACCCTCGTCTCTAAAATCCCAGTCCGACACTCAAACCACTCCACCACACTGGTTTCCACAGTTGGGCAACCTTTCTCCAAAAGTTCAGATTAATGGAAAAGGGGATTGTATTCATCCAGTATTATGCAATACAGTTGCCCCTTTGCTTTCACAGGCTAGAGGCACAGGACTTCTGCAAAAAGGGTGGAAATGTGAATTTAAAAATATGGAGATAATATCTCCATAATAATCTCTGGGTCCTCCAGGTGACTCTATGGTTCTCTTCTGGCAGAAGCCGACCACTGAGTTGCCCCAGAGGGCCCAGAGATTCCTAGAAATGTAATAGTCAAATCCACAACAGTTAAATGTGCAAATGTGAAGGGTTGGCTATATAAAGACAAATTGTGTGGCTTGTTATGTATATGTTTAAAATATTTTTTTTATCATAAAGTCAGTAAAATATGCTTTAAGGAACATAAGAAAAAACAGATTTGATTCCTTTTTCCACCCCAACAATAAAACAGCACTTTAGAAAAGTTGTATTTCAGATTGCAGCTCTCATCATTCTTATGTCAACTTGATCAGTGGCTAGGCTAGCTGGGAAATACTGGGATTTAGAGTTTTAAAATTACTCCAAATTACAATTTTGTAACTCTCAGAATTTCTTACACAGGCACCCAAGATGGGTGCAGGGCACATGATGACTCAGCTAGTAATGTCTGTCTGTCTGTCTGTCTGTCTGCCTGCCTCTAGAAGACCCTCCGCTGGGCTACCGCACCCCACTGACGCTTGCTGATCTGGAAAGTGATGAATTCCAACCTCAGCACCCCAAGGTACATTGGCTAACAGGTAAGTCATCTTGATCCCAGTGAGTGCCAGAATTGCAACAGGCAATAACACTATGTAACATGGTTTTTGTATCAGGATTATAAATGTCATTTTTTAATTGGTTTTATCATAAAAACATGGAAAAGGTTTATTAAACTGCAAAAACTTTGTTTTTGCAGGACATCCTGCAGCACATTTTGTTATAGTCTTTCAACAACATTCTCATAGACTTACCACCAATTCAACATAGTTTGTGGCAGCCACAAAAAAAGTTTCTGGAGTATAACAACTACTTTCAATGTAAGTGCCACACAATTAAAAAAAGAAATAACAATTTCAGACGAGGAACATATTTACCCCCCCCCCCCCAAATTTTTTTGTTACATAGTATTATTACTAATTTGTGTGGTATCACATTTCCCAAGTATTGCCATATCCTACATTGAGGAGGAGATGGTTTGTTTGTTTGGTTGTTTAAGTTATACAGATTGAGCATCCCTTATCTGGAATTTCAAAATACTCAAAAATCCAAAATTGTCAACATGAGGTAACTGAGATAGTGACACCTTTTCTTTCTGGTGGTTCAATGTGTATAAACTTCGTTTTAAGGGCCAAATTATTGAAAATATTGCGTACAATATTACCTTCAGATATATCAGGTTTATGAAATATACATGAATGTTGTGTTTAGACTTGGGTCCCATCTCCAAGATATTTCATTATGTGCATATATGCAAATGCAGTTATTAAAAAAATTAAATCCCAAATTACAAACGCTTCTGGTACCAAGCATTTTAGATAAGGGAGACTCAATCTATACCTTCAGGGGAATGAATGATTTGTATACAATGACTATGTGATTGAGCCAATTTGTGCTTTTGTGTATTTGTGCAGAAGACGAGTTAGTGGTGCTGAGTGACACAGGAACTATGACGAAGTGGCACGTGAGCCAAAAGAACAGCACCCTTTTGGTGGAGGACAGAAATCTGGTGAGATCCAGAAGATTTTATGGAGCCATTTATCAAGGCTGTTCCTCTAAAATTTGAAAGCAGAATATCTTGCAGTACATGTAAAAGTTACCTACTCTCTTCTGAATGGGATGGTTATTATCACTTATGTTAAAATAATAAAAATTATAATAATTGAATGAATTACTTTGTTTATTTATTGTATCAGGAGTGAACCAAGGGTGCAAGTTTCTTCTGTTCACTTCTGTTGTGAGAGAATCAGCCGTCTATAAAGATGTTGCCCAGGGGACGCCCGGATGTGTTGCAATCCTGCAATGAATTACTTAAAATAAAACATAAAAAGCCCTGCGTGAATAGCAGTGTTACTTTTAACACATTATTTGCAAGTTTTGCTTTATGCTGCCGATTATCAGTCTTCACTGGTGTGCTGGGTGCATATTCTGGGAATTCTTTTATAGCTAAATTTGAGCATCTGAAAGCATCATAATATTTAATCTTGGTCTCAAAATGGGCTACAAATGTCTAACCTTATTAACATTCCCTTTCAAACGCTCTATTCGTTTCCTTTCTTGCTCTTTCCTTGCTCTTCCACAGCATTTTTTGAAAGCTTCCCATTTCCAAGCATCTCCAGATCTGCAGTTCCTGCTTTTGGCTTGTGATGTGCAGCAGGTAAGCCACAAGGGATACACACCCTTTCCAGGCAGGTTGTCCCACATCCAATGGGCAAACAAGTGCATTGTAATAAAACCACTGAGATTCTGGAAGTTCTGTAAACCCAATAACTCGCTGAGAAAGTGTCAGGATTTATATCCCTCATAACAGCTTGAAGGGGGCAGTCAGGGCTTGAATTGGCTGCCTTCCCCTGTTCTTGTCCTGGAGAATAATGAACCAGATGGATGTGCAGAAATGCTGATGCACCAGCTTGATGGACTGTCTTCGTGCCAACTGTGAGGAATTCATCTTGCTTCTCTAGCCATCCTTGATCATTTAATTATGGATAAGACCCATGAGCTCCCATATTGTTTATGTTGACAGGAAGACATCTGTATGATCTTATACTTATGCATAATAAGAAGTCTGCTGGATTAGATCGAAGATCTCTCCAATCCAGTATCCTCTTTCTTGCAGCTTTTTTTCCATGTCAGGAATGACATGAGAAACTGCAAGTTGCTTCTGGTGTGAGGGAAATGGCCGTCTGCAAGGACGCTGGCCAGGGGACGCCAGGATGTTTTTATGAAGTTTTACCATCCTTGTGGAGCCCCCGGTGGTGCAGTGGGTTAAACCCCTGTGCTGGCAGGACTGAAGACTGACACGTCACAGGTTCGAATCTGGGGAGAGGTGGATGAGCTCCCTCTATCAGCTCCAGCTCCTCATGCAGGGACATGAGAGAAGCCTCCCACAAGGATGATAAAAACATCAAATCATCCAGGCGTCCCCTGGGCAACGTCCTTGCAGACGGCCAATTCTCTCAAACCAGAAGTCACTCCTGACAAGACCAAAAAAAAAAAAACCATCCTTGTGGGATGCTTCTCTCATGTCCCCTCATGGGGAGTTGGAGCTGACAGAGGGAGCTCATCCACACTCTCTCCGGATTCAAACCTGTGACCTGTCAGTTTTCAGTCCTGCCAGCACAAGGGTTTAACCCACTACACCACTAGATTAATATCAAAAGTGCACAAGCAGGACACAAGCACAATAGAAACCTATAGCTGTTGTTCCTCAGCAAGTGTTACAAAAGTTATGCAATCTTTAAACCTGGGAGCTGCATACAGTCAACATGTCTATTAACCACAAATAGTTTTGTCCTCACTAAATTTCCCTAAGCACAAATTTCTCTAATCCTCCTGAGTCATCTCAGCTGGTGGTTATTTACACATCCTGTAGGAACTAACTGTTTAGCTTAACTATTCACTGTTTTTCCTGCCTTTTGAATCTTCTGCTCTTTAGCTTTCCTGAAAGACTTGGTCTGTGAAAGTTTGAGGGAAAGGTAGAGCAAATCAAAGTTGAACATGTTTTATTTGCAAATGTGATTTTTAGAGTGCTCATTTCTGAGGATAACCCTTTTTGAAGATGGAATGAGTTTATTTTAGCTACATATATTCTCATTAGCTTTTACTCTGCCCTTAATTCAGAGCAGGCTGAAGAAGGCATCAAGTTCCTGGAAGGGATTAAGAACAGCAAATGACCACCAATGAATACAAAGTCTATATTTTTGGGGAAGGAACTGGCACAACCACCTCAAAGTGTTCCTTGTCAAAGAAAACCTTATGGGATCATCATAAGTCAACCATGGTGAAGACACAAACACACAGCTTGCCTAAGTGAATGCCAAGATTCATTGGAGTCACTGGAATAAATAGTGAATCTTTGGGTTGCTTTGAGTTTTCCAGATTGTATGGCCATGTTTCAGAAGCACGATTTGACCAGGACTCTCAATCTCTGAGGATGCCTGCCATATATGTGGGTGAAACGTCAGGAGAAAATTCTGCTGGAACATGGCCATACAGCCCAGAAAACTCTCAGCCACCAAATGATTCCGGTCATGAAAGCCTTTGACAACAAAGTGAATCATTTTAGCCCTAAAAGTAGCTCGAACCAAACAAAGTGTTTTAATGACTGAACTGGGGCTTGCCAAAGCCAAAGCAATCAGTCTTTGTCCAAAACCAACTCTTCTGTAACAACATCTTGGGGAGCAAAACTATGCCATACTACCCATCCATCATTAGGAGCGGCAACATGTTAATGTCCTACTGTCTATCCATATGATGCTAACACCATCCTTCTCTGTTCTCTTCGTCTGTAGGTTTTCCGCTACTCTTTCATGGCCCACTACCTGATCTATAATGTGGGCACCAGGTAGGAGCCACACTGCCAGAATCCCACTTTTTCTTTTAAAAAAATAGACCTCTTTTTCTTTAAAAGATGCCAGACATCTCCTAACAATCCAAGTTTTTCCAAAATTAAAGCTATATTAAAAACAACAGTGGTTTCCTGTTAGACAATTACAATGTCCTAAATTGGGCTTAGGACATCGTAGATGCTTTGTATTCTCATTTGTACTCATGACACTATTTAACCCAACTTAAAACCCAATCAGCCTCCCAGAGCAGTGGAAGTCTCTTTCAGCAGGAAGAAAAATATGGCTAGCTATGTGATCCAGAATGTCAGACATTATATCTATAACACAGGGCTATGTATTTAGTTCAAGCTCATTTGGTGGGAACGAGAGAGCAGGCCTTCCTTCCCAGTGGCTATTGCCCCTCAACTCTGGAATTTTCTTCTTCTCGGAGAAGCCAGAATGGCCCCCTCTCTGCTCTCTTTCCAGCAGCAGGCTAAAACCTTTCTATTCAGGCAGGCTTTAAAGATGAAGGTTTTTAAGATCAAGTCAGGGGATGCTGTGGTTGTTAAAATTCTTGATAAAGATATGGTTGTTGATGCAACTGTAAATGAAAATGTGCATGTTTGGTTACTTTGCAAGATCCATTTCTAGCCAGATAGAAATACATATCCCTTGCCCCCCCCTTTCCCTTTTCCCTCTCTCCCTCTCTCTCATTTGCATACAACTCAGATCCATATTGATTAAAGTGGAGCAGACAGCAGCATAGGATGCCCAATTATATTGATTCAGATTGCTATGCTTTCAAGTAATTCTTTCACAAGGAGGTGAGCTAATATTTATTTTCTCTTCAAGAGAAACCAGCCTCCCAGATCTGCCTAAAGCAGATACAACACATCTACAATATGCAGCCTGGGGAGCCCAGGATGATCAGTTGGTAGGTATCCATTCCATTTTTTACATCCTATCTCTGAGGGTAGGTGAATGCCTTTGCCTCTTTTGCTTTTTTGCACCCATATATCCCTAAAGCAGAGGTTGACATAATTACATTTTTGGACTACAGCTCCTAGAATTTGGAGTATGTCTCCTAGAATTTTGGTAGCTGTAGCCCAAAAATAACATTTTCTAAGCCTTGTCCTGAAGAGGTTTGAGAAATGTTATTTTTGGACTACAAATAGATCAGGACTTCTTAAACCCTTTTCTACTCGTGACCTCTTTCTGCCCGAGAAATGTTTACATAACCCCAGTATATAGGTATTTATTTATTTGTCGTGTCAGAGCAACCAGTCCATTATATTACATTTCTAACAGAACAAAGCAAACAAATAGAAAAATACAAAACTTGTGAGTTTGGTAGTTGGTTAAATGTCCTTTTGACCAGTTTGGTAGTTGGTTAAATGTCCTTTGACCACTTGGAGTGCTTCTGGTGTTGCTGCAAGAAGGTCCTCCATGGTGCATGTGGCTGGGCTCAGGTTGCATTGCAGCAGGTGGTCAGTGGTTCGCATGTCGAGGATTCCACTTTATGCCCCATTTCTCAAGGTTGGCTCTGCATCTCGTGGTGCCAGAGCGCAGTCTGTTCAGTGCCTTCCAAGTCGCCCAGTCTTCTGTGTGCCCAGGAGGGAGTCTCTCATTTGGTATCAGCCATTGGTTGAGGTGCTGGGTTTGAGCCTGCCACCTTTGGACTCTCGCTTGCTGAGGTGTTCCAGCGAGTGTCTCTGTAGATCTTAGAAAACTATGTCTAGATTTAAGTCGTTGACGTGCTGGCTGATACCCAAACAGGGGATGAGCTGGAGATGTCTCTGCCTTGGTCCTTTCACTATTGGCTGCTACTTCCCGGCGGATGTCAGGTGGTGCAATACCGGCTAAGCAGTGTAATTTCTCCAGTGGTGTAGGGCACAGACACCCCATGATAATGCAGCATGTCTCATTAAGAGCCACATCCACTGTTTTAGTGTGGTGAGATGTGTTCCACACTGGGCATGCATACTCAGCAGCAGAGTAGTATAGCGCAAGGGCAGATGTTTTCACTGTATCTGGTTGTGATCCCCAGGTTGTGCCAGTCAGCTTTCGTATGATATTGTTTCTAGCACCCACTTTTTGCTTGATGTTCAGGCAGTGCTTCTTGTAGGTCAGAGCACGGTCCAGAGTGACTCTCAGGTATTTGGGTGCGCTGCAATGCTCCAGTGGGATTCCTTCCCAGGTAATCTTCAGAGCTCGGGATGCTTCTCTGTTCTTGAGATGGAAGGCACATGTCTGTGTTTTAGATGGATTAGGGATCAGTTGGTTTTCCCTGTAGTAGGCAGTAAGAGCACCTAGAGCTTCGGAGAGCTTCTGTTCAACCATCTCAAAGCTCCCTGCTTGAGCGGTAATGGCACGATCATCAGCATAGATGAAACTCTCTGTCCCTTCTGGCAGTGGCTGGTCATTTGTGTAGATGTTGAACATGGATGGAGCAAGCACGCTCCCCTGAGGCAGGCCGTTCTTCTGTTTCCGCCATCTGCTTCTCTGGCCCTGGAACTCCACAAAAAAGCTCCTGTTTTGTAGCAGGTTTCCTATGAGGCGGGTGAGGTGGTAGTCCTTTGTGATATTATACATTTTTCTCAGGAGGAGGCGGTGGTTCACAGTATCATAGGCTGCTGACAGGTCTATGAAGACAGCTCCTGTGATCTGCTGCCTTTCAAAGCCATCTTCTATGTGCTGAGTCAGGTTCAGCACTTGCGATGTGCAGCTTTTGCCTTTCCTGAAGCCAGCTTGCTGTGGAATCAGACATGGGTCTATTTTTTCCATAATTCTATGCAAAATAAGTCTCTCCAGAACTTTGTAGAGGTGGCACAACAGGGAGATTGGTCTGTAGCTTTTTGGGTCATTACGGTCTTTGCCTGGCTTCAAGATGGCGATGACTCTTGCTTTCCTCCAGATTTTGGGGATCTGACAGGATGCAGTGCAGTTGTTCATCAGCTCCAGCAGCCAGCGCCTTGCTTTGGACCAAAGTTCTTGATTTGTTCCATCCGTAGATCATCCAGGCCAGCTGCTTTGCCATTTTTACATTTATTGAGAGCCATGTCCAATTCAGTAGATGTAAAGGGTTCATGGAGGTTGTTGTTCTCAATCTCTGTTTGTCTGGCTATTGGTTTCTTTCCTACTTTGGTGGCAAAGTTGGGTTTCCCATTCTTCAAGAGTTGGTGTGCTATCTGATCTGCCTTTATGTTTGCGTGGGTATTAGTTTGTGAGGGGTCGTTGCTCAACCGTCTCAGCAGCTTCCACGCCTTCTGGCTGCTCTTGCCCATGTCGACCTCTGTGATCAGCTTGATCCACTGTTCTTTCTTGGCTTCAGAGATGGAGGACACAATGCTCTGCGCTGCCTGGGTTTGCTCACTAAATGGGTCTTCGTTGTGGAGCCTGTAATAGTTTTCCAACAAGGCAGCTGTTTCAGGTGTAATGCCCTGAAGGTAGTTGGTTCTGCAGCCTCTCGGTATGGAGGCCCGTGAGCAGGTTTTCACGATTTCAATAAAGTGCTCGTATTCTTCAGGGATTGGCGCGGCCGATGTGATCATGTCATCTAACATGTCTGAGAATTTAGTCCAATCTGCCTTTCTGAAGTTGAATCTTCGTTTAAATCGAACTTCCTGAGGCCTTATTGTTGGGAACAGTTGGCATACTATTGGTCGGTGCTGTGTGTTTGGGATTGGTGGTCCCACTGATTTGGTGCATTGCTGTACAATGCTGTCGCTCACAAATAGGAGGTCTGGGTTATAACCTCGGTGCCATCTCCCGCTGTTGTAGGATGGTGGGAGCTTGCTATCATGGATGAGTGATAGTTTGTGCAGTTCAGACCAGGAGAGGACAGCCTCTCCATTTTTATCTTCTTGGGCATAGCCCCATACGTGGCTATGGCTGTTGAAGTCACCAATTACTACCGCCCTTTGGTGCCTATCAAAATTCTCAGGGGAGGAGAAGCAGAACTCTTCATTTGGGGGCTTGTACACAGAGGTGATGGTGATGTTGTTAAGCTCTACTGTTATAACCTCTATATTGTTTTCTTCAGTGTTGTGGGCACTGCTGACTTGGAGGCCTGGTTTGACAAAGACAGCGCTTCCATACTGTGCATGTGGTCTTTCCGCTACTAAGACCATTCCTGGAACTTTGGGTCATTTCTGTTGTTCATCCCTGTGTGTTTCTTGGACACACAGCACATCACATTTCTTATCTCGGCACAGTTCATAGAGCAGTTGTTCTTTGGCAGCTGACATGCCTTCGATGTTGATTGAGATTATTGTCATGGTTGGTCCTGAAAAGGTCCGTTGGTTGTTTTGCTTGCTTTCTTGCATGCTGGTCGCTTCTGTGGCGAGAGAATCAGCCGTTTACGAAGACGTTGCCCAGGGGACGCCCGGATGTCTTGCAATCCTGCGAGGAGGCTTCTCTATAAAAACCAGACATTTATTGATAGATTAGCATTTGCAAGCCTTGCTAAACAAGCTGATTTTACTTTTTATGAAGTACAGCTGAAGCATTTTCTGCAGAATTCACTGGAAACACTGCACATTGTTGCTTGTAGTTTTGTGTAAATGTCTAAAACAACTACTGGGTGGCATTCATAAAACATTTATTGTTACCAACATTTTTATGACTCCAACATTGAGTAAAGAGTACCCCATCTGGGATTGGGACTCGCAGTTTGAGAAGCAGTGACCTAGATCACTACAGAAGTAAACTCTTCTCTTTGAGTATTTGGGGAAGCAATTGTCTGGGAAAAGAAGATGATCCAGATGAGCTGATCCATTCATAGTTCTGACTTTCTTCTATTCCCAGGTATTTGTTTTGGATAATGACATTTACTATCAACCTAGCGTCACCAGTCGGGCCAAGCGGATCACTTCATCTGGACGCCAAGAAGCTATCTTCAATGGAATTTCTGACTGGTTGTATGAAGGTGAATGAGACCAAAAAAATGTGGGACCATGTAAATCTTGTCAGGTACCATGAGACAACAATCTAGGGCAGCTTTCCGCAAAGTCCTTAGGTGCCCTGCAAATGTCAATGCTGCCTGAGGATAACAAGGATTATAGTCTAAACATTTGGATGGCATCAAGTTGGGGGAAGCTTGTCCTAGAAGTAATGTTGTCCTTTTTAATAGGAAAAAACACTAACGAAATTGTCATAAATAAACCTCATTTTGTTTCCTCTCTCCCTAACTCTAAATAATAATAATAATAATAATAATAATAATAATAATAATAATAATAACAATATACTTTATTTATATTTTACTCTATCTCCCTGAAAGGATTACAGGTATGTATATGGCAAACATTCAACGCCGTTATACAATTAACAAAGACAGACAGTACATAAACAGAGGCAAGGCTTCCCTCATTTCATCTCTGGCATCCAGCTGTGCTCAGCTTGCCCATGGGGAGGTGCTGCTGTTAAATTTTCCACACCAAGGAGTCTGTCATCCATGGATGCCTTTCCTGATTGGATTTTTGCCAGTATGTTTTTTTTACCTCCCCACAAAAGTGATACCTATTTATCTACTTACATTGTTGTTTCTGAACTGCTAGGTGAGCAGAAGCTGGGATGATGGCAGGAGCTCACCCTGACCCGGGCTTGAACTGCCAGCCTTCTGGTTGGCAGGTTCTTCTATAGCAGGCAGTTTAACCCTCTGTTCTAGAAGCAGTACTGCTCCAGGGTCAATTTACACTTTCTGCAAGCTTCTTAAGAACTCAGCCAAGACTTCATTTGGTTTAAAGGGTTAAACCCTTGTGCCAGCAGGACTGAAGAATGACAGGTTGCAGGTTTAAATCTGGCATCCCCCTGGGCAACGTCTTTGCAGACAGCCAATTCTTTCACACCAGAAGTGACTTGCAGTTTCTCAAGTCGCTCTCGACATGACAAAAAAAAAACCCTGATTTTTAAACATTCCCTACTTCTCTCTCATCCTGCCACTTTGTCCTAAGCTTCAGTTGTTGCAAACAGAGTTCAAAATGATAGAGTAGTTTGCACTCAATTATGCCATCAAGGAGAGGAGCTGGCAGGATCTTACCCTTCCCTGTGGACCCAGGCAAAAACAAAATCTCCTAGCTTGTCTGTTCTTCATCTTGACACTCATCTGGCTTAGTAAAATGTCTTCTGGTGTTCATCTGTCAAATCTTGGAAGATATAACATTAGACAGTTATATAGCTGGAGTTTATTGTGCAATCCCATAATTAGATTGGTGGAGCAATGGCAGATATTTATTTATTTATCTGGTTTATCTACCTTTCTTCCAGCATGAGACCCAAGGTAGAAGGTCTATTTGTAGAGATCTGAAACTTTGGATAAATTAGCTGGATAGGGAGCTTATGTTAGAGTCCAGGTGAGAATCTCAGAGAGATGTACAGAGTCCCCCCCCCCTGCCCCCACATCCTCCACCAACCGAATAACTGTCCAGTGAGTTCCTTTCAACAGTCTGAACAGCCTGTATATCTGACGAGGATGAGTGGATGGGCGAATTTCAGCAGAAAGGTTCCTACTTGGCTTTCATGCTGGGTGTCCCTTTCTTCCCAAGAGGAGATCCTGCAATCAGCCTCTGCACATTGGTGTTCCCCTGATGGCGTTTGGCTGGCTTATCTTAGCATCAATGACTCCATGGTTCCCAAGATGGAGCTTCCCCGCTTCCTGGGAGGAAACTACCCAGCCAGCCAGCACTATCCATACCCAAAGGTAAGTCCAACCCCCATTTCCACCCAACTGGTAAGGAGAAGTTGTACATCCCACACAAGTGCACTTTCTAGGGAAGTCCAGATTTATGTGGTTGAGGCCCTGGAGCAGTTCCAAAATCAGGGGCCCCTTTGTACTGAATGTTTGACTAACAGGGATGGCAGAGAAAAGAAGTACCTATTTCTTCAATCGTAAGACGCACCCTAATTTTAGTACCACCACCATCTACAAAAATACATAGGATACACCTGCGATTCTAAGACACCGATCATTTTAGACATGTTTATGTAGTGAAAAGTGCTTCTTAGAATTGACGAAACACAAGGCCCTTCCACACAGGGCCTACTGGCTTAACCGTTTGTGACTTTTAAAGCTTTAATTATGGTTCATGTTATTTTGACTTCCTAGTTTTTGAAACCCGAGGACTTGCTTTTATTTTCTTTCTATCTTCTTAACCTCATTTTTTCCCTGTTGTCTCTCTTTTTTCTGCTTAGGCTGGCCAGCCCATCCCATCTGTTCGGCTTTTCGTGGTGAACCTTTCTGGGGTGCTTCGCGCATTGGAGCTCCTCCCTCCCGAACCCCTCCAGGGCAGGTGAATTGGGACAGTTTCTGTTTTTAACAATTCTATTTTTAATGATGTATTTTTAAACTATTGTATGCAGATATAAATCCCAAAATGGGGGAAAGGTGGGATATAAATAAATAAAACCGTAGCAATAATAATAAAGGATGTCAGGAGTCGAAATCTAAACTGATGTGTCCAGCCTTGAGTTCTTTGCTGGGAGAAACATGGGATATAAAGAAAGTAAATAAGGAAAAGTGAACTTTAGGGGTGCCAGAAGTTTTCCTGCAGTGTAGCATCCAGTGGAGCCAGAACACAAGGTCTAGTTGCTTCCTCAAACTGAGTCTGTGACTCTGTGTGAAATGAATATCCCATTCTCTAGATGAATGTGACTTTGAAAATGCTAGGAAAACCAGCCAGTCATGTAGGGAAAGAATTTCATATTCTTATAGAACTGTAGAATTATATGATTACAGAGTTGTAAAAGACTCAAGGACCACCCACTCCAACCCCATTCTACAGCACAAAAACATACAATCAAAGCACTCCAGCCTCTGCTAAGAAAGCTCCAGAGAAAGAAACTCCACCACACGCCAAAGCAGCATTTTCCACTATTGATCGGCTCTTACTGTCAGGAAGTTCTTCCTAATATTCAGGTGGAATCTGTTTTCCTGCCCTTTAAACCATTGCTCTGTATTGCTTTTGGAGCATTAGAAGAGCTTACTCTATCTACAATGACAGTCTATCCACTTAATCACAATAGTTAAATTCCACTGAGTCCTACACTTAAAATCTGGTTCATCACATTAGTTTTGGTTAAAATGTAGAGTGCAGCATTCTTTGAGTTTTTAAAACTTAGGGGGCAGCATTCTTTTCAAACGTATCAGGAGAAATTGATTTTTCTCAATAACCCGGATGTGTTTGCCAAATGTATAATGTGATGCCATTTGTTGTTCTCGGGTTTTTGGGGGGAGAAATTGTGGTAGGAACCAGAATACCCTTGTTAGGTCAATCTATGCTATTACCTTTTGCTCATCGAATTTTTACTTTGCTAGAACAATTTCGTTTTAAAAAAACAATAGCTTTTGGGTCCTTCTCTTCCCTTTTCTTCTCTTCCTTTTGTTCTGTGATATTTGGAGCCTATGTGTGTGTGAGAGAGAGCGAAAGAGAAAAGGGGAAAGCTGAGAAAATGGGAGAGGCCACCACGGATCCTACTTGCCCCCCCCCCCCAAAGGCACAGAGTTAGGAAGAAGTGTGGGAAGTTCTGGATACCCTGTCCAAATAATTTAGAGAGAAGATTATTTTGAGCTCCCCTCCAACCCACTTTTGTATTTCACTCATTCACTCATGTCCTTTCACTCCTCAGGGAATACTACATCACTATGGTAAAATGGGTGACTCATTCCCAGCTGGCTGTGCGATGGTTAAACAGGCCGCAGAACATGTCTCTATTGAGCCTTTGTGAAGCTGCCACAGGAGCTTGTACTGAGGTATGTTAGAGCTACAAGGTAGCAGGGAGACAGGTGTGAGAGAGAGTGAAAGAGAGAGAGAGCAAGCTGCTTGAAGTTCCTCAGGGGAAGGAGGAGGAGGAATCTCAGGATGCAAGTGCTGAGATTGTTCCTCTTTTCCCCATACTATGTGTCTATATAGTATGGGGGAAGGAGGAGGACGTTATTACTAAGAACTTTATCACACTAGCCTGTTGTCTCATTATAATCACATTGTTTAAGCAAACATAAGTGTACAATTATTGGAACACTCTCTTTCACCTCTTGGGATAGTTGTGTGATGCTGGCACTTTGTGAATGTGAATTCTCATAATCCATTTTCCACATGGCCTCACTTCCTACTCATGTTTGGCCTACACAGCACATTTCTTTCCTATTATTCTATTCCGCCCACCCCTTATTTTGGCACAATTGTGCAGTGGTGCAGTTTCTGCATTCTCACAAGATCTTCCTCCACTTCACAATATTGGAACTGAAGCAGAAGGAAAGGATTGCACATGGAAAATTGCCAATCAACAGTGATATCAGATTCTATAATAGGTTTTCAGGTCAATGAAAAGAAATTATCCAATCATAATTCAAGGACAATGCAAACACACGCTACTCACAATGTTATGTGATAAACTCCATCAACAGGTTCTTTTATCCTGGTGTAATTGTGGTCTAGGAGCCCCCAGTGGCGCAGCAGGTTAATCTGCTGAGCTGCTGAACTTGCTTACTGAAAGGTTAGCAGTTTGAATCCAGGGAGCAGAGTGAGCTCCCACTGTTAGCCCCAGCTTCTTCCAACCTAGCAATTTGAAACATGCAAATGTGAGAAGATCAATAGGTAACACTTTGGTGGGAAAGTAATGGCGCTCCATGCAGTCATGCTGGCCACATGGCCTTGGAGGTGTCTACAGGCAATGCCGGCTCTTCAGCTTAGAAATGGAGATGAGCACCACCCCCCAGAGTCGGACACGACTAGACTTAATTTCAAGGGGAAACCTTTGCCTTTATTTTTAATTGTGCTTTACCAGCTTCTGGTGATAAAGCCCTTAGTGTTTTTTTTTTATTTGAATAGCATGGTTTATGTAACTGTAGTTATTACTTTAAGTATTATGTTGGTGGACACTGCACTAGATTGTTCTTTGCAATATCACCAGGGTGTTCCTTCTGTAACATCGGAAGGGGTTGCTGCTGTATCTCAGGTTTTGGTCCCAAAATATCAGTTCTGGGATAATTTTGACCTGTCAACCTTAGTGTGAAGTAACAGAGAAAACTCATGAAGGAAGGAACTTCTAGCTCAGAAAGCATACTCAGAAAAACACTTCATCCAGGCTAGTGTGTAAAAGTAATAAAAGGACAAACCGCATGCAAAAGGCCCAGAGTTCAATCCCTGCTCAAAAACTTGGAGAGTTCTTGCCTGTCAGAATCAAAAATACTGGGCTATGCAGAGGAGGGAAGTAAATCTTCATTGTTTTCATTCTTGAAGAAATCAAGATTCTGGCTGTTAGGAATTGTGGGAGTTGAAGTCCCAAACACCTGGAGGGCTGAAGTTTGCCCATGCCTGCTCAAATCAATTGTATGGACCTTGAAGATGGTCATTCAAGGCTTAAGAAGAACTGTATGGTGTTTTTTGTGTGGTGTTTTATATGCAGTGCCATTGTGTTGTTTTTCCTGTTTTCTTTCTCCTGGAGGTATTGCTTAATAACCTCCTCTTTTCTCAGAAATACAAACTGACATCGGACATCTGGGTGGACATGAAGGTAACATGGTTTATATTTTTCAACACCCTTGTTATACTCATTCCAATCAGTTCTCTTCCTACATTCTAGTTCAGGAAATCTGTCAGCCAAATGATCAATGGATCAATTAGTTTTTAATTAAGCATTTCCCCCCCAGTAGAGCAAAACCCATTTTGGATGTTATGGCATACATGAATCACTCACCAGTAATTATTATTTTAGTAATGAGGGTCATCTAGCCCCAGGTTCAAGAGGTAGGAGCTGGAATCCTATTGCATTCTGCGGCCTGCTGTCATTGAGACTAATAAGAAAAAGGGCTTTGACCTTTCTCAACAACAAGTGATGTGATCAGCCTCTTAATTCTGTTCGGCCTGGCCTTGGCAGCTCTATTGGGACTCTAAGGTTAGAAGCAAACATGTTCCCAACTTCCTGTATTAGTGGCCAAGAAGTGTTGCAGGCACTGGGATGACTAGGCCAAGTACTTGACAATTTGAAAAATTGCAGTATTGATTAACCTAAATGTGTATGCCTCTTTGCAGAGAGATTTCTAGTGCCTCATATGGTATTTCAATGGTTCCTGCAACCTGTCCATCAATGGGTATATCAGCAGTAGTATTGTTGTTATTTGCCATCAGTTTGGCTTTGCTTTATACCAACTCCATGAATGAGAGCCCTCTAAGGCACCCTGTTATTAACAATCGTGGTCCGGTCTTGCAAAGTCAGGGTTGTGGCTTCCTTGATTTCAGCCTACCCCCATTATCGTAGTTTTCTCTTGTACTCTCAGCAAGGAGTGCCTGTCTTTTCTGAAGATGCTGAAACCCTGTTTCTCCCTGTGCCAGTGAAGCAAGGCTCTCGTGGGGATTTCTACCACGTCACCATGCTTTCCACACAGGTGAGTGACTCAACGCTGACTGCACAGAGCCAGCAGCAGCTTCCTCCCTTCCTTCCACAGAAGTGCAACTGGGAAATCTTTCCATGGCTTAGAAATGTACTGCTAAAGCCACAGGAGCAGAGCCAGTTTGTGACAACAACTGAGCCCTCCTAACCCATACTTTCTGGGGAACACACACTGCAAGTCTCAATGTATTCCTTTTTTTCACTGCCACCACTCACCAGTCCAGCCGCAAAGAGAGCAGTGTGCGCCTCCTGACCTCTGGAAACTGGGATGTCACCAGGATCCTGGCATACGATGGGCATACCAGGCGCCTGTGAGTATTCACTGAGCCATGATCAGTCCTCCCGCCCCTGTTTTGGATCAGCTCCTCCATATAGTTGGTGGCGAAAACAGCTTCTGACTGATCCCATTCTTGTTCCTAGATATTTCCTGAGCTCAGAAGACAGGCCCAGCTCAAGACATTTGTACAGGTGAGTTCTTTGGTTCGCATCCTATGAATTGAACCTGGAATGTATATAGTGCATGAATGGGACCTGCACAAAGTGTCGTGGTGAGGCGTCTCTAATTAGAATTGCAGCTGATGAACCAGCCATACCCTTCTTAGTAATATTGCATACCATTTGCTACTGCCATATGGTCAGCCATCTTGTGCCTTAGCCATTACAGTCCTCATTGGCTCTTTGGTTCCTTCCTGGCTTCTTTGTCTCTCCCAAAGCTTTGACTAAAAAGGGAAACTTGGCAAACATTTGAGTTTCCTCATGCCGCAGATCCTTTCTTTTGGGTGTGGATGGTAATGTTTTAGTTTCAAAACTGGTGCCACTAGAAAAACTAATTCACTGTAGAATTTCAAGTTTAGAAGTGCTTGACAAAAAAGATGGGTAATCCCTACAATTTCAACGTGAAGTAAGATTCTGTGACGTATTCCCTTTATTGCGGATGGGAAAACTGAGGCTGGAGAACGAGTCCCTTGCATAAAGCTCATGGCTGAATGTGATTTGACCACCAGTCTCTTCCCACCTTAGCATGGGAGGGAATCACATTTTTAGTCCTTCCTTGTGTGATACAAATAGGTAGTTGTTACCAGGGCAAAGAAAGAAAAAGCCATTAAGAAGTAGCATCTATGGCCCCTTGCACATAGCTGTATAAAATCCACATTGAACTGTGACAGTGTGGACTCAGATAATCTAGTTCAAAGCCGATATTGTGGATTATCTGCCTTGATATTGTGGGTTACATGGCTGTGTGGAAGGGCTCTATTTCAGAGAAGGAAACAGTCTGGTATAGGATGCTATGTCAAGTAAATGATACTGTGCTGACACCTGTTGGCACTAAAAGAGAATTGCATCCTCCTCTATCATCATCTCCTCCAGGGGAAGCCTTGAGCCAGCTTCCATCTCTAGATTTTAGTGCTTGCGTAGATGGGGTCAGCATCTTCGTGGTCCAGGCACCGCATAAGAAGGCCTTGCACAAAGGAGGGCAGTCTTGATGTGGGCTTCCTTTTCTCCTCTTCTTCTTCCTGAGTAGTGTGGACCTGGACAGCACCTTCAATCGCACCTGCGTGACCTGTGCCTTGCGCCCCGGCTGCTCCTTTGTGGATGTCCTTTTCAGTCCCAGGAGAAAACATTTTGTACTGTTCTGCAAAGGTAAGTATCTCTGCTGAATCATAGCATGATATCTATTTCTGTTAAAATTATGAACAAAAAGAATATCAAAATAATTAAGTAACTTTCAAGAGCATATCTGGTCATCAGTATATCTGGCCAACAGTTTGCATTCTGATGTAGGTTTCCCCCCCATTCCTTCCCTTCTGTTTTTCAATAGGACCTGCAATTCCTCAAGTCTCTGTTCACTGCACAGCAAACCCCCAAGGTGAGTAATAGTACCAAAGAGAGAAGGAACTAGCATTTAAATGATGGCGCTTAATGACTAGTGGTAAAAATTACCTGAAGATATGGTGAAATGTGATATATTCCTGTTTCAGACATGTTTAACCATTCTGATGTTGCCAGGCTTTTAAAACAGAAATAAGGGACAGTCAAAATTCATAACCTGCAGGGTTGACAATCAGGAAGTAGCTGTTGATAAGTTTGTCTTCTACTTAAATAATAAATGAAAGTATTGATTTTAGTTAACTTTGCCATGTGCTTCTGTTTAAAAGTATTTATTTATTTATCGTGTAAGGCAACCGAACAGTTGTATTACATTTTTGACAGAACAAACAAACAAATATACAAAAGGCACAGAGTTTGCAAGCTTGGTCGTTGATTAAATGTCCTTTGACCAGTATCTGGCCACTTGGAGTGCCTCTGGTGTTGCTGCAAGAAGGTCCTCCATTGTGCATGTGGCAGGGCTCAGGTTGCATTGCAGCAGGTGGTCTGTGTTTTGCTCTTCTCCGCACTCGCATGTCTTGGATTCCACTTCGTGCCCATTTCTTGAGGTTGGCTCTGCATCTCGTGGTGCCAGAGCGCAGTCTGTTCAGCGCCTTCCAAGTCGCCCAGTCTTCTGTGTGCCCAGGGGAGTCTCTCATTTGGTATCAGCCATTGATTGAGGTTCTGGGTTTGAGCCTGCCACTTTTGGACTCTCGCTTGCTGAGGTGTTCCAGCGAGTGTCTCTGTAGATCTTAGAAAACTATTTCTTGATTTAAGTCGTTGGCGTGCTGGCTGATGCCCAAACAAGGGATGAGCTGGAGATGTCTCTGCCTTGGTCCTTTCACTATTGGCTGCTACTTCCTGGCGGATGTCAGGTGGTGCAATACCGGCTAAGCAGTGTAATTTCTCCAGTGGTGTAGAGCGCAGACACCCCGTGATAATATGGCATGTCTCATTAAGAGCCACATCCACTGTTTAAATATAACATGCTGTGACATGACTTTTGTTCCTGGATTATGAACATAGTTTCCTAATTGGTTCTATCATAAAAATATGGAAAATGTTTATTAAACTGCAAAAAAATCTTTGTTTTTTGCAGGACATCCTGCAGCACATTTTGCTATAGCTTTCCAATGAACATCTCATAGAGCAGGGGTCCTCAAACCTTTTAAACAGTGGGCCCGGTCACAGTCCCTCAAACTGTTGGAGGGCCGGATTATAATTTGAAAAAAAAATGAATGATTTCCTATGCACACTGCACATATCTTATTTGTAGTGCATGAAACACTTAAAAACAATCCAATAATTAAAATGAAGAACAATTTTAACAAATATAAGCTTATTAGTATTTTAATGGGAATTGTGGGCCTGCTTTTGGCTGATGAGATAGGATTGTTGTTGTTGTTGCGTGCTTTCAAGTTGTTTCAGACTTAGGTTGACCCTGAGCGAGGACTGGGTAAAGGACCTTGAAGGGCCATATCTGGCCCCCAGGCCTTAGTTTGAGGACGCCTGTCATAGAGTCTCAACTAATTCAATATAGTTTGTAGCAGCCACAAAAACGAAATTTCTGAAACAGAACAACTACTTTCAAAGGAAGTACTACACAATTAAACAGGAAATAATACTTTCAAACCAGGAACAGAAAAAAATTAAAATTTTATTACATAGTGCAATTATCTCAGTCTTTTCCCTTCTTCCTCCCAACTGAGCACAGACTTCGTTCTTCTGGAAGAGAACCAATCTTTGCAAGATGGGCTTCTTCATAAGGAGACTCCATTGGTGGAATTCCGGACTTTCCGGCTGGCTGGCTTTGGTGAGAATGCAAACATGTCTCATCTTACACACACACTTTGTGATTAGTACTGTGCCTGGACAAGTTAAAATAATACAAATTAGATATCATACACAGTGCAGTGTTTTTAAAAAGGCTAAAAACATTGAAGCCTGAAGCAATGTCATGTATACAAACAGGTCTTAAGGTTTACTCTTAGATTTTTTTATGTTGATGGGATAATTTGAGTAGGATATCTAATGCCAAGTTCAAAGATATATAATTAAAAATCAAAGTCAGAATCATCCAGGCCAAAACACTTACAATTTATATCTGAGGTGGGAAAGTTGGACAGTGAAGAAAGCTGACAAGCAGGAAATTGACTAATTTGAAATGTGATGCTGGTGGAGAGTTCTGCAGATACCATGGACTGCCAAAAAGACAGGTGAGTGCATCCTGCAGGAAATCAAGCCTGAACTCTCATTGGAAGCAGAGATGGTGGTGGTTATTATACTGTGGACATATCATGAGACAGAGGGACTCATTGGAGAAGAGTGCAAAGTAGAAGACTGCAGTGAAAAAAAGAAGACCAATTGGACTGATTCAATGAGGGAAGCCACAAGTCCTGAATTTGCAAAATCTAAACAGGACAGTTGATGCCCAAAGCAAAAGGGGAGCACCTGGAGCTCCTATTTGAGGGAAGTCATCTCTAATGTAATTGCCATGGCTCTGCTCTCCTGGGATTTGTAGTTGGGTGAGGCATCAGCAATTTTTGACAGAGGAAGCTGAAGACCTTGTAAACCTACATCTCCCATGATTCCATATCTTTGATTCATTCTACAGCATAGATACACCCCAAGATTTTCTTTTCCATCGCCAGAAGCTTTGGTATTCTAACACTTACTTTTAAAAGAAGGAATTCTAATCAGGCAGCAACTGCAATGTGCACCTTTTTCGGCCAAATTATGAAGAGTGCACAACAAAAAACAAAGCCTTTTTTGGTTTCAGGATTTTGAAAAATGAGATACGCATTAGATTTGATGGCGCTGTTGGAACCTCCATCTTGAGCTTGATTGGTGAGAATGAGAGAGCGAGCCTTCCTTCTTGGTGGCTGCCCCTCGACTCTGGAACTCCCTTCTTCCCAGGGAAGCCAGAATGGCCCCCTCCCTGCTGTCCTCCCAGCAGCAGGCTTAAACTTTTTATTCAGGCAGGCTTTCAAAGATGTGATTTTAAATGCTTTTTAGATATACTTTTATGGTTTTGACCTGGATTGTTTTAATATTAATGTTGTTTAATACTGCTTTAATATTGGTATATTTGTATACTTTAAGTTGTATTGAAATGCTGTTAGTTGTGAGCCACTTTTAGTCTCTGTTTAGAGAGAAAAAGAAGAATATAAATAAACAAAACAACAACAACGAGGAAGACGGATCAGGGTTGTTTTTTGCTGTTGTGGAGACCGGAGCAATGGGTTAAAATTACAGGAAAGGAGATTCCACCTGAACCTTAGGAAGAACTTATTGACAGTATGAGCTGTTCAACAGTGGAACTCACTGCCTCAGAGTGTGGTGGAAGCTCCTTCTAATGAGATCTTTAAATAGAAGCTTGGTGGCTATCTGTCAGGGGTACCGTCCTTTGACTGTGCCTTTTCTGCATGGCAGGGGGTTGGACTTGATGGCCCATGCAGTGTCTTCCAACTCTATGATTCTGCTTATAAAATGTAGCTGTATTCTTGCCTTTGCTGTTGGAGAAGTGGCTGTGAATAAACACAAGGTGATGATAAAATGGCAGTGGCCAGTAGACGTGCTAGGGCTGCTTCATCACCCTGTGGTTGGTATTCACAGAGGCTTAAACATATTTTAACTGTGAAACAGTAAAACAGAGATCAGTTAGTAAAATCTTAGTGGGTGATCATCCCACATTCAACATTGACAGTCCTTTTCCTCCTTTCTCCCACAATCCAGACCTGCCTGTGCGTGTGACTCTGCCACCACCTCAACAGTGCACCTTCTGCCCATTGCTTCTGATGCTGTGAGTGAGCTGGTTTCTATCCCATCCCTGAAATAATCATTTTAGATAATGTGAACAAAGAAATAATTATTGGGTCAGTCTGGATACACCAAAGCTGTCCAGTTCAAAATAGGTTGGAGAGCAAACGTCCAATTCAAGAAACAAATGAGTGAACCCCAAATCCATTCCTCTGACAGCTGCAAACAGCAGTGCTACTTGTACCTGAATGGAGCATGAATGAAGCAGTTTGACCTCATCAGAATTTAACATCTTAAGACACAGAGGGAAAAATCCTTTGTTGCTTCACTACTGAACTCAATGAGATTTCTACGCATGCCAAATCAAGAGGCAGCTTAGTCCGCTCCTCCCTCTAATACAACGATTCAGAATAATCCATATGATGTATTGATCCATAATTCCCATTTCAAGTGCAGACATATCAGTGGCTGACTCCAGTCTTTATTCTAGCCTCTGATTGCACTTTTTACAGGCCAGAAACCCTAGGAGGCCAGCTGGCGACTGAGGAATTCCACCTCGACTGGGATACTGTCCTCTCCAGCTATCTGGGTGCAGTGGTGGTCCGTTTTGATGGCCGGGGCTCTGGAAACCAAGGGCTCAAGCTCTTGCATGAGGTCAGCCGCCATTTGGGCTCCTTGGACTTGAAAGACCACGTAGCTTTGATGCAGTAAGTCCTCCTTGGGTGTTGTTTGCATGTTGCATGTATTTCAGGTGGCCACAGCATGGCAGTGCTGGCCCAAGAGACTAATATGTCCCCACCCTGAGGCACTGGGGAGGCTGTCCACCCTTTTTGGTACTGAGAATGACACTGTGGACAAAAAAGGGCCCGATTCAAATGGCATGGGTTTATATTTGTCTCCCCTGGACTGGCAATAAACCTTTTAAACAGGTTGCAAATTTTGCCCTTGGTATTGTTTAAAATAAAGAAGAAGAAAAACACCCACTTTCAAAATCAGAAGCAGATTTCTGGCTACTTCTTTATTTTTCCTTTTGGGGCACAATCTTCGGTAGTCCATGAAGCTCCAAGAGAGAAGCTTGAAATGTCTGCTAGAGCCACCACAGTTGCCAGGTTTTACATTTTTGGTCACTTCTCCGTGTCCTTAATGAAGTTGCCTACTGTTACTTGAGGGAGGGGTTTCAGATGAAAGAACTGAGAACTGAGTTTTCCTGGCTGTATGTCCATGTTCCAGAAGCATTCTCTCCTGCCATTTCGCCCGCATCTCTGGCAAACATCCTCAGAGGTTGTGAGGTTTGTTGAAATCCAGGCAAGTGAGGTTTACATATTTGTGGAATGCCCAGGGTGGGAGAAAGTATTCTTTTCTGCTTGAGGCAGGTGTGAATGTTGCAAATGGCCACCTTGTGTCTGATGATGATCAGTTAGAGGCCTTCCTTGCCTTTCTGATACTGTATAGAGTCAATAGCCCCATCACACTAGAGAATGAATCCACTTTAAGTCCAGTTGCTGCCTCTTGCAGAATTATGGGGCTTGTAGTTTAGGGAGGAGCCTTTAACAGCCTTACTAAACTACAAACCATAATCCTGAAGGAGGCAGAACCTGGATTTAAAGTAGATTCATTATCTAGTGTGATGAGATTGGAAAGAATTGGAGAATGGGGGTGGGAGGTGGGGTTGCAATGAGATCAAGAAAGAAAGCATGCTTTGGGCACATTGATTTGTTGCACTTTTATGCCAGGAAATTTAAAAATGAAAGGTATTCGAACATATCCTCATCTCCAAACATCATTTTCCACAAGCCCTCACCAGGTCACTCAATAGTAAAGGAAGATGAGAACTGTAGTCCAACAATGAGGGTGACTGAACTCCTCTAGACTTTTTTTTTTAGCAGTATGGGACAACTGGAGAGCCATTAACTCTTGGGTAGTATGTGGAAAATCTGAGCATGAAGTCATGATGGGGCACTAACAATCCCCCCAATGCTATTTCTGCCCCACCACAGATGGCTGCTGCAACTTCCCTATGTGGATCAGAGGCGCACAGCGGTCTATGGAAAGGTAAATTCTACAACGAAGGAATCCATTTCTGCATTTTCTTTATAGCAGGGATGGGAAATATGCAGTCTTCCTGTTGTTGTTGGGCTACAACTCCCATGCCAGCTGCTGTGACTGGCAGTCCAGCCACATCTAGAGGATTCTTTCATTCTGGGACTGGGCAGCCCATCTTGCCCGTGATAAACTTCTTAAATCAGTTGGGTATGGAGACCTGGCATTGCCAGTCATGCTTCCAGTGACATCTAACACAGAGATCTTATTTGGAGAAGAAAATGGTGCCTTGTCCTTTTCAGACAAGATAGTAGTCAGCCAGCCAGCACTCTGTTGACAGCAAATGGCAATTTCTCCATCAGTCATTGTTGTTTTGAAATGGAAGATCTTCCAGTGCAGAGCTATACTGCCCTCAAAAGAGATTACAAGTACAAATATAACTCTGAAGTCAAAGTATCTAACCCAGAGATGAGCAAGATGTGGCCCTTTAGTTATTTTGGGGTAAGGGGAATGTTTTCTTCAAAGCCCACAAGAATTATCTCAGTTTCAAACCCGAACCTTCTGCTTTGCCTGGAACTTCATCTATCTGAGATTCCTCACTGGGACAAAGCAGCAATACTTGGGGGAAAGAGAGCACTAAGGCTGGATCTACACTGCCCTATACACCAGGAATGTGATCCCAGATTATCTGCTTATCCCAGATTATTAGGCAGTGTAGACTCATATAATCCAGTTCAAAGCAGATAATCTGTGATTGGATCTTGGGATATAGGGCAGTGTAGACCTAGCCTTAGAATGAAGAGTTTCATTTCAGAGCATTGTATGCCATATTGAAAATAATGTTTTTTAATATTCAAAAATATTTAAAACATACTTTAAACTGTTTTAAAGGCCTATGGAGGTTTTTTGGCACTGAAACTCCTGGCAGCAGAAAACCTCTTTAAATGTGGCGCAGCCGTGGCACCCATCACCAGTTTCCGTTTCCACAGTAAGTAGCTGCCAGAACACATATTATTTTTATTTTTAAATGGAATTGGAATTCTGTACCAAGATAACCCAGATGAGTAGATTAATCCTACCACTATATTGCTTTATTTAGAACCACTATGGGAAATGGAGGGAATGGTGAAGGAACAAAATCTTTGATTGCCTTGAGATTGGGATCTAAGCCCTTTTGTGGCTTCCTGTATAGTGCCACCATAAGGGTAGGAATTGGAGGCTCCAGAGTCCCATTCAGCAGAATAAACAAGGGGTATGCTTGTTAATACATGAGTAGGATCCCAAAGACCATCACGTCCAAAACTGAAAATTCTCTAGTATCCCTTTCTCTGGTACAGTCATGCTTTGTATGATTGTAACAGGGAAGTGATGATGAGGCCGGCTCTTTAAAAAAAACCCTTCCTTCCTATTCGCTGCCATAGCTGCCACCTTCTCTGAACGCTACCTTGGAATGCCAGCCCGGGAGGATGCAGCCTACACGGTAGGGAAAAATTAATACCAAACCAAGTCTCCAGGTTCTTGGTCCCTTCCTCTTTTCCCTCCTTTCTTCCCCATTTGCTTTCTGAAGGAGACAGGAGCAGGGAGCCCTTTTCTCCTGACCATTCACCCTCACTTTCCTGCTCCTTTGCACTCAACTGCAGCTTGAAGCTCTGAAGCCATGAAGCAAAAGGAAATTCTTCCTCAATTGAGTTGGAATGATGGGAAAAAGTTTATAACTTTTGCTTCATGTCAGCTTGCTGTTAAAATCCCAGGCAGCAAAGCCAAAGGCAAGAGTCCCCTTCGGGGTGAGAAGGGCGGCATATAAATGTCGTAAATGAATAAATAAATAAATAAGTTACAGGGTTTGCTTTTCCTCACTTCCCTTACACTTCCCTCTTTCCATTTCCTCCCCAGGTGGCCTCTGTCTTGGAGGAAGCTGCCCGCCTCAAGGACAGAAAATCCCTGCTTGTGCATGGAACTGGTGATGGTGGGTACTGTACAGAGAGGCACTAATCCTCTTTTGGCTCATTCATTCACCCTCACACAACAAAGGTTTCTACCATCAACAGCATCATGTTAGTGTTGGTATCTCCGAGATTTCAGGAGTGTGTGTGTTAAGTTTGGGCAGCAGAGGAGGATAGGAATGAATGATACAAATAGGTATTTTAGCCAACTGCTTCTCTGTTTTTCTGTGTGGAAGGACAGTCTGCACAGACCGTATCTTAATGTGTTAACCATCTCATATTCTCCCCCTTTCTTCTGGCAGCTACAGTTCATTTTCAACATACAGCTGAACTTCTTGTCCAGCTTCTAGCTGCAGGGTCCAACTACACCACTCAGGTAGGAAATATTGGAAAGGAAGAACCAGGTTTGGTACAATTGGACCCCCCTCCCCCCCTGCTCACTTGACTTCTCTAAGTGGTGAGAAACTTCGAGGCATAGCTGCAGGGCTTCCTCTGATTTGGTCTCCTAATCAAAGATGTGTTTTCCCCTCAGATCTATCCAGATGAAGGCCATGTGTTCGTTTCAAAACAGAACAAGCATCACCTTCGTCAGACGCTCTACTCCTTCTTTAAGAGTTGCTTTGAGGATTCAAAGCATCGTCACTTGCTAGCAGATGAAGACGAGGACTCATAGTGGCTCCTCAATATGGGATTTGAACGACAAACCAGTGCCAATCCTCCATGACTTTTTCTCTGCTGTATTGACATGTCTTGGTTGTATTTTGCACATATCAAGAGTCACTACCCTTTGGATACTGTGTTAAAGCACACAACTGGGCACTGTTTGCAGAATTAAAGTATCCAGCATGTTGTCACTTTAAGATTTACCAAAAAAACCAAAAAAAAAAACAAACCCATGTTTCTAGAACTTGTTATTTGTTTACATACAAAACCTGTGGAAAATCCCAGAGGGGGACCGACCAGGATTTCTGGTAGGCAAGGTATGTTTGTGTTTTCTCCTCCTTCTGCCATGTGCTTTGCACATTCTTTTGCTCAACTAAATGATGAGCAATAGTTGAACAAGTTACATAATGTAGGCACTTATATGCAAATTACTCATTCATGGTATCTATATACTAGGCATGGGCACTCCAAGTACAAAACTAGAGGGCACTCATGTTTTGCTTCTAAAGTGTTGCTAAAGTTCTGGTGGTGAAAATTTCAGAATATTAACAAAATTCAAAATTTAATTATTATTTTGTTATTGGCTATTTTTATGACAGAACCAATTAGGAACTGCCATTTATAACGAAATTTTGAAAGTTTTGTTAGAGTTCTGATATTTTCACCGCCAAAACTTTAGCAACATTTTAGAAGCAAGGGACCAGCGCCCTCTAGTTTTGTATGTACTTTAGAACCACTTAGAACCATGGATTATCCATGCTTACTATATACCTGTTGCAAAATTTAGCTTTTCTGGGTAAAGTATTAAGGTCCACTTGTTCCAGATTCCTCATCCATCTTTTCTCAGCTTTGATTGCCAAAGGCTTGAAGACAGAACACTTTTCCTCCTTATGTTTCCTTCAGCTCCTTCAACCCTGCATCCTCCTGGGCCTGTCAAGAACCTCAAGGAGGAATCCTTCCTACACTGTGTCCCACAACCAAGGGGTAGTAAGGTTGCTAGGCTCCTTTCTCTTTCTGCCTGTGCTGCTGCATTTTAAACAACAACATGGTACACAAAACTAAATAAGCTGGGGAAGGTATTGCATCACTTTATCTCTATACCAGGAAAAAATTTAACTGTGTGACAGGTTGCTCTTACAGCCTCATCACATTAGAGCAGTGGTTCTTAACCTGTGGGTCCCCAAGTGTTGTGGCCTTCAGCTCCCAGAAACAGCTGGTAAACTGGCTGGGATTTCTAGGAGTCAAAGGCCAAAACACCTGGGGAGCCACAGGTTGAGAACCACTGCATTAGAGCATAGATCCACTTTAAATCTAGCTTCTGCCTCCTGCAAAATTCTGGGGTTTGTAGTTTAGTGTGGTCCAGGGCCTGTGTAGCTGAGCAGTTTAAAGGCCCCTCCCTAAACTACAGGCCGCAGAAATCTACAGGAGGCAGAAACTGGATTTAAAGTGGATCCACGCTCTAGTGTGATGAGGTCCTTAGAGAAAAATAGCAAGAGAGTGGAGATACATGGGAACAGGCTGCTTAGTTATTTCAAGAGTTGTTCCTTTGAGCTGTCACCCAGGCAGCTTCTTTGACATCCAGACTCCTCCCCAGTGTTCAAGCCAGAGAAGGCTTACATTTGCCACTCCCAGGTCCATCGAGCAGGACTTGGGTAGAGCCCCATCGACCCTTGACCCTTCCAGGTGTGTAGACAGACAGGCACCTTCCGGCACCCAAAGAAGTCGTGACACCTGGAATCCCCACCTACCAAAGAGACTGGGAAAAAGGCTAAGGTAACACTGTCTAATTTGCCGAATATCTTTGCAGGTTATAGATGCCATCACTCTCTTCCCAGAGAAAACAATAGTAACAAAGACAGGCTCATTTATGCAACCAGATCACAATAGTTCCTTGAAGAATCCGAGCAATGCTGCAAAGACATTTTGTTCAGCTTTCCTAGAGTCTCTCTCAAAACTGTTCTTTCTTTGTGAAGCATGTAAATTCAGATGTACCAAAACCACAGTAGCATGAGTACCAATATGGCCTGTGTAAAAGAGACTCAATTACATGGATATATTTGCATAATATTGAGTCCCCCACAACCGATAGTGGCTTTTAAGAAGCCCTCTATCCCGCCAGTCTTCACAGAGTAGACAGCCTCATCTATTATCTCATAGCGTCTCTCACATGTGCTGACTCCTGCAATGGAGCTAGAGTGAGTCAGTGCAGTGAGTAAGATTGTGTACTTTTCAACAGCAAAGATGCCTATCATCAAATGCTGTTTCTCAGGTCATACTCCACAGGACAACATTGCTCAACATGCTAGAATCCAGTTCGCCATTGTATCTGTTCACATTTAACTTTAGCTGAGCTCAGACCTATGGATTCAGTGGGAAAGAAATGTTTGATGGAATTGATCTTTCACCAAATCAACATGCTCATCTCCCCCCCCCTCCTCTGTATGCATGTATTTGGATTTTTAACCAAGAATCATCTCTCACATTTTCTTCCAAAATATCTGTGAGAAAGCTATGCTAGAAAATAATTTGCTGCATGGATTTTCAGCTCTTGGGGTGCAAAAAAGTTGGTGTTGCATGACAAGCTGGGAGTTATAGTGCTTTTGAATTTTCATAATTCTCAGATTTTTGGTCACCATTGTACTTTTATAATCACTTTTGCAAAAGGAAAAATAGTTGGTTATTGGCCCATGTATGACCCCTAATAATATGTATCTTCCAAGCTGATCTTGTTTAATGTTCAAATCAAAGAAGATATGCCTGGTTTTGTGAATTCACAGTTCCTGCCGCATAATAACAGTATTCATGGGAGTTGAAGCTAATAAAAGGGTAACTTACTTTAAACCTATTCCTAGGTGCTCCTTGTTTTTCATGCCCGAATCCTCCATCTTTACTATTGTGTGCACAAGTACAGATGCAATAGCTGAATTGTAAAAATAACATCACAAAGCAAATTACTGTTCGACTATTGTTAGAAAGAGTGGTAGGAAAAGTTGCATCTTTCCATATAGTTCTCCAAGCCAAAAATGTCTGCTAACTAATTTTGAACTGTTATTGAATTTCTTACTTTCCCAGCTCAGGAGTAGTAGATACCTCCAAATGTGTCATCCACAAGGAAATAGTGATTAAACATTGTTTCTTTTACACAATACTTTTAGTTTTTTCTGCTTTGGTAGCTTCTCCCACCCATCTTCTTTTGGCTTCTCCATTAGTTTGATCCACTAGGGCTCATATTGTAACGTTCATAATATCTCAAAACTTTCCAGTTGAGCAATTTCATCTTTTTCAGCTACAAATTATTAAGTGTATAGTATCGAATTGTTGCCTATTGTAAGCCGTCCTGAGTCCCCTTTCGGGGGTAGAGAAGAGATGGGGTAGAAATACCAGAAATAAATAAATAATAATAAATAATACTAATAAATAACTGAAATCATATCCACGCAGGTGCAAACTGGGTCTTGGTGACTGGCAGCTGAATGTGTGTACTATTCCATTTGAACACATTGAATTTACAAGCTAATAAAACATTGCTTTCACACTTCATAGATATCTGAAGCAAGATTTAAGGGCTAAATCTAGGGACCCTTTCACTCTGCAAAGCTATAGCACTGCAATCCTCTTTAATTGCCAAGGTTGTGCCCTATTGACTCCTGGGATTTGTAGTTTGGTAAGAGACACAGAAGGGGTCCCTGATTAAAGACCCTTTCTCCATTAATAATCTCAGGATTTTGTGGGATGATGTTATGAAAACTAAAGTGGAATCATGGTGCTACAAGCTATGTAATATGAAAGGGTCTCAGGCTTTTGGCACCACAAAGGACTTCGAAGGGAAGGCAAAGGAGAAGGGGAAGGGGAAGGGAAGACCAGACCATGGGGTCTTGGCTTATCCTTTATACAAAACAATGCCATGAAGAGAGAGATACATTCTTATAGTGGTTACATAACTTTGTTATGAGATCTGTGTCAGAAGCTGGAGCGATATTTTCCAAGTGACTTCAAAATCACTCATGATGGCATTCGCCAACCCACCAGCTGTTCAATATAGCATTTGAAAGGCAAGATTCCAACATTATTTTGCAATTGGATTGTTATAATTCATCTCCATGAACTATTATGCACTACTTTCCAGCAATTATTACACTCCAGTATAAACCAGCTTCAGCCAGTATGCGATTTCTCTGGGATTCAATGGTTTGGAACAAGCACCCCCAAAATATGATTTGCCAAACCAGTTGTATCCCAAGAATCATGTATCATGACTGGTCAGAGGTAGCAACAATCTGATGTCAAAGTTATCTAGATTAATTCATTTCAGTGAACAACACAGCAGTGAAATCTCATAAAATTCAAATCTTTAAAACATAATTCTACACCTGAATGCTAATTTTGGGGTGGGGGAAGTGTGCTTGTCAATGCAAGATGAAGTTTTGGCTTGAAAACCCTGTTCATACTCATCCACAACCAAGCCGTCTGCTCTTGGTTTTTCTTTGACAACGTGGGACTGTGAATGCTGCCTCCGATGTTGCTATTTCCCACAGCATGGGAGCAATGATACTTCCAGTTAGTTTCTCACCAGCTGGTGACCCATAATCACACTGTTGTAGAGGTACAAGTAAACAAGTAGTCATCTTGTAGAATATGTGCATATATTACCACACAGATCTGGGAAACCAACTCACTTTTCTCCCTGTTTCCAAACTTTTTTCTTCCTGTCTTCAGGAACTGGGGCCCATCCACAGGCACCAGGTCTAGAGCTGGTCCAGAGTGTTGCTGCTTTGGACCAGCCCCAATTCAAAGCAGCAATTCAGTGGAGGTGTTTACAAGCTTCACTCTCAAACCACAGCAGTGAGGGAAACAGAATCCAGTCTGTCCAATAGGACCAAACCTAGTTTGACTCCACTGGACAATCACTTTTATGTTTGCTTTGCAGGATGGTGGCACTGAACAATGTACCACCATCCTGCAAATCTGAACCAATCCAGCTGTCTAAATGAATCCTGAAGTGTGGAGCTACTCCAGAGCTTTGGGAGACTCTAGATAGCTGCACCTTAAACTGTGGCTCCCAACCCCAAATGGGGTCCCCTTAGCTTAATGTGGGGGTCCTGGAAAATTTGGCAACAGTAACAAACATCTGTGCAGTGTTTACAATGGACTCTATTGTAAGCACTATCTTCAGCAAACATGGAGTAAAATTGGGTTAATTGGTTGTACTTTGTGTTAGGGGCGGGACATCCCTGAACATTGGGAGAATGTCCAGGAGCAATTTCTGACCCCATTTGGGGTTTGTGTTCCATGTAAATGGGCCCTATGTCTTAGGCATTCTCCTATTTGTTATTGTTATTTGCTATTAAGCTATTCCAACATAAGGTGGCATAGTAAATTAAAGTTTTCTATGAGCCCCAGTCATCAGTAGCTTTAATCATGTCTTGTAACCCAAGAGCCATGACTTCCATAGGTAAGTCAACTTGCCAATAATGTGATCTTCTACCTCTGCTTCTGCCTTCCCCTTCAGTGAGCACCATTGTCTTTTTCTGCGCTCCCCTTTCAAAGAATCACAACAAGGTGCTGCCTTAAGAGATATATCTATGGAGATGTAGTTACATCTCTTGGTGTGACCTCCTCAAACCGACCTCTTAAGTAATGCAGTCCCCCACGCCTACAACCTGGCCATTTCCATATTGCTAGAGGCAAGAGGGGTAAGCAAGGAATTGTCCAGTTCTTTCCCAATAGCTAGATGCACCATAACAGACATCTACAGAGATGGAACAAATACTACTGTACAGAAAGAAATTAATTCTCTGCTCCTGAACAACATGGAAATTAATGTGTTGTGGTTGCTTAAAGGTAGGATTGGCAAGAAGACTTTTAGTTACTTCTGTTATTGAAAATTCGGACCCAAATTGTAAATTATGGACGTTGTACACCTCCCTCCTTCCTCTATTACATGGCGGGGATAATACAAGACACATAGGTGCCCTGCCCTTATCATATGGGTGAAAGGGCCGCAACGCACATTGCTCCTTTCCCCTATCAGATGGGTGTCAGAGCTACCCAAAACACACTTTTCTCTCCGTCTTGGCAGAGGAAGCATCTTGGGGCGGAGCCAAGCCAATGTCGTTTGATGGTGCTCAGCAGGCCATGTCCAAAAGAGGGAAAGGGGACTATAAAAACCCCGATGTGATGAGTTTGTGATGGCTCCATTGGGACATACAGCAAGCCCGTGTTGCCTTTGTTCTGTAGTAACCCTTCATGAATTACCTTGGAATGTTGCCCAACACTCCCTGGACTCCAGGAAACAATCCCTCAAATTACCAAAACCCTTGCACAATGAACTGGGAGGCTGGAGGGGAACACACAATGTGTTAGCATCACATTTCCCTGGGTCCCTTTTCCTGTTTCACCTGATATGATCTGGGTTATCTTTGGGAATATTTCCTCAAGCCAGACCTATCCTTGAGATACCCATTGAGATGGCCATCATCCTAAAGCACCCATTGGTTATCTGGACTAACACCATTGTATCCACTAGAGCCAGGAAAGTATACCCATTATCGAATGCCACACCACATTCCTTTTCAGTCATGCCCCTCTCAGGGACAGATTAATAAATGGATACAACTTCAAAACAGTATAATAACAATCACAGAGTGGATCCCAGAGTGGACACTTTCTAGACCAGTGGTTCTCAACCTGTGGGTCCCTAGAAGTTTTGGCCTTCAACTCCCAAAAATCCTAACAGCTGGTAAACTGATTGGGATTTCTGGGAGTTGTAGTCCAAAATACCTGGGCACCCACAGGTTGAGAACCACTTGTCTAGATCAATCAGGAGCTAGCACAAGAATTTTGAATAGCTGTAAAATGTAATAATATTCTATATCCCACTTGCAATATGTCAGGTTTTTTTTAGTGCTTTCTCAAGCCGTTCAGAATAAACCTCCAGTTTTGCCTTCAACCTGTCTGCGTCTCATCTGGCTTTCTGGAAAGCCTGACATGCCAGGCTGCAAACCCGTGGCTTCTTGCAGAAGCTGGTTGGATCAAACCTCTGACCTCTCAACAACCATAAAAGTGAATTGCAATGGCACGAGTTAGAATTGCACCATGATAATTCATGAACAAATGCCAGCCTATGCTTTTAATCTCAAATCCAAAAATAGAACAGAGAAGAGAAAAAAAGGGATCAGTATATAAAGGATATAGTCATACTAGATATATAGGAAAATGTACAGCATCACTATGTGTCTGATTGAAATGAATATCTGTCAGACACCCATTCATGCAGTAATAAAGCAGTTGATTCTTTGAACTGTGAAAAATTATGAGTATTTGTCTTTCCAAATCTGCAGAATACATATCTGTTGCTGAATTAAGAGCACATGGATTTCCAACCACATGGACCATCAGTTAAATTCCAGGATACCAGAATCTAATTTAAATGCACACAAGTATCTACAAGTTTTTTTTTCTAATGCAAAAGCAATGCAGCAGAAAGCCTTGCTTTTGACATCTTACTGCAATCAAAAATGACCTTTCATACATCCTGTTTGGCAGGAGAAGGAGATCCCTCCGTTTCTGAGTGGCTGAGTGAACCATTAACTTTCCCAAATAAAGCAACTTGGCTTGCTAAACTGCCTATCAAGAACACATTGTACTTCTGCCCCTCTAACACCTGGCATCTTTCTCCAAAAATTAGGAAATGTGACCAACTTCATGGAAGTTGCATCTACAGTGTATCATTAATGCGATGTTACCTGCCACGGTTCAGTACTATGAAATTCTGGGATTTGTAGTTTGGTCAGGAATTTGCATTCGTGGGCAGATTCCTCACTACAGCTGCTGGGATTCCATAGCACTTTAGTCATCTGCTGTCATTTTACTAGAAGGCCTTTGGTAAGCTCATTTTACTTCACTCCCCTCCTCTCTAACCTAGGGAACAGAAATATAAAATCACATTGAAGGTCCTTCGAAAAACCTTCTATTTCCTCAGTTGGACCAGAAAGCACACCAATACAAGCTACATTTCCCAATTTGTATTATATCCCAGTTTGGGAATTATTTTGGCCCCATAAGTGGAAAATGTGACCAGCATCACTTGTGTAAAACATATTAAAATAAACTTTAAAATAAAATTGAGCCCCTCGTGGCACAGTGGGTTAAACTGCTGTGCTGTTGAACTTGCTTACAGAAAGGTTGCAGGTTTGAATCCGGGGAGCGGCATGAGCTCCAACTGTTAGCCCCAGCTTCTGCCAACCTAGCAGTTTGAAAACATGCAAATGTGAGTAGATCAATAGGTACTGCTCCAGTGGGAAGGTAACGGTGTGCCATGGAGTCATGCTGGCCACATGACCTTGGAGGTGTCTATGGACAACGCCGATTTTTGGCTGAGAAATGGAGATGAGCACCAACCCCCAGAGTCGGACACAACTGGATTTAATGTCAGGGGAAAACCTTTACCTCAAAATAAACCATTGTATACCTTTCAATTATAAAAGCATTCTCAACTCAGTTTGCCTCACTCCATTTAATAGTATAGCTAACCTTGCAAGTTGTATGAACTACACACACAAAAAGAACTTGGGACACTCAAATGTGCTATGCAAATGTATATGAAGACTTCATTGCATAATTCTTCCCCACACTTGCCTCACACCAGGAACAAGCTGTTGCTTCCCACCTACCTAGGAACAATTTTTGGGAAATGTCTCAAAATCCTGTCCTATTCCCTGGTTTCCACCTGTTGTTTTGGAAGAGGAGGTGCCCGCGCAAGGCCCTCCTACGCTTCAGCCACACAATCCACCCACCACTGAGACTGTTCAAAAACCCTGGAGAGAGCAAAAACATTTTCCTCAAAAAGCCTGTAAACGGCACTTCTCTTCCATAATTAGAAATGACGGGACTGAGAACCTATTATTTTTAATTAGGGGTCAGCATGACTGTGGAAAACTGGGAATAAGCAGATGACCACAACCCTCAAATTGCATTGCCCAGAAATACAGAAGGTCTGAGAGCAACAGGGCAGTTCCAGAGTTTCGTTTGGGCAGCGTCACGGTAAGTAGGAAGCATTTTTCTTTGAATATCTTTTTAATATATACTTTATTTATTTGTTTGTTTGCTTGTTAAACAAACAGCTGTCATCTCAAGCCCACTATAGTTCTGTTAATGAGAGTCCTAAGTAAAAAACTGAATTAAGAAAGATCCCGGATAAAACCAATAGCTTTTTACTATTTAATCATGATTGTTTTTATCTGCACTTGGCTTTTAATTTATGTTGTCAATCACCTTAGGTCCCATAAAATGTGGAACCAAAATAGCAGAGTCTTGTTAATACCTTGAAAACTGTATTGTGTTGTATTGTATTATTTTTAGTGCAAGCCACATTAAGTCTCTTTTTAGAGAGATAGAGTGGAATATAAATAAATGTAAAAAGATTGTGGACTCTGTCTCGCTTCATTATTTGCCCAGTAAAACACACTGGTCCTTAAAGTACCACAAGGCATTTGTTTTTGTGTCAGGAAGCATCTCACCTCTGCCTCTCAAACATTGACATTAGGACTGGACTGAGGGACCAACTGAATATTGCACACAAGTGATTTATGTTTCAAATTGCTGGAAATCCTACTTTAAGATAGATGCCTTTTTCTAAATTGTGGGGTTGGTAATTAATACACATCATGTGATGTGTACTTATGCTGTAAGACCATAAAGAAGCATTGTGCTAGAGATGAAGCAGAGTAATGAAATTTTTACACCACCTCTAGTAGGCCCAGTCAAAGTAAGACTTGACTCTCTCAAAAGGTATGGATGTTACCTGAAACTTTATTTGTATATGCTCTCACCCAGCACAAATCTACATTTCTCCAGAGGTTATAAGTAGGGCTGGGGAACATCACTTCTTAGATCATTCCCAGAATCACCCAGCCATGTTGGTTGAAGGGATTACGGCACATGTGTCAGGCTCAAGGTCCATGGGCCAAATACAGCCCACAATGTCATTTTCAGTGGCCCTCCAGATGTTGGACCACAACCCCTGTATCCCCCATCGATAGACTTGATGGGAAGTAACTTCTAGAAGTCTGCAGTTTGTTCTGTTTAGTCAGGAGCATGGGGTTTAGATTTTGGTACAAAGCGTGTGGATATAATGTCTGACTTTAAACTTTCTCCAACCTCAGAGCAACAAGTGCTGTTGGGTTGCAATTCCCATTATCACAAGTCCACATGGAAGATAATTAAAAGTGATGGAAGTTGTTGCTCAATGAGACCCAAATTGGGTAAAAACTTAAATATCACTAACTACTATGTAAAGAAAATGTTGCCCTTCTGAATCCAAAAAGCATCTTTCTTAAACTCTTTTGGAAGACACTGTGGATCTTTTGCTTTGAGATCCACAGTGTAGATGAGTGCTGATGTTTCCATACAAGAATAGTGTGGCTGAGGGTTGACATTTCTTTGCCTTTCAGGTCTCCATTGATGGACCAGAAGACGTCAGGTTTCCACTTGGCTGGAACCTGGGTGGTCCTGATCTGCCTGCAGAGCGCCTGTCACTTTGCGTTAGCTGATCCTGCAGAACTGCTGGCTCATGGAGCTGCCTTATCTCTGCCTGAAGACGCCACTCAGGAGCAGGGCTACTACTTGCAGCAACTCTTTGGACAGTACGGGGAAAACGGCACATTGTCCTTTGAGGGCCTGACCCGCCTGCTGCTGAGCCTGGGGCTGGGGAAGGTCCAAGTGGTGGAGATCGAGCATGAGGAGCTAGGCCATGGCCATGTATCCCACCTGGACATCCTGGAGGTCCAAGAAAACAAGCACCTGCACTCGCACTCAGCACTGGATCACCTCAGCAAGACAGAGCACAGAACCAAGGGGCAAACAGAGGTTATTCATCCCACCAGGTAATGATTCTCATTTAATAGAGAAGAAAATGCTGCAAGAAAATGTACATAAAGTGTTATTTTGGTACATTAGAGACTCTCTCAAATTAAGTTGGTAGCAGAATCGTTCACAGACTAATTTTACTTCCTAAGACTTAGCATCTTAGAAAGGTTATTCTGCCAACTTTGTTCTCTAAGATACTACAAGACCCCTTTGCATATTGATATTCCAGACTAAAGTGGCTGTGTACTTGAATTCTACCATTAGTAAGTGAAACCTACTTGAATGCAATTGCTGTCTGTCACAGACGATTGTCTAGTGCAGTAGTTCCCAACCTGTGGTCCATGGACCACCAGTGGTCCTCAAGAACAAAAATATGGTCCACAGCCTCACCATTACTACACAATTGCCTCAAAACCACCTGGAAACAAGAGCGACTGGTCTCGCGAAGCCCTTTTATAATGCCAAAGCAACGGGGATATCGAGAGGAGAGAGGTACGAAAGATTACTACATCAAATCAGCTCTAGAGTATTAAATATGGTTTTCTGTGGGCAAGCAGATGGTGACTACTGGATGGCATATGTTCTATATCAGAAACTAAAGCTGATATGGTCTATCCAATGCAATTTTCTGAATCAGTACCTCAAAGTTGACAAAAAACTGATTTGTAACTGTTTTGGTACTAATGCTGGAGAGTGGTCTTTGGTCAAAGTGGTCCCTGTTCATGAGGTTCATGGTCAAGTGGTCCCTGGCCAAATGGTCCCAGATCAAAGTGGTCCCTGGTCAAGTGACCCTTAGTCAAAAAAGGTTGGGAACCATTGTTCTAGTGGGAGCCAGTGTTCCACACTTATGTGGACTCTTTAGAGCAGGGTTGTGGGCTCTAAAGGCTTGTGGGCCAAATCTGGACCCCAAGGTCCTTTACCCTGCCCCATTCACACCCTACTAATATTGCCAGCCTCTTCTAGCTCCTTAACTCTTCTTTTCATTCCTTTCCTTTAATTTCTCTATCTCCCTCCAAAATGAAGGGACTCCTCTCCAACCTCCTCTTAGTTCTTAAATCTCCTCTCCTCTCCCCCTCCAAAACAGGAGGGTCTTCTCTGCCCCCTTCTTGCCTCTCAAATCTCCTTTCCTTCCTTTCCTTTCCTTTCTTTTTCCTTTCCTGTCTTTCCTCTATTTCCCTCCAAAATAGAGAGAATCTTTTCCGCCCCTTTCTTGCTCCTTTCAAGAAACAGAGGGAAGATGGAGCGGTGAAAGAAAGAAAAAGAAAAAGTAAGTAAGAAAGAAAAAGAGATATAAAAAAGAAAGGGAATAAAGAAAGGCAGGTAGGAAACAGGGACGTTTCGTTTCACCTGCATCTATGGCAAGGACCTCACAACCTCTGAGGATGCTTGCCATAGATGCAGGTGAAACATCAGGCAAGAATGCTTCTAGAACATGGCCATATAGCCCGAAAAACCTACAACAACCCATTTATTATTTTACTTTATTATTATTACTTTTATTATTTTACTCTAATTATTAGTTATTATTTTACTCTATTATTATTGTTATTATTACATTTCCATTATTTTACTCTATTATTATTATTACATTTATTATTTTACTCTCTTTATTATTATTGGAAAGATACATAATCACATTTACATTGAAGAAGGTTAGATAATGATGAGTTGGACAGTCTTATCCTAAATTACAATTTTATGTAAATATTCAAAAACATTTAACCTACTGATACCTCAATTAATGTAATTTTACTGGTATCTATTTTTATTTTGAAATTTACCAGTAGCTGCTGTATTATCTACCTTCAGCTTATACTCGAGTCAATACGTCTTCCCAGTTTTTTGTGGTAAAATTAGATGCCTTGGCTTATATTCGAGTTGGCTTATACTCAAGTATATACGGTATACTGGGAAGCAGTGTCTCAGGGTCATCACTCAAAACTTAAGTGAATAGTGATGGTGACTGTTTTCTTTCTGCAGGCCAGGAATCCCTCCGCCAGGCCATGCTACCCTGAAGCCACCTGTATCTCCTACACTTCATGGGAGAAAGGTCACCAAGCCAAGCGTTGGCAGAGCACCAGAGCAGACTGGGAAGAATGAAGAGCTTTTCAAGCCTTCCCAAGGACATTCTGGGCTCAATTTTTTAGAGGGTGTGATTGCATTAGACCACTCCATCTACAATCACCTGCATGAGGATGTAAGTGGGAGTTGACTATTGACTGGATTTATGGCTATTTCTATACAGCAGGAATCAGACTGGATGAATTAAACAGGAATGGGGTGTCTAATTTCTATACCTTGGGAGAATCTGGGGAAGGAGAGAACTCAAGCCTGTTAGGGATATATACATCCTAAAAGTGTGAGGGCTAGCTTCTTTTTAAAGAGTTCTTGGTACTGAAATTTGCCTTGCTGAGTTTATTGTAATAGAGGGAGTAGGACTGTGCTGTCTTTCAGAAGTGGTGAGACTGTAACTCTAACCAGACCTAGCCAGCTTAGGGATTCTGGGAGCAGCAGTCCAAAAATGTCTGGATGGGCTGCAGGATTCCTGCCGTTATATTTCTGTATTCATTTTGGTTTTAGGCATACATGGTTTTGTGAGATACAGCAGTGGTTCCCAACCTTTTTTTGTCCAGGGACCACTTTGACCAGGGACGACTCTCCAACATTAGTACCAAGTTTAGCACAGCCGGGGGTTTAGCACAGTTGGTAAGTCACCAGGAATTATAAGGTCTAGTAACCTAATGGTTGCAAGTTTGAAGCCCTGGGTCAGCGTAAGCTGCTGACTGTCAGCCCAGCTTACTGTTTACCTAAGCAGTTTTAAAACAGCTTTAGCTGTAATTAGAGAAATTAGGTACTGTTAAAAGCGGGGGAGGTGTTTTACGACACCATAAAAGAAAGAAGATCAGAAAATGCTAGTCGACCAAAAGGAAGGAGGATGGATTGACAGCACCCCTGTGGCTGGATTCAAGCCCAGCCTTCCATGGATTCGAGCCCAGCCTTCCATGGCACAAAAAAGCTGGGCATTAGGTCAAAACAACAACACACCTCCTTCTGTTCTGTCTGTCTATGTATTGTCTATACAAAACGACATTGAATGTTTGCCGTGTATGTGTACTGTGATCCGCCCTGAGTGCCCTTCGAGGTAAGAAGGGTGAAATATAAAGAAAGTGTTGTTGTTGTTATTATTATTATTATTATTATTATTATTACCAAAAGGGTTATGAATCAGTTTTTGATCAACTTTAGATTTAGTGTGGTTATTTGGGGTGCTGATTCAGAAAATTGAATTGGATAGACCACATCAGCTCTATTTTCTGATACAGAACATATGCCATCCAGTAGTCACTATCTGCTTGCCAACAGAAAACCATATTTAATAATAAATAGAGCTGTTGTGATCTATCCAATGCCATTTTCTGAAACAACATCCCAAATAACCCCAGAAACACGCCTAAAAATGAAGACACTAAGAAAGATTTTTTTTGGTTGGATATGTTATTATCTGTAGTAGTAACAGTGAAGCCATAGACCGTATTTTAGTTCTTGAGGACCACTGGTGGTCCACGGACCATAGGTTGGGAACCATTGTGATAGAGTTATATTTGGGTTTGCTTCCCTTTTAATGCTGCACTAAGAGACTGGAGGAAGCCTTCTCAGGGCCTGTATACAGTTTCTTATTACATTCCCAACCTTATTGTTCATACTAAAAATTCTGAATTCCCTTCTCCTACTAAAGCTGATGACCCTTTCCCGGTTATTTAAAATTCTCCTTGCTACATAGTTTTAAATAGAAAAACAACTTTGATCAAACCCTTGGATGGCCAATTTTTCTGGCACTCAATTAAGCATCGTTTGGCAGTTGGGCACAATTACTCCTTGCAATAAACCCCTTCTGTGTTTTCTCATTTTCTTTTTGTGTTTTGGTCTCCAGTGCCTCAATGTATCGCAGCTGCTGGTCAACTTTGGGCTGAACTCGGTCTCCAAGATCACGCCTGAGCAGTTCACCCTGCTTTGCCCGGCTTTACTCTATCAGATTGACAGCCGTGTTTGCATCCAGCACTATGATGAAGTGGCCCTTGGCATGACGGGGAACAATCTCTGGGCTGGTAACTCATGCTGCCTTCCTCAAAGTCTCACCCAGGAAAAGCCCTGAATCCCAGCACTGCCTCCCACCCAAAACCAACCCCCAAATCAGCTCTGAATCCAATGCAGGGCTATACACATTCCTTTTAGTTGCAGGATGACCTTGTAAACATGGGATCTGAAGACTTTGGCACCCAAAGAATTTCCCCTTTAGGGGGAAAGAAATTAAAAGAATAAAACCCTGAGTTAAACCATGAGAATCAGGAGGAAGTGCTGCCTGACACCTACTGTTGAAATAACATGGGGGTTTTCCATGCTTTGCAATCTTATTTATTTATTCTCCTATTGTCTACAGACCTTGCCCTATAATCCTGTTATCTTTGCTCGTCCTTCAGTTTCTAGTCCTTCCCCTCTTTCATTCACATTTCCTTCTCCTTATGAAAGAGTCCTGTGTCTTTGCAAACTCACATCTGGTACATATTGAAAAATACATTTATGTTTTCACCTTAAAACAAGCACAGTGCTTTTTTGCTGCAAAGATATTCAAAGTGCTGGTCTTAACGTATAAAGCCCTAAATGGTTCTGGCCCAGTTTACCTGTCCAAACATATCTCCCTCTATGAACCACCAAGGACCTTAAGATCATCCGGTGAGGCACTACTCTCGGTCCCACTGCCATCACAGTCACATTTGGTGGGAGACGGGAGACAGGGCCTTCTCTGTAGTGGCCCCTCGGCTGTGGATCTCCCTCCCTTATGAGATTAGATCTGCCCCATTCCTCCTGATCTTCCGGAAGAAACTCAAATCCTGGCTGCGGGATCAAGCATTTGTAGAATAGACTGATTTACTGGTGAAGATAAGGTTTTAGTGGACTGCAATGGACTGATTTGGATGATGATTTGAACCAGCAAACTGTTTTAATGTATATTTATAACTGTTTCTAATGTATGCTAATTTTTTTTATGTTATGTTACGTTATATTGTGTCGGCATCAAATAGTTGCCTGTTCGAAGCCGTCCTGAGTCCCTCTTTGGAGGTTGAGAAGGACGGGGTATAAATGTTCTAAATAAATGAATATTCAAATTGAGTACACAATGTAAATAGCTTCTGAATGGATTTCCAGATTGAATTTCTAGGCCAAATATTCAAAGAAGACAAATTGCTAATAAGGTTTACAAAAATGCATTGTGCCTCTGCTCTTTTAGTGAGAAGGATTAACCGTAGGAATATTAGACATTTAAAATTGGCTAATACAAATCAATGCAATCTTATGGCAAATAAAATAACAATTTCTGTACTTTGGATGACCTAGTGAGTCTAAAAACACTTTATTGTAATGGAACTCATCTGAAGATAGAAAAAGATACAATTAAAAAAAGTTAAGCTATATTTGGTTTAAGGTAAAGGTAAGGTTTACCCTTAATATTAAGTCTAGTTGACTGACTCTGGGGAGTGATTCTCATCTCCATTTCTAAGCTGAAGAGCCAGCGTTGTCCGTAGGCACCTCCAAGGTCATGTGACCTGCATGACTGCATGGAGGGCCATTACCTTCCCACCAGAGCAGCACCTACTGATCTACTCACATTTGCATGTTTTCAAACTGCTAGGTTGGCAGAAGCTGGGGCTAACAACAGGAGCCCACCCCACTCTGTGGATTCAAACTGCTGACCTTTTGGCCAGCAAGTTCTGCATCTCAGCGGTTTAACATGCTGTGCCACCGTGGTCCCTATATTTGGTTTCCAAGTGCCCAATAACTTGTCTCTGATGGATTGGGCTAGGCCAGCAACCATTATGGGGATTGGTTCAGACTGAGGGAATCAGGAAACTGTTTCCCTTGAAGAAAGAGGAAGCGACCTTACCAGGCTGGCCCAAGTCTAAGAAAAGGACCAGGCCTAAGAAAAAAAATACAATCCCTGGTATTTTCCTTCTATTTGCTTGAAATCTTGGAAGGGACCCCAAGGGCCATTAGTTCACTCCCTTGCACTTCATGAATAAAGAGTAAAGCACTTTTGGGATATTTATTGATGCCTTTATTTCCTTCCAGTAACTACATGTCAGAATCTATAGAAAGGAATGCTACTGACCATACTGTGTGGAAATGGGAGGTGAGGAGGTGAATATTGGGACCCGATAGTACAGTCCTGTGTCTGTTTTCAAGCTCCAGTTCCTAACTCCCGCCTTGTTTCCACTCTCGTTTCCTACAGGCCTGGGCTGGGGATTTGTGGCCATCACCTTGACCAGCTTGCCCTCCGCACTGGCCATTGTCTTGGTTCCTCTGCTCAACCACAAGCTCTTCCGCTTCCTGCTGGCTTTCCTGGTGGCATTGGCTGTGGGGACCTTGTGTGGGGACGCACTGCTGCACCTGTGGCCACACGTATGTAAACAGCCATCACTCCCTTCCCCTCCGGGTACCATTTCCCTTTGCCTCTTCCATAGGGGAGATGACTACCCAATCCATCTTTCTCTCAATCCATGCAAACTGCAATGCCCTGAGAACGTCAAATAAGGCCTTGACATCCCATTTCTCAGCTTCCATGCATTAACATCACCAAACCATCCAATCTAGCATAAACCTTTCCAGTATTACAGACATACTGAGAGCCAATGTGGCTTAGTGGTTCAAAATTGGGTTACAGCTCTGGAGAGCAGGATTCAAATCTCCAGGTGTTTTGTCCTACAACTCCCAGAAATCCTAGCCAGTTTACCCAGCCAGTTGAAGGCCAAAACATCTGGGAACCCACAGGTTGAGAACCACTGGAATCTAACATGCCACTTCTTAAAATTCTCTTCATGTATCCATTTATTTTCTGAATCCCCCCTTTCTCTGCTCAAAGGAATTGTTTTCATTTAGGCACAAGCCAAAGCCCACGGACTCCTGTCACCGAAACACCAGCCAGGCACCATGGCCGAGGATGCTGTATTGAAGGGCCTGTGTGTGTTGGGAGGGATTTACTTCCTGTTCCTCATTGAGAATCTGATGGGGACGCTGAAGCGTCTTTGTGCAAAGAGGGTAAGGATTGCACAGTTTGGTTCCCACTCCTCCCTCCAGCTTTCCAAATATTCTGAGCAATTCATGGAATGGAAAAGAGATTGCAGCCAATTTATTTTTGCATTCAAGGCAGTCGTTGCTCTCAACCTGCTCCCCTTTTCTCTAGATGGAGAATTCTGTTCCAAATGAGAGAAAGGCCATAGATAGCCATGTGAACTAGTCTGTGTCTAGGGGTGATTGTTGGCTTCCATGATAGCAGGGCAGTGAATACAGTCTAGGATTTTAGCTGAACAACTAAGATAGTGAGTCTATTGTCAGACTAGGGTTCAGCACCTTGATAGATTCTTTAAAGCTCAAGCTAAAACCCAGAGCAGATTTATTAACCCCACCGCCCATCTCACTGCTCTCTGTGCCCACCCTTTTGGAATTTCCAAAAATTTGAAGTCCGCCAATGCTGTGTGCAGTCACTGTTCTGTTGCCACTGGGCCTGTACACAATGTCTTTATTCTATAGGACACACACTTTAAACCCAGTGGGAAGCCGGGGTGCCCGAAGAGAGATCGTTAGAGACTTCCAGAAGTAATGGGCTTTAGAGTTCTTTAAAAGTACAACAAAGTCTTTATTAAAGAACAAATCTTCAAACAAAACTTCAAGGCTTTACTATTCTAGTCTTTAAGAGACTGGCACTAACTTGGTTTAACTGTACTATCTCAACATGAAGAAGAACCCTTTATAATCTCTCCCAGGCCATCCATCACCTAGGCCTCGCTGGTCTGGGTATAACTGCCGATCCCAAATGCGTCTGGAAACCGAGTAACCTACCAGACGAAGCTAGAAGATATTTAGCTGGAATTCTGTGGTTCTGTAATGCTGTCCTGTGGAAACTTCAGGGCTGTTTTTCCCTCTGGTGCTGTGAGGCTGTGAGCTCTCAGCCAGAGCCTTTGGGACCTTTTCCTTCCATTTCCCTGGAACTGGATAGTCAGTTTGTCCCCAGATGGTCTTGAGGAATGAAGCCTTTCCTACGGGACAAACTGATTTGTGTCCTATAGGCTGGCTTCCTTGTGTGTGACTGACTAAAATGGTTCCTCTCTCTTCCCAAAACCCAGGAAAAGGGGCAGAACCAAAGCTAAATGAAGATGGACAGGGGGCTTGCCCTATGACTGCAAACTATAACAGGAAGCCACCCTGCTGCAAAATCCCAAGCCTGGGATTGCAAACAAACCTTTAGTTCAAAGCAAATAAAATTGGAGCTCCTGGAACAGCTGTTCCAGAACAGTCACATTACAGTCTATATTGTGGAATGAACCACTCATTCTGCCTGCAGTCAGTGATCATTACGTCATTGTGAACAAATCAAAATGTGTCTCGATATTACTAGGTTTGTGCTGATTTAGCATGACTGATAGAAAACCCCTGTCTCATTGAGACTGTAGTGTGTTTTATGCAGTGGCTGTGGTTGCTTCCTCCCTCCGGAGAGACAGGACACACCCTTGGTTATACCATTGCTGCTACCAGCAGGACATAACTACATTCAGGGCAGGATTCCCATTCCAATCTCCATGTAACACAGCTTACCAGTTTTGCATTTCTTTTTGCAGAAGGCCACCAAAACCCCTGAGGAGGCTACAACTAAGATGGATGAGAGAGGCGCTGTCGGTTCAAGGACATCCCAAGGTGAATGAGTTGTGGATTGCCCTCACCTTTAAATTCTTTGTAATACCGAATGGACTGGATGACTGCCCAAGTTGGCAGATGTCTAGAGCTTAAGGGGTGTGAGATCTTATTTAATAGAACAGATTTGGAGCAATATAATAAATAGCAATATTGCAGCCAAAAAGCTCTCCTTATGCGAGGAAAAAAGTACTTGCAGATCAGCCAATTTCAGACTTTTACACACCAGAGAAGGAGCTGAAAACACCACTGGGTGTACAAACTCCATGCGCGAAGCAAGCCTAAAGCAAGGGAGCGAAAGAGGGGGAAATGAGCAACACCTGTTAGCAGAATTACTAGTGAAGCTGTGTTAGTATTTGGTGAGAGATCTACAGAAAGATTGGGCTTTAGCTGTTGCACTGGTCTATTCTAAACTTTCATCCCTCACCAAACATATTCATGACATAGATACTGTGAATGTAGCCTTGCAGCAAGGAACATTGCACAAAGCCAGAATACAAAATTAACAGCAATCTCAAGAACTCCTTCTCAACAGAGTTGAGGGTCTTCACAATTGGCAGTGATGTTTGGATATTCATTTGATGGGGATCCCAGAAGATACAAAGTATAGAATCATAGAGTTGGAAGAGACCTTGTGGGCCATCCAGTAACCCCCCTGCAGAGAAGCAGGAAAATCGCATTCAAAGCACCCCCAACAGATGGCCATCCAGCCTCTGCTTAAAAGCCTCCAAAGAAGGAGCTTCCACCACACTCCAGGGCAGAGAGTTCCACTGCTGAACAGCTCTCACAGTCAGGAAGTTCTTCCTCATGTTCAGGTGGAATCTCCTTTCCTGTAGTTTGAAGCCATTGTTCCGCATCCTAGTCTCCAGGGCAGCAGAAGACAAGCTTGCTCCCTCCTCCCTGTGACTTCCTCTCACATATTTATACATGGTCATCATCATGTCTCCTCTCAGCCTTCTCTTCTGCAGGCTAGGCCTCATGGATACCAAAATCTGTGGATTAGCGAGTCCCATTATATACAGTGCCATAGTAAAATGGTGTTTGATATTTAAGGGTTTCACTTTTAGATTGCCTTTAAAGCTATGGATTATTAAATCCATGGATGCAGAATCGATGAATTGGGGAGGGGGGGGCATCTATCATCCCGCCATAATTCATACAATGCAGATCAACCATGAAAATCATATATATATATATATATATATATATATATATATATATATATAAAGTAAAAAATCTTATTAGCACCATGACCTTACTATTGTTTTTGTTTTTGTTCATTTTATTATTTATTTATTTATTTATTTATTATTTACTGTATTTATATACCGCCTTTCTCATTCCTGGGGGGACTCAAAGCAGTTTACATATAAATAATGGCAAAATTCAATGCCTTACATTGGGCACCGATACGATGGCAATACAAACAATTACAATAATAAAACCACAATTAAACATAAATCATAATTAGAACAATACATCAACAAGCATTAAAACAATAAAACAGTCTGGTCAGTCGAATCGCCGTTCCAGTCAATGTCCTTCTAAAATGCTACATACATCTACTGTCCGAAGGCCTGGTCCCAGAACCATGATTTTAATTATTTTCTAAAAGCCAGGAGGGAGGGAGCAGATCTTACCTCATTTGGGAGTGTGTTCCATAGACGGAGGCCACAGTCGAGAAGGCCCTGTCTCTCGTCCCCGCCAGATGCATTTGTGCTGTTGACGGGAGCGAAAGCAGGGCCTCCCCGGATGATCTTAGATTACGAGGTGGGATGTAGGGGTGAATGCATTCAGACAAGTAAGCTGGGCCAGAACCGTATAGAGCTTTATAGGTTAAAACCAGCACTTTGAATTGGGCTCGGAGATGGACCGGCAGCCAGTGGAGCTGGCATAGCAGGGGGGTGGTATGCTCCCTGTATGTGGCCCCGTTAGTAATCTGGCTGCCACCCGTTGGACTAGATGAAGTTTCCGAACCGTCTTCAAAGGCAGCCCCATGTAGAGCGCTTTGCAGTAATCTATTTGGGATGTAACCAGAGCGTGGACACACCTTTACTGGGAATATCGTTAAGTTTGCCCCCAATATCTAGAATCAGGTTAATTTATATGCCACAGCTATACACCATCATATGCCAGTATGCCGGTGTGTGTGTGCTGGTGGTGAAGGACATATTCTGAACAGAATTTTCCCCCTTACTGGTCCCTGAACTCCAGGTGCAGAATCTCAGGGTCTGACTTCTGGGCCAGAAGAAGAAGCTGGGAATCTCTACAGTGAAGCCCAGGACTGCTCCATCCAGATCCGCAGCTCAGAGGATTGTGAGGCCAGCACTGAGAGGCAAGCCGAACAGCTCCACCCCCACGGCCATTCCCACGGCCCAGCAGATGCCCTCAATGCTGGAATAGCAGACATCGCTTGGATGGTTATTTTGGGAGATGGGATACACAATTTCACTGATGGACTGGCCATAGGTAAGGGATTTTGGACCAGGGTTGGGCTCACTCTTGTGCTAGAGGACAAAAAATACACCCCAACAATACCGGTTTTCGCAGAGAAATGGAAACTGTTGTGCGCACAATGGAGCAATACTTAGAGATAGGCTGTTATTTTGCAGACTTGAGACAGGTGTCATTTATCATGACAAACTCACCTTCACTCACCTCTTCCCCTCCTCTCACTTTTTCTTTCTGTACTTTTTCCTCAAAGTGATCTAGGCTCAAAGGGATCAAGAGTTTTTTTAAGCAAAAAAAAACAACGCCCTGCAACTCAGAACTGCATTTATTACTTGGCTCTTTGGGAACCGTTTATTTATTTATTTTTACTAATTGTTGTTTATTTCATTATTTGTGTTCCTCTTTAAAATGCTATATTGAAAAGCAAGTTCTAAATGTTCCAGGAGAAACTAGACAAATTATCTAAGATAGAGGTAGGAGCAAGGTAGATTACAGGAGCAGCAGGGTTTTTTTCTCAAATTAATTCCAGCACCATGGAAAGATACCAACCAGCTCTCTGTAGACCAGTGGCTCTCAACTTTCCTCATGCCATGACCCCTTAATACAGTTCCTCATGTTGTGATGACCCCCACTACTTCATAATGGTAATTTTGCTACTGTTGTGAATCATAAATATCTAACATGCAGGATTTATTTTCATTCACTGGACCAAATTTGGCACAAATACCAAATAATCCCAAATTTGAATACTGGTGGGGTTGGAGGAGGTGGGATTGTTTTTATCATTTGGGAGTTGCAGTTGCTGGGATTTATAGTTCACCTACAATCAGAGAGCATTCTGAACTCCACCAACAATCGAATTGGGCCAAACTTCCCACACAGAACCCCCATGACCAACAGAAAATACTGGGAGGGTTTGGTGGGCATTGGCCTTGAGTTTTGGAGTTGTAGTTCACCTACCTCCAGAGAGCACTGTGGACTCAAACAATGATGGATCAGGACCAAACTTGGCAGGGATACTCCAATATGCCTAAATGTAAACACTGGTGAAGTTTGGGGAAAACAGACCTTGACATTTGGGAACTGTAGTTGCTGGGATTTATAGTTCACCTACAATCAAAGGGCACTCTGAACCCAGCTCACAATGGATCTGCACCAAACTTGACACACAACCTACATGGCTAACATTGAATACTCGTGGGGCTGGGGGGTGCTGTTTTTGAATTCTTGGAGTTGTAGTTCACCAACACCAAAAAGGAAGAGAAGGAGAGGCAGAGAGATCTTTAGCCTTCTGTGCTAAAAGGGTTCCTAAGACCATTAGAAATATGTGTTTTCTGATGGTCTTTGGCAACCCCTCTGAAACCCCCCTCTCAATTTCTCCAGGGATCCCAACCCCCAGGTTGAGAAACGCTGCTGTAGACTTCGCTGCAACTAAGTTTGGTGGGAAGTGATTAAATATTGAATGCAGATTTGAACCCAAGTCATCCTGCTCCTGGACTTGAAGCCCTCTCCCTAGACCAGAGAAGGCAGTTATGGCTCTGAGGGATGCTGAAAAATGTGGTCCAACAACATTTGGACCAGCTGAAGGGCAACATTTCTCATTCCTGTACTCAACAATACTGTTAGCAAACATGATGATAATTGGGTTGCTGTGAGTTTTCCGGACTATATGCCCATGTTCCAGAAGCATTCTCTCCTGATGTTATGTTGGAAGCAAGGCAAGTGAGGTTTATATATTTGTGTAATATCCTGGGGTGGGAAAAAGAACTCTTGTCTGTTAGAGGCAAGTATGAATGCTGCAACTAGCCACCTTGATTAGCATTTAATTACCTTGCAGCTTCAACCAGCCAAGCTTTGAAGCTCCAAGGCCATTAAATGCTAATCAATGTGGCCAATTGCAACAATCACATTTGCCTCCAACAGACAAGAGTTCTTTCTCCCATCCTGGACATCCCACTGATATAAACACCATTTTTACTAGTTTCCAACAGACCTCACAACCTCTGAGGATGCCTGCTATAGATGTGGGTGAAACATCAGGAGAGAATGCCTCTGGAACATGGCCATACAGCCCAGAAAACTCACAGCAACCCAGTGATTCCGGCCATGAAAGCCTTCGACAACACAATAATGATAATTAGTAGTAGTTACCCATTTTGATAAAGCCTTGTCTTTCTGCATTCTTAAAGTCAAACATACACTTGTACCATTTATTTCCACCTTCCCACGTTCACCTTAGAAAATGTCAGTCACTAAATTAATGCAGCAGAATGGGCCAGTCTTTCCAAGTTCAATTTGTACCTGCATGGTCCAGCTACAACGCATGGAAAGTTCAAGACTCCAAAATTGATGTTTATTGGCAGACCTGGAAACAAGAGAGTTAGAACTAGCAAGAATCCCAAAATAAAATCTTAAATACAAGACTTCTTCATATAGTCTTGAAGCCCCCTGTGCCACAGACGGATTGAAGAAGACTGAGTAGTGCAGACGACATGAAACAACTCAGCTTGGCAAAACTTTGTGTGTGTCAGGAGCAACTTGAGAAACTGCAAGTTGCTTCTGGTGTGGGAGAATTGGCCATCTGAAAGGACATTGCCCAGGGGATGCCCAAATGTTTTGGTGTTTTACCCTCCTTGTGGGAGGCTTCTCTCATATCCCCGCATGGGGAGCTGGAGCTGACAGATGGAGCTCATCCACGCTCTCCCCGGATTTGAACCTGCAACCTGTCAGTCTTCAGTCCCACTGGCACAAGGGTTTAACCCACTGTGCCACTGGGGACTCCAAAACTGATGTGGTGGAAATGTCACTTTTATGTTGCTATCCTTTGTAAAATAAACTTCTTATCCCTTAGGAGCTGCCTTCTCAGATGGAATCTCCAGTGGTTTAAGTACAACGGTGGCCGTATTCTGCCATGAACTGCCCCATGAGCTTGGTAGGTAAAAGGAAGAGATGCTTCCATCAGCACCTATGCTTTGGACCGATTGAACTATTTATATACACAGTTGCTTCTGTTCTTCACATGGAGAAGGGGGTGTCTGCCCTTTGGATGTTGTTGGACTGCAGTCTCTATTAACCAGTCGGCATAGCCAGTATGGAGGAATGCTGGGATTTGCAGTCCATCAATATCTGGCAGGTTGCATCATTCCTACCCCTTTTGAAGATCAATGAGGAACCACCAAAAAAATGTTGCCTCAGCAAACACCTCTTGCTGGGGCAACAGATTAATGTCTAGAGAATCCAAAACACTATTTGTTTTGGGGAAAAGGTATGCTCATTTGAGTGGTTCTTCTTGCAAGAGGTGGGCCACTGTATTCTTAACCTTCCTCTTTCTCTTTTCCTCTCCAGGAGATTGTGCTGTGCTATTGCAGGCTGGCATGCCCCTCCGGCGAGTGCTGGTCTTTAACCTGCTCTCTGCTTTCCTGGCTTACTGGGGCACAGTGCTGGGGACAGTAGTCAGCCGGAGCAGCTCCCAAGTCACTCCCTGGGTTTTTGCCATCACAGCTGGCATCTTTCTCTATGTAGCACTGGTGGATATGGTAAGGGCAGCTACTTCTACTTTCTCTTAACCTGGCACCACACTTCAGACTTTTAAGGGTACCAAGTTTAAATATTCCTTATTGGTTTGTAACTTTTTCTGTTCCATATATTACAGTAATAATCATCATCATCATCATCATCATCATCATCTTTATTTATATTACGCTCTATCTCCCCAAAGGGACTCAGGGCAGATTCCAAACATAAAAGGCAAACATTCAATGCCCGAATACAACAACAACACTTCCATACTAACAAAAATTTTATAGGGAGTCCCCGGTGGTGCAGCAGGTTAAACCACTGAGCTGCTGAACTTGCTGACCGAAAAGTTGGCAGTTTGAATCCAGGAAGTGGGGTGAGCTCTCGCTGTTAGATCCAGCTTCTGCCAGCCTTGAAAACATGTAAATGTGAGATCAATAGGTACCGCTTCGGTGGGAAGGTAACGGCACTCCGTGCAGTCATGCTGGGCATATAACCTTGTAGGGGTCTATGGACAATGCTGGCTCCTTGGCTTAGAAATGGAGATGCGCTCCACCCCCCGGAGTCGGACACGACTAGACTTAATATCAAGGGGAAACCTTTACCTTTTTATATATAAAGAGATGGAGGGGGGGAGAGTTAGTTTACTAATTAACATGTTTCCTACCCTAGAGATAAAAAGCTATGAGCAGTTTCACCTGCTTATTTTCCTTATGTTCTTGGCACAGCAGGCAGACAGTTGCATGGAGGAAACTTTGACTCAGGCAGTTTAGCATCTGCCATCCACTTCCCTTGAGGGAGACTATTCTCATTCCAAGGGAGGAAATGTGCAACTTTCCATAACAATTATGTGATGAATAGTGGTTAGCACTTCTTGTGGTGTGCCTTTAAGTAATTTCCAACTTAAGTTGATCCTAACACAAACTTATCATGGGGTTTGCTTGACTTGGTTTATTCATGGGGTTTGCAATTGCCTCTGAGGCTAAGAGAATCTGACTTGCCCAAAGTCAACTAGTAAGTTTTCATGGACAAGCAGAGGAGTCAAACTCTGGTCTCCCAGAGTCTTCATCCAACAGGCAAATCACAATACCATACTGGCTAATAAGTTGTAGTGAGTTGGCCCTACTTCTACACAAATGAGACAACCTCTTCACATGGTGCCTGTTGGGAGGGAACATAGAACAAACGTAAAAAGGTATTGCACAAGTTGTGTGTACCATCTTGCACCCTCTGGAAGGAAAGCCTGCCACCTTATCATCACCAAAGCTCTTCTGCATTTCAGTGAACTTCTGTGTATGGAATAGGGTTGGAGGATGAGAGGCACTGCCTTGCCTTTTGCCTCAGGCAGCTAAGTGTCTTGAGCATCACTCTGCTAAGCAGAACTGAAGGAAAGGTGGAGCTGTTGCTTCTGACACAACTGCATTCTTCTTGAGTGGCCTCCCTTTCCCTCAGGGCTATATAGTTCAAAGTAGATGGCAGACTGATAGGATGTGTGCATATGTAGCATACTTCAAACAGCCTTACTCAATTTTAACTACTGTTTAGATCAGGGGTCCTCAAACTTTTTAAACAGAGGGCCAGGTCACAGTCCCTCAAACTGTTGAAGGGCTGGATTATAATTTGAAAAAAAATGGAAGAATTCCTATGCACACTGCACATATCTTATTTGCAGTGCAAAAAACACACTTAAAAACAATACAATAATTAAAATGAATAACAATTTTTACAAATATAAACTTAGTATTTCAATGGGAAGTGTGGACCTGCTTTCAGCTGATGAGATAGGATTGCTGTTGTTGTGTGCTTTCAAGTAGTTTCAGACTTAGGTTGACCCTGAGCGAGGGCTGGGTAAATGACCTTGGAGGGCCATATCTGGCCCCTGGGCCTTAGTTTGAGGACCCCTGATTTAAAACATCCCTGACTGGGACAAATGTGTAGGTTTGGGAGCAAAGCCTCCCTCTGACAGTGCAGTGAAAACTGTTGCCAAACTGGACAGGGCTCCTATAGCTTTAATGGCGCAATGGGTTAAACCCATGTGCTGGCAGGACTGAAGACCAACAGGTCACAGGTTTGAATCTGGGGAGAGCATGGATGAGCTCCCTCTGTCAGCTCCAGCTCACCATGTGGGGACATGAGGGAAACCTCCCACAAGGATAGTAAAACATCAAAAAATCCGGGTGTCCCCTGGGCAGCGTCCTTGCAGATGGCCAATTCTCTCACACCAGAAGCAACTTGCAGTTTCTCAAGTTGCTCCTGACATGAAAAAAATGGTTACATAGAAGAGGGGATTTTAGCAGCCCTTCCTTGTCACTCAGGCACTTAACAAGAAGGCATTTAAAACTGCAGGAGGCTGTTCCAGGTTCAATCTGGCGATGCTAGTGATTGAGCCTGTCAGGAACCCTCTTTTAGTTCAGTGACTCAGGTAGACAAAGGTGAGGTGACTTCTACAGCTGTCATTTTCTTCTCAAGGACAAGGGCCTCTATCCGTATTGTGTGACTGGCTTTTGTAATGACTGCTGCCAAGGAGATAACAAGTTCTGTTTGTTTCCCTCTAGCTGCCTGAAATGCTGCAGAGGAGTTCTCCCAAGGGCAGAAAGGGCTCCCTTGTGCATTTTCTTCTCCAGAACTTGGGCTTCCTCAGTGGAGGAGCCCTCATGCTCTGTATCGCTCTCTTTGAAGACCACATCAGTTTCCATGTGGATGGGTAATTCTACTCTTCAGTAAGAAAACCTATCCGGAAAACATGACAGATTGAGGTCATGCTCCCTAACAACACTGGCTGCTTACTGGGCTTGAGGATGACCTACAGAATTGTATCACGTTCTTATTCAAGGAAGCTGTGGACAAAACTCAATTATGAGGATCAGAAGCTACAAAAACCCACCATTCCTGTGAACCTCCAACTTTTTTGTGTGTATTTGGGCAGCGTAAATGTCTCTGCCACCCTGTTAGCTTCTGTAAGAGGAAGCAAGTTGCCACTCCAGTTGTCAAAAATCAAATTGCTAAAAACTACAAGTGATGTGCATTTATAAAATGGGAGGGAGCACCAGTCTTCAGAAGGCAGCTGATTCCATATCTCCTCAGAATAGAATGTGGGATGCGGATTATTTAAGGAACTGTAGCAATCTTGACACAGCAGACTGCATTTGGTACTAGTGGGAAAGTTTCCACAGCACTTCGGTTAAAAGGATTTTCCAACAGACAAGAATGATTTAAGACTGGTGCACAGAGGTGGAACGCAAAGTGTGCAAATACAATCCCATATGTAGTTGACATATAGCCAGATCATGCAACCTCTTGCCATTGGGTGAAATTAATTAAAGAGGTTTCGGGCAACCCAACATTTATTCCTAATAGATGGCAAAGCTGACCCACATGAAGTTGCTCCAGTCTTTGGTACTGTTAAGACATACTGGGATGTGGATGTACGTGGCAAAGTATTTGAAATGGATTTGCCCTCATAGAACACTGGAAAAAGAATTACCCCAGGCACCAGGACCCACTGTGACCTCTCGATTGAAGGACTGCGCAAGGGATTGCTCCTGACCTACATGAAAGCAGCACACAACCCACCATTGCATCCTTTCTTTTACTGCTTATTGCCGGTTTCTAAAGTCCTTGCATAATAAAAGCTCCTCCACTGACTGCCTGTCTGCACAGCTGCTTGGTTCTTGAACAAAGCAGGCATTGCTTTATGCTATTCCTTCTTTGGAGGTTTTTAAACAATCTGGTTGGCCCTCTGTCAGGACTGCTTTGTGTATTCCTGCATGGAAAAAGCGAGCTTGGACTGGATGGCCCTTGTGATCTCTTCCAAACCTTTTAAGTTTCTCCCTTCACCATTGAAAACCAAGGCAACTTACCATATATAGTGTACAAATTGGCCTCATGTACAAATTGCGGGTAGGTTTGGGGCCAAAACTGGGGATCTTGATATGCCCCATGGATAAGTTGCCAGCCATTTTATGGAAAGGGGTAAGCACGGATGCTTCCTTTGGAGGAGCCAACCTCTCTTGGCTGTTGCTGCCATGTTTCCCCCTCCCAGGCATTAAAAAAGGCCAGAAGTGATGCCACAGCAGAGAGAGGAGAGGCATTCAGTATTTCTTTTAGGTTTTCCCAGAACAGGCTAAGTCACTCCACTCCAGTGGTTCTCAACCTGTGGGTCCAGCCAGTTTACCAAAAGTTAGCATTTCTGGGAGTTCCAAGGCCAAAACTTCTGGGGACCTACAGGTTGAGAATCACTCCTCTACTCAGAGAAAGGAATAACTCCTTTTTGTGTCAATCTTGTGTTAAGGTACAGCACACATATTTCTCCATGGATAAGTTGACCCAGATTTTTAGTTGATTTTTGATTAAAATTTCTACATTTATATGCATGAGAATATGGGGTAATTTTGAACAGGGATTGCGTGTTTAATGAATAAAGGCAGAGGTACTGTGCAATATTGAACTGTCCCCAAGAAGCTTCTTTTAATTGCTCACCCTTCCCAGTTTGAAAAAAGAAGACTGTCACAATTCCGCTCCCACCTACCCCCCTACACACACGCGCGCGCACACCCTGCAGCTGCATTACGGTATGTGCCTTGTGGTTTGACTTGTGCAGACCAAAAACATCTGAGGAAAAAAACATTTACAGTGCATCTGCTGTTGTTCACATGAAGTAAAGTTAGTGGAGAAGGCACACACTGCATTGGAGGTTAGACTGAGCAGCAGAATAAGGGCAGGACCTTATTGCTATCCACAACAGCAACAACATCATGTCTGCATCTCGGTTGCCTGGAAGAACTCAGTAAAGTCCAAAACATGAGTAACTCCACTCCAGCTAAATCAAGACAATTAGTTTCACAGCAGCTAGACTCATAGATAGCAGATGGAATAGAGGAAGAGTTGGGTTCCCCCATCAAAACAGCAACACAATATTAAAACAATTAATTGCGCTTAAAATGCTCAGTTGAGTCACATTCCAGGGCTAGGATGAAAACTTAAATCCGTCTACTCTTTTCCCAGGCACTTTGTCACTCCCATGCCACATTTGGAGAAAGAAGAAACAAGGCAGAAGCAGGTAGAAGCAACAGCATTTTAATAAACATAATTGATTCAAAGCCACAATATGAATAACAGGACCTGGTCGCAGCATACATTGTAGAAAATAGATCAAGTCTGAATGTTTTTTTTAAATTTAGCTTTTAAGTTCCTGTTTGACCCCTCCCCTCCCTTCCCAAACCCCCAAAAGGTGATGCAGAAATTCTGAAAATGCATATATAACATCTGAGACAAAAAAGGTAACCATTCACTGGGTTCACATAAAGAGGCTTGTACAAGGTGGCTTCCACACTGTGCAGGAGTGGGGTGCAGCGTGTGGAAAAGAGGAATGGATGGCTTGTGACATTTGTCTGTTTTCTTTATTGTTCTCCGATATAGATTATACCGATTTTTATTTCATGGAACAACCAGGCGGGGGAGAAGAGTTGGTGGTGTATTTGATGCAACTGCATTTCTTTCCAAAACCAGAACATAGGTTTAGCGGTTCCTAGCAGTGAGACAAGTGCTTCATTTTGTCAAGAAACCCGCAACAGAGGAGGAAGAGGGATGAGGGAGATTGCCAACGAAGGCACCTGTACTTCAAGCCTCTAGGCTGCATGGTGGGACGTAGAAAAGAGTTACACTCCGATTGCACATTTGAACACTAAAGAAGGACTCTCTACAGCATTGGAGTTCAAACTGGAATCTGGGGGGTTTCAACTGGCCTTAGAAGCTCCCTCCCCACAACCAACCCCCCAAAATACCCCCGTGAGCATTCTGGGATTTGGGTCTTTTGTGCTTTAAACCAGTGTTTGAAGGAAGATCTTTGTGTCTGTGAGCAGGAACACAGGCATGTGAGCTGATCTGAACGTGCATTTTAAATGTCTTCTAAACATTGGTCCAAGATCTCCAACACTAACAAGACAATGGCTCTCCACAGTGACCATGGGTCAACAACAGGCATGGGGTGGTGGGGTGGAAAGGGAGCGCTCAGTAGGTAGTGCTTCCATTTTTACTCCCATGACCATCCTCACACAGGGCACCCATTGCAGAAACAACACTCCCTTCCCCACCCACTCTTTCAACTTGCCCAAATTACAAAGGCATCTCGTTTTTGTTTCTAAAAAAACCTGCTTAGCCAAACCACCCCAATTAAGGCCCCTGCCTCAAAGGAGGACAACATGACTGCATGCTGCTTTTGATCAGCAGGTTGTAGGTTTAGTGCTCTGAAGAAGTAAATACAACTACTCTTCTTTCCCCACCCCACCCCAATTACACAAAAAAAGACCAAACACAAAGCAGATCTGTTAAGTACGAGGCGTTGATCTAAGAACTAGTGTACATTCCTCTGGCCAGATTTATGCTCACTAGATTATATCACTGGACAAAGAGGAAACAAACTCATATAGAGCAAAAAGCATGCTTCCAGTGCAGACATCCTACTCTAGTAGGAGTTTCTTGTGTGGACGATGTCCTTGCCCTTATTGTTTCAAATGAAGAGCAAGAGAGGGTTCAATAGTGCCCTGATCCACTCCATTTTTATTGCAAGAGGTAGGTATGAAGACCTGCTCTCCGTTCATCCCTGCCCCCAAAGGAACTTTTGAAGGGATCGAATTCTACATTTAGAGGCACCCACCGCTTCCTGGGGAGGCATCTAAACCCTTTCAGTCCTACAAAGTTCTTCTGCACTGGACAGGGACAGAGAGATTCCAAAAATAAACATACTTAGATTTGTATTTGAATGGACCACCGAGCAAAAAATGTAGGGTGAGCTCACAGCTAAACCCATCACAGAGGTTGCTTGTAGGAACTGGCCATTCAGCATGAATAATGCTGACACAAGTGGAGAAAGAGCACGTCTCCTTCACCGCGTGGAACTCTGGTGGGGGTTAGCTGAGACATTATACTTGTCATGGGGTTAGATCCAACTAAATAATGCAACCAAGGCATAGTGGTAGTAGACAAACTGGCAGAAGACAGACCACATTGTCTGTCAACCCCTATGATAAGTATAATAGGTCAGTTTATGAAATATCTGGAGGAAAGATATGCAACCTCCTGATTTGCCTAGAATGGCATTAGAGATTTTTCATATACAGGGGATAGGGAAAAAGTATTTTTTTAAAAAAAACAAAACAAAAACACTACCAAGGTGATTTTATGCACCTCTGTCCTTAAGACTCCTTGCAACTAATACATGTGGAAACTGTACACCTCAGCACATGCGCGTGCACACATACATACACACACACACAACAGAGTAAAGTGCTTGCACGTGGGGAAGGCAATGAAAGAGAGACAATGAGGTCTATGGAAAATATCATTCCTCCTCCCCAAGCCCACGCCGTTATATGGATGACACCATAAATGCTGGTCTTCAGTATTTGGGATCTCTGTGGCTATGACCCAGGATGAGAAAAAAAGTAGTAAGGGCAGGGAATGAAAACAAAGGCAACGATAGAATATCAAAGTCCACTGCCAATTCGAGTGTATTGCTGATTGAGTGTTCATTAGGCAGTGCTGCATCCCTGGGAAAATCAGGGCACACAGGTGCCAGGTGAATGCCACCATAAAGGGAGAAAAGGTGGGGAAGGCAGTTACTAAAGCTTTCTAAAGTGGTGTGCCTCTCTACTTATCAGCTACCTAAAGGGCACATATAGAAGCAAAAGAAAACGCTCTACTATTTTGATCTTTAAAACATAACTGGCCATGATACAAATTAAAACAACCATTGAGTGCTGACAAAGAATTAAACCTCGAGTATGTGTCTAAAACAGAATGCCACTCTGACACAACACCAGCAAACATCCACTTCTCTGAATACCCCTTGGACCAAAAAGGGTTTGACCTGAAGGACAATCCTACTGCACAAACACTGTGTGGCTACGCTTTACTGAGCCTCCCTTATTTTAAGTGGAAACAGGACAGGTTGGTGATCAGTTGTGATTCTGTGATTTGTTGGAATTCTCTTTCTCTTCAAGACTGACAGTAAAAGTACCAGCAACCAATGTTTTTGTGGTTGTACTATATGCCTTTTTGTCCCAGACTAAAATGAAAGAACCAAGAAACATTCAACAGCCAAGGGAAAAAAGAGCAAAGAAAATAGTATTTCTATGTATTTAAGTTCCCCTTGCTTTGGTGCCCAAAGCTTTCCTGCCCCAACATTACAACAAGTACAGACAGGGTCTTCTATATATTAAAACCACTCCAGCAGGTACAATCTCAAAGATTCCACTAGGATGGGATTCTGAAAGACCACACTTCAAAGTGACTTACAAACTCTTAAAGATAGTCTTTGAATTATATTTTTGAATTATTTCTACCTGTGCAGAAATAACATCATCCTTATGTATGCTAATTTTTCATAATCACAAGCAATTCCATCTGTCCTTGTGCTCCATGTAAAGGTAGGCCTCAAGTTACCACCAAGAGCTTGATGTCTGAGAATCTTTAGGAAACAAGGTGGAAACTATCTACAGATAAAGGGTCTTCAAGTCAGTCCTGATGTGCCTCACCATCAAAGAGAAAGGCTGGGAAGTCGAGGCCAGAAAGAACTGTTACCAGCTTATGCCGACTGAATGGACCATGTAAGTCACCCTGTACTAATGAAGACTAAAAGCGCTGCTGGTGCCTCTCTCATGCAAACAACACAAACTCAATTAGAGTGCCCCTTGAGTGACACACACCATATGCGTGCCCAAGTGCAAAGTAACCAGGGTGTGAATATGTCTATGAAGAATCCAAGCAAAGAGAAGGAAACAACATAATTGGCAAGGAGGACAAAGGCAGTAAGAAACAACATGGGAATAACCAACACTTCCAAGAATGAAGCCTCTACTATGAGTGAAGGTAGTCCTCACACAGTTCTGAACACAATTCTTCCAAATCCTTCAATTTACAGTAAAAATGCAAGAAAAGAGGAAAAACAAAAGCAAGCAAGCCACACTCCCTTGGACAAATAAAATGGAACAAAACTCCCAGTAGTGCAAGGTATGTAACAGGCTAAAAACTTTCAATGTAACCGTGGGTCTCTCTCACCCCTTCCTACCCTACCCCTTTATTGCTGCTCCCAAGGAAGAAATGTGTTTGGAGCACAGGTAGTTTTTGAAATGCCTGCAAGGTCAGAGCCAACAAGTATTGCTATAAGACAAGCACACACCCGGTAAAACAGCAGGATGGCCACTATTGGAGGCATGCTGTAATGAACAGAATACAAGGAAACAAAAGCAATCCCTGCTGTTCTTCAAAAGAATTACCACCATACTCTCCAAGCCAACAACATTCATGACTTCAAGCTGCAGCCACAGCATGGCCAGGCAATTGGAAAAACACAACATGCAACAAGAACACTAACCATCATTTTGAAAAATTCTGACAGCTCCACCTCAAGAAACCTAAGAAAC